ATCAGGAGACGTTAACGCCTCCATTGCTCGTAGAATTAATTCCCGAAAGACAATGATAGACATTACTTAATCCTTCATATACGATTACTATTATACGCCTCAATTATATAGATTTTTTAAAAGCGTTCAGCCCAATTACATAAACTTCAAATCAATCAACAAATCAATGCGCAGTGGCAGCTACGCATTAGTTCTGTCATTTATCTGGCAATGATCTGATTGAGTCACGGCTTCTCTATAATTAAAAACACGTGGTAATGACAGCCAACGTAATTTACAATGCAATTATTATGTAATCCACTTTGAACGTTTAAATTTTGATGTTTTGACGGGCCCGTTGGTCTAATGGTAGCTATATCTCCACCGGGTCGAAGAAGTTTCAAATCATTTCATTTGTTTTTGAAACATACGACTTCGTCTGGAAATCTATCATCACGAACTGTCCACAGATTAAAAATCTGTGCTTAATCGCATTTTGGTTACAGTCTGTGGTTTTTCAAGTATCCAAAGCCAAAATGGGTGGACAGACTATCTTGTTTAAATGCTATAGGCTGGAGTATATTACCTACCATAACCCAACCCCATGCTTCTCTGTCCTCCTCTATCATTACAAAAAGTTATTTTGACGAGATTTTCGTAAATTAAGGCATAAAAAGACAGCCATAACGTTTGGACTTGATATGCTGATAATCGCAGAAATGCAACGCTGACTTTCAGCGAGTAAGCGTGAAATAAAATTAATTAAGAGTTGGTACATCGCAAGAACCAATCCAACATGCTTATGTTTTTAGAAGACCATATTTTCATATATATATTGGGGACACTGTTTAGGACCACATAAACTGTTCATCATTTTACTTATTTCATCGTACTTTATCTGGGTATAAAAAAAAATATAGATTCAGTTGATGGGAGGTGATATACCCCAGCTACAGAAGATGCGTAGTCGACTTATTTTGGACTTCGATATTCGAAAATATACTAGATAATTGCATAAAGGTTATATTTATATTATCTAATATGAGGCAGTTAGAGGCAGAGTGGCCTAACTGCAATTTTCGTGACTTGTGTTATTGATATTTTCATAGGCTAAAACGTTAGTCTACAAGAGTAGGTACAGTGATCGAAAATGTTTAACATAATTCTTACACATAGTATAACTAGTAGTACAAATTCATTTTCGCCTAAGTTAATTGCGCTTTTTTATTTTCCTCCTTATTAAAAATCATTCTTTATGTTATTAGGCCACTCTGCATCTAGCAATCTCATATATATTATGAAAACTATCGATAAATGTGTCAATTTTATCGATAAAGTACAGCACTAGCCATCGTCTTGTGAACGGATATACGCGCATTGTGCATCTGTGACGCTGCCTAATCCATTTAAGGATGTGTTTTTACTTATTTTTGTATCTCATTTCATTTATTTTAAACTATATCTTACTGCTAGGGAAAAAAACTCTTTTATAACGGTTTTATTTAGCTTGACCCGTATGAAATTTTTTGACATGATTTGAGATGAAAAATTGATCTGAAATTCGGTACACGCATTTAATTTAGATGACAATATAATATAATAAAATCAATAACATTATAAATCCAAGATGGCCGCCGATACAAAATGGCGGATTACATATTCTTCCTTAACCCCCTCTATATGGGTATCAAATGAAACGGCTACATTAGTAAAACACGATGATTATGTAATTATTTTTTTTAGTTTTCAGTGCACAAAAAATAAAGCCGTTTAATTTAAAAGTATTTTTAATTTGATACTTCGAAGCGTTTTCGCAGCTCACGCAACTGAAGCCTTAGTTTAATTAAATCGCTTAATTAAATAAACCCCTGATCGCTGTTAAACAATAAACTATATTATATCGTTTAAATAAAACACTTTAACGGTTTAAAACGCGATGCATATTATGTTTAAAAACTTTATTATTTCTTACATGTATACATCGGTAGCTCAATTGGTAGAGCAACAGCACGGAACATATTTGAGCAGCCGTGACCACGGCCAAAACACCCGAAACGTCGGGTCGTAGTTAAAATAATTTTCAAATAATTTAACTAATATAAATCGCGTTTTAAACCGTTAAAGTGTATATAATAGTTAACTGTTTAACAACAATGAGGGGTTAATTTTTTTCTTCTACTCGCGTAAACTACACACAGTATTTATATACCATCGAGTTTTATTCCGTTGTAATTGATTTATCTAAACTGCGAGTTTTGTTTAACGTATGCTTTAAATCTGATATTGACCGTATTAGATAAATTAGTATAAGCGTGATTCAGTAATAAACATAATCATATCTAATAATCAGGGGGTCGCGAGTTCGATGTCCTAGGGGTCCAACATTTTTCTAATTAATTTATTTTTCAGAAACATGTTGCACTTCTTCTGGATATCTGGATATTGAATGGACGGTAGGAATATCGAATGTGAAAAGACCGCGAAGTTTCAGTCTGTGGTCTTCTGAATATACAAATCCATAATAGATCGACATCGCATCATATTTCGATGTTATAGATCTGTGGTACTTTACCTACCATCAAGCGAAACCAATGTTTGTCTTCCTCTATCACAATTCTCTCCTATAAAGGAATAGTCCACAAGTGGGCTATTAATACAATGAAACGAATAAATTATTTGCTATATAAATGAGGGCACGCTCTTATCCTGCGAAATTGGCTTTGATTCAAATTATTGATACACACTATTTTGAAATAGATAATTCACTTCGTATATTTAGCTATTGTGTATTCCCGTGCTATATAGAAGTAGTGTGAAGAGTTATAGAAAAACTAGCTGTGTAATTTTGCAAACCCCTTCACGCTTATACACTTAAGCTGTTACGCACGACGTCGTTCGCGTCCCGTCGTTCTTACGCGTTAATCTTAAACGATATACATATAGTGTCGTGGATTTTTTTTAGATTATATATCATTCTTTTATTCATATTTTTCGATGTATCCTAAACACTTTCGTAGTATTCCCCGTTTTTTTTTCAAATTATTAGTCACAGCGCGATGTTTTGACGCCTATAACCTTCCTCGCGAAATGTTCTAAGACGAAGAATTTTTCAATTCGAACTAGTAGTTCCTGAGATTAGCGCGTTCAAACAAACAAACCCTCCAGCTTTATACATTAGTATGGATTGATTGTGAATAATTCCTGCGCTATATAGAGACAAAATCTTTGCCGTATAGGTTGATAACTAAAGTATTTCTAAAACATGTTCACTTGTTTTGGATATTCGGAAAAGCATAGGCTGAAACCGAATCGCGATTAAACGTCAATATTATCCGTGGACGGTGATCCATGACCCGGGCGATTCAATATTCATCTTACTAATATTATAAACGTGAAAGTTTGTATGTGTGTGTGTATGTATGGATGTTACTCTTTCACGCAAAAACTACTGAATGGATGAAAACATTAATACATTGCGCGAGAGGTGCATGTATCAATAAGTTGAAAAAATTCGACGATGGGGTGTAGGACTCGGTAGCTCAATTGGTAGAGCAACAGCACGGAAAGCTGACGATGCCGGTTCAAGTCCTGCCCGAGTCGAAAACTTTTTCAATTTATTTTCGATCTTTAAAATACTGAATGGGTTTCAATTAAACTAACCAATAATATAGCTTATACATCAGAATAACACATAGGCTACAATTTATAAAGATATTGTGCGAGCCGTCCAAAATATGACATTAAGTGTCAAGTAACTAGGAAAAAACCTACCTTTCTGCGTGCTATTCTGGCGTGCGCTGCCATAAACGTTAGTTACACATATGTATGTCATAATGACAGTTCTTTTCTACGCCACGCTAATACAAGCAACTCCAAATACTAATCCTGCGCAGACGCCTTCATCATGTGAACGCCACGTTTGTCTGTCTTATAAAAGAAGGAAAGTAAAACCACCTTTCATGTTTTATTAAGCTTTTATGTTCTCAAATGACCACAAAATATCCATTCTACTATTTATTGATAGGTCTGTTTGATGTTACATTAACTCGATGTTATTGCGCTATTAAATCAATATCTTGGATAAAATGGCGGAAGGAGTGGTTCTCGACATTTTAAGCGAAAGATATAGCAAGAATTTGTCCCCTATTTGGGAAATCTATACTAATATTGTAAAGCTGAAGAGTTTGTTCAAACGCCTATCTTATGATCTACTGGTTCGAATTGAAAAAATATTTTTCTGTTGGTTGATTGAAGTCACTTATTGAAAAAGTCTTCAGGCTCTAAAATATAAAAAACCGGAGAAAATTATTTATATAAACCCTCAAGCTTCCGTGTGCGCTGCGTAAACGGTACAAAAAATCAAAAGATATGTATGAAAGAATAATTTTTAAATGTGTCTAAAAATATGTCTATTCCCTAGTATATATCCATCTTTTAAACATTTTAAACGGTTTAAAACGCGATATATTTTAGTTAACTTAATCGCCATCTGTTTTATTGCATTTTGGCTTCTACATAGTGTCATAAACGTCGTAGTTAAATTAAGTTAAAAATAACTATATATTTCGCGTTTTGATCCGTTAGAAGTGTTTAATTTCAACTTTTAATACTCGCGATAACTACGACTAAGTAAATCCTGATAAGGCGCCCCTAAATATCTGTGTAGGAATATAAAAGCAAACAGCTGGCAAACATTTTTTAATGTTACATGAAGAAAGTCCATACGATTTATATTGACAAGTGAATAAATGAACCGCACTAATACAAGCACTCTGCGTTATAAATAAGTGCGCACGCGCTGAAACATGAACGCGCGCGCGTATTAACAAAACACCGCAACCATTCCCAGCAATCCACCGCAGTCATATTGATATAATCCAATAAAATAAACCGAGACGTCGAGATTCAACCCCAGAATTGATTGATGGATGTATAAATAACGGAGTCACGATTCGAGTGGTATTATTTATACCAGTCCACTAGCGTTCTCCAGTCACGGCGGACATGGTGTGACGGCAACAATGTTCAGCTTTTTCAAAAAGAGAACGAAGGCCGAAAGCCCGAACACGCCCGACACCCAACGAAGACAGCCGAGCGCGGGCGACACAAAGCTAATTTCAGTCGGCGCGCGCGCACCACAAAACGACAATGTCGTAGCGAACGAGAGAACCGGGACAATACGCAAAGATGTAGTGAACCTCCTCCTACCCGAAACTGACTACAACCAGAGGACCGCGGTCGGCACGTTCCTGAACATCATGGGGCGAAAGAGGCGCAATAAGAGGAAGCGTGACTCCTACCGTGCGCAAGAGAACCCGCGGCATCAGACTGTAGCGCCCGAGGCGCCCACACTTGCCAAAAATACCGAGGACGCGCCGCACACGTCCGACGACCAAGCCGACTGTGTGAAGGCGCTAGTTCTAGCGAAGTACGCAAAAACCCAGCCCAAACAACAGCACGTGTCCCTCGTGTACGTAAATGAACCGATTTTGGACGAGAAAAGACATGCAGAATCATTGCTCCGCGAGATCGCGAAGAGTATAGACTGCGACATAGATCTAGATGAACAAATGGGAACTGAGAACAGCAAACAGGAGGACCCGTACGAGACGGTGATGGACCAGCGCATCGACGCCTACAAGAACGAGCTCAAAGGCGAGCTGGAGAAGCTGTTGCAAGATACTGACGATAAAAATGGCCTAGAATGCTCTGGATTGTCAAGGAAGTCCAATTTGAAACCGCCGCGCTCGGACAACGAAGGTTGTTCTGATGACGACCGTTCAGATAACGGAAAGAAGCGAGTGACGTTTCAGAAGCACATCATCTTCGATGATGGCGAGCAGCAGACTGATGATGAGGCGGATTCCTCATTCGAATCTCTTACGTCAGAGGAGACGGAGTACTTAGATGATGTTCCAGATGAGAAATATGATAATAAGACTGTTATAAAGGTAGAGAGTCCTTTGATAAGAATCGATTGTGTTGAGGATTTGAAGCGCATTTCTGGTGATAATAGTGACAGTGGTTTCCTGGAGTGTGATAAGGAGTCGGGTGATGAGACTAGTGTTAAGAGTGGCGAGAGTGAGAGTGAGGAGGAGATAGAGGTGCCTGAGGAGTTGGAGGAGGACAACGATGTTGCTGTCGCGGAGAAGGAAACGTGAGTTTAAAATACTAATAATTATTATAAACTTAATATAACTTGACTATAATGAACGGATGATATAAAAATATAGAAGAGCTGTATCAAAAGTATCCAAAACAATTATTTTTAAATTAAAAAAAAAAGAAATAGGTTTATTTAGAAACAATGCCATTTACAGTAATAACTTACAATTATAATATAAATAATTTACAGTAGCAACTGAAAAGTAGTCCACTCAGCTAAGTTGGGACTAATGTCCCAACTCTGATATTCTATGGCCCCATTATAAAAAAAAAGTGAAATCCCTTTTCCCCTCATGGGGCATAGGGCGAACACACATCTGTGTCCGTTTAACTGATAGATTTTTATTAACAGGCAAGTAGTCGATCAGACTTCTGTGCCCTGCCCGACCGAAACAATTTACTGTTTCCTCGGGATTCGAACCCAGGACCTCTCGCGCTCAACGCAATGCTAGGCTACATGTTTAACCATTTAGCTACAGAGGCCGTTAATACAAGCAAGATATTTTGTCAATTAAGGACGTTTATTCACAAAAAAAAATAACGCAATAACATTAATTCATAGATAGAGAAAAATATATAACATTTATTGTTTAAATACACCGCTTTAACGGTTTAAAACTGTGCTTTGCAGCAGCCGTGGTCACGGGTAGACTGTGATCACGACGGTTTTAAACCGTTAGTGTTTAATTTAAATGTGTACTACTCGCGTAAACTATAGACAGTATTTAATTAAAACTGTTACCCACGACGACGTTTTTTTTCTCAAATCTAATTTAAAGAAGAACCATTTTTTTACATATAAACCCACAAAGTTTAACAATTTTCCCCGTTTTTACCACACTGTTGCTTCGCTTCTTATAATCACAGCACGATGTTGTTAGCCTATAGTCTTCCTCGATAAACGCTCTAACCAACACAAAGAGAATTCTTTAATTCGAATTAGCAGTTCCTTAGATTAGCGCGTTCAAACAAACACTTCAGCATTAGATATTAGTATAGATAATAGCATTTTTTTTTTCATTCAGCCCTCCAACAAGATCCTACCATTATCCCATATAGGTTATGTTTATCGAGACTAGATCTAGGGAGATAACGGAGTGTTTCTATGACCTATTAACTGTAATTCTAGTTGGCAGAGTGTTTTGTTTTGAGATTTGTGTGTTAGGTCAGTGGGTGTTCGAATTCTGGCAAAAGGGTAAATTCCTAAATATCGTTTATGCTTTTAAATACACTTTAACAGTTTTAAACGCGATATATATTAGTTAACCTTATTTAAAACTCATTTGAACTACTGCTAGACGATCGCCTCTGTAGCTAAATGGTTAAACGTGTTGCCTAGCGGTGTGTAAAGTGCGAGAGGTCCTGGGTTGGAATCCCGGGGAAACAATAGATTATTTTGGTCGTGCAGGGCACAGAATTCTGATCAACTACTTGCCTGTAAATAAAAATCTATCTATCAGTTACACGGACACAGAAATTTGTTCGCCGCATGCCCCACGAAGGAAAACGGGATTTTACACACACTGCCCAACGTGCAGCAGCCGTGGTCACAGGGAGGCTAAATATGGAGGGTGTCTCAGACGTCAAAGTAAAAAAAAGTCCGACGTTAGTGTTTTTTTTAAATGTGTACTACCCGCGTAAACTACAGACAGTATCTAGCTATTAGTGTCCCACTGCTGGACGTAGGTCTCTCGTATCTTTACTAATTTATAAAGGTGAAGAGATGTTGTTTGTTGTTGAAATGTAAAAATAACGGAGACAATACATATATTTGTATATAGAGGGGAGACCACGAGGGGAGGTCCCCTTCCCTCGTGGCCTCCCCGTGACCAAGTTAAAAATCATTCTCAAATCAGTTTAACTAATATATCGCGTTTTAAACCGTTAAGGTTTCAAATGTGTACTACTCGCGTATACTATAGACAGTATTTAACGGCTAAAATGTCAAGTCCTGCCCCTATCGTGAATTTGTTTTCAATCTAAAATTTATATAGAGCCGTTGGAAGTGTTTTAATTAAATATGTGCGATGGCAACCATACAGGTACTGAGTATAAGTTTCCCTAAACATTGACGAATCCCTGAAGAATGAAATTTTCAAGTAATTGACTGCAAGACGCAATAAAAGTTAAAAATAAATTCATGAGCGATGTTCTACGTCAACGGACGTGTATGAAAAATCGACAACGAGTGATGTTCGAGGTCAAGGGGGGGCGTATTTTGCGAGTTGCGCGTGCACTGTCCAGAGTACCAAAGTTGATCACAATGATCTATGTGAATTAACAGTTTGTTTAAAGGTTTAGTGTATTTTTTCTAACTTGGCACTTTTGGTAAACAAACACATAATTAACGTAATTATGCGTGATTTTCTCACAAGATTACATTTGAGACGTTGGATCATATATTAAATTAATTGACTACCTTTAATTCACTTTGTAAAAAACACAAGTTCATGCTAGAATTAATAAACATCCCAAAAATGAATTGACATAAATAGACAGATTCAAATTTATTTAGTTTGACGTTTACGTAGGGATGCGCCGTAAGCAAAGTCAACGACAATAAAAGGTAGATGTTCCACTCATACACAATCGCTGAAAAGCGTTACAAAGGCGTTAAATAAAAATAACATAAAAAGAGATTTTGAATTTTGATATCGTTTGGTCCATAAATAATCGAATTTTCTTTATCCCTGTGTCATCTGTGGCAACAACTTAACTATGTAAAAGGTCTTTACTAGTACTCTGTGGTTTCAAATCGGCCATATTTTTATGATCTTTTGCCAAGTTAGAAAAAATACACAGACTTCGACTCTCATCAGTTTCAATAAATACGAAAATGTTTCTTTTTAATACAGAAGTACTTCACATTTTTCCGGAAAAGATCGTTGTTTAAGGTTACATTATTTCAAAATATATTCATCCCTATGCGACATCAAACATAAAATGAATCACGTTCAACGGTTTAAAACGCGAAATATATTGTGTAGTTAAATATGTTTTTACACGAAGCTTTGATATGAATATACGTATAAAACTCTCTTATTAGTTTGAAACGCGAATTGATTTATTTAAAACTCTGATAACGGATTTATTTCGTGTTTTAAACCGTTTTATTCCTGCTTTAAAATCTAAACACATTATATTACAAGAAACAAATTTAACAGCTTTTTGAGTCGAAGCAACAAAAACAACTTTTGTTTTTCGACCTTAACGCGAAATGTTTTCTGTTAACAGGAATATGTAATGTAAACAATAAATTATTATGTTTACATTAGTGCAGTTTCGATAATATTGGAAGCGGGCCAGCGAAAATTATCGATTACTAGTTTTTCCATAAAATTTTCCGGTTATCAACATGAAAATTTACATCGTCATCAATATATTGACTAACTAGATATGTATCTATCTATACTAATCCTACTATCCTACTCATATTATAAACGTGAAGTGTGGGATGTTTGTTACTATTTCACGCAAAAACTACTAATCTGACATTACGTGTCGAGTTACTAGGAAAAAACCTACCTTTCTGCGAGCTATTCAGGCGTGCGCTGCCATAAACGTTAGTTACACATATATATGTCATATTGTTAGTTCTTTTCTACGCCACGCTATATATAAGCTACTCCAAATACTAATCCTGCGTAGACGAAGTCGCGGGCACCAGCTAGTACATATATAAAGCTGAAGAGTTTGTTTGTTTGTTTGAACGCGCTAATCTTAGGAACTACTGGTTTGAATTGATTATTTTTGCGTTGGTTAGAGCATTTATCAGAAGGCTATAGGCTAAAACATTGTGATGTGATTAAAAGGAGCGAAAAAACAACGGGATATGTGGAAAAAACGGGGGAAAATTGTCATCTCTGTCGGTTTCCGATGCGTACGCTGAGAAAACGGTTCGAGATGCCTAAAAAACATTTATGAAAGAATGAATCCTCTTGCTACCGTGGTCGCGGGGGACTGATCTTGGAAAGTGTCCATGATGTCAGAGCCAAATGTTAAAAAAGATGGCACTAGCAGTTTCGACACATATTTCTCGTATTTAACCGTTAATAGTGTTTTATTTAAATCAATAACATCCTTTCAGTTTAAATCGTCAGTCTATAAAAATAGTGAACCACGGACTAAACTATTTAACGTCGATTGCTTGTCTGTATCCAGATCCATTTGTTTCAAGTACCACATCTGTTTCGAGGTAACGATTTGAGTCTGGATTTAGTTTTCCATCAGAGACATTCTACATAGTTGAAAATGTATTGAGGATTTTTATAATGCGTACCTACTCCTTAAATACTGCGTCTAGTGTACGCGAGTAGAACATTTAAATAAAACGTGTTAACGGTATAAAACGCGTTTTATATGACTTAAACTTATTTGAATGGTGATCGAACCTATGAATATTGAAATACCGAATGTTATTTACACAAGTAGTATACATTTAAATAAAATTAAATAAAATATACTTTATTCTCTTTAAAATTTTAAAAATTTATTTAGATTCGTCAAAACTTTTTTGTTTTTCTGTCTGTTTGACGTGATTTTACAGAGTTTAATAAAACACTTTAAACGGTTTAAATCGCGATACATATACGAGTAATCTTATATTTAATTTATTTTAACTGCAGCCCGATTCTTCGTATGGTTTGCAGCAGCCTTGGTCACGGAGAGATGTTTAACTAATATATTTGACGTATTTGACTTTGACATAAGAGACACACTTCAACTTTAGTCCCCCCGTGACCACGGCTGCTGCAAAGCTTTCGAAACGTTGGGCTGTAGTTAATTTAAATTAAAAAAATGTCAAATATTTCCCGTTTTAAACGGTTTAAAGTGAAAGTAAATGAAATAAAGTGCTCGTTAGAAAGGTATCGAAACCAATCAAACGAATTTTAGACGTCTAATGGTACATCAAAATCCTATATAAAAGAAAAGCATAAAACAACGTGTTAAGCAAAATTTAGAAATGCAATGAGGGTAGATTTTAATTCAACGTTCACCACAATTCACCCACACGAAATAATCATTAACAGAGATCTCTTATACAACATCTCTTTTCAGGAAAGACCTGGTGAACCAGGAGACGAAATTCCAGGCGCAAGTTGCAGCACTAACAGAACTAGCGGATAACAGGTGTGACGAGATAGAAAGAGCGAGAGATATTATCGCCTCTTTTAGGAAGGAGATAGATGCTAAGGACCAGGAAATTGCACGTAAGTCTTTAACTTATAAAGTGGTTAATACGCCTGTTGTTTATGATAGCCGTGGTCACAGGGGGAGTGGGGGGTTGTTTTGTCCTTTACCTAATTGTTATGAGTATATTTTTATTCTAACAGCAGCTTTCTAATACGTGTAAATTAAATGTCTGTAAATTACGAGACTAGTAATACTTTTAACGGTTTAAAACACGAAAGTTATAAACAAAGCGTCCGAAACGTCGGGCCGAAGTTAAAAATAATTTTCAAATAAGTTTAACTAATATATCGCGTTTTAAACCGTTAAAGTGTTTTATTTAAAAGATATAAACTCATTTACTGTCACGGCTACTGCAGAGCATGCAAAAAACGTCGGGTCATGAGACAAATGAAAAAAAATATTATATTTCGTGTTTAAAACCGATAAAAGTTTATTTTAGGTTTGTTATTGTAGCGATGTATGGCGAAAATCAATGTCATGGGTTCGATCCCCGCTGGGTCCCACATATTTGTAATCAATTTATAATTTTTCTGAAACATGCTGGACTTCGTCTGGAAATCTGGATATAAAATGGGTGCTAGGAATATCGAAATACCGTCCGGATCACGAACCACAGTGTACAATGAAAAGGCCATCAAGTCTAACATCGCGTTCCGGTTTTCCGAATATCCAAAACCAAAATAGGTCGACATCTTGTTTAGATGTTATATGACTAGGTATTTCCCCCTAGGTAACCCCATGCTAGCCTATACTCTATAATAAGAAGTGATTCATTGAAATGCTTGTATCGTTCCGAGATAAAGGAATATTTATCTCGAAGCTAATGACGTCACGAGTGGAAGGTCGTTCAAGCTTCCTCGATTTTCTTTATTTTGTCTACGCGGAAATCGAACTGGCGACTCGCCAAGACGATGACTTGTAGTGTTAATGCACTTTCTTTGTTACAATGGAGTTTACTAGTCGTAATTTAAATGACGTTAATTACTACATTTTCCTCATCTCGTATCCTCAAGATGATGGTGAAGAAATGCTAGTTCTAACACATCAATTGAAGGCGGTAGAGGCAGGTAGCCTAACTGCATTTTATCACTTGAGTTATTCATATTTTTATCGTCTAAAAATGTTCATCTACAAGAGCACAGTGACCGACAATTGTTAAAATAATTCTTACACAAATAGTGCAAAATTCATTTTCGCGTAAGTTGATTGGGCATTTTTTTTCCTCCTTTTTGGAAATCATGTTTTTTTTGTTATTAGGCCACTCTGCCTCTAGCAGCCTGTATTGTAAAAGCATGATGAGCTACTGTAGTTGACGCTAGTACACATTTAAATAAAACTACTTTACCGGTTTAAAATGCGATATATATAAGATATCCGGGGCCATCAACATTTTATACCGCTTCTGAGACCAAAAATAGTTAGTGAACTCTTGGAAAATCTAGAAATTAAATGTAAAATAGAAATAACATATTTCCACTTAAGTGTTAACCACAACACACGGTTAGAAAAACCGTGTATGTAAAAAGTTTTAATTACGTTTAGACTTGAGTCTGTCGATTTCCGAATATCCAAAGCCAAAATACGTCAATAGCGCCTCATATTAAGATGATATGACTGGGGTATTCCACCTTCCCCCCCTTTCACCCCCCCCCACTAGGGAACCCCATGCTTGTCTGTCCTCCTTTGTCAAAGGTGAAAAATAACTAAGGCTTCTTTAATTTACAGAGCTAAAATGCGACCTAGCATCCGCTTACAAAGAGTCAGAACTGGTGCGCCAGCGCAGCCGCTCCTTAGAGGAGGAGCTTTCAGCGGCTCGTACCTGTTCCGCGGATTTGGCAGATCAGCTCAACAGGAGAAATGGTGAGTGGAGTATTTTGTTTAACTGTTGGTGTGAATGCGTAATGCACGCCTACGTGAGGCAATGGTGACGTGGGGGGGTTGGTAAATCGTACCTCCTCGGAGACAATAGCCGACCAGAACCACTAAACCCACCGCCGCGGGCCCGTTACGGTGCTTTGAGGGAGCCCTGGGAACACGTAGTGGGTGGAGCCTGACAAGGCTACTTCCTTACTTTAATACATAAGTAAATTTGTTAAGATTTAATGGCACAGGCGAGATTCGAACCTAAACAGTGAAATCCCGTTAACTAATACATATTTTATTTAACTGTAACTTATTTTATAACTCATTTTAGTTGTAAGTTTTGTACTTTGTGTTAGTAAGCGAATTATTTATTTATTTATGTTCCCCGTGCCCCATGTAAAGAACTTGCATCTTCTGTTGTTCCAGACGAAGCGTTAAGAGTATTGAGAGCCGAACTAGAAGATTCCAACACGAGATGTGCCGAACTAGAGTCGAGGGTCGAGGCGTTAGAGCGAGACAGAGAGCGGTTAGAGCAAGAGAAACTTATACAGGAACAGAAGGCGCAAGAGGTAATAATTAACTAACAACTACTAGCTGTGCCCGCGACTTCATCTGCGTATAATGGTTACTTTGCAGATCATATAATCTACTTTTGCAAACCTCTTCAGCTTTATAAATTAAACCTACGACGTCGTCGACGTCCTATCGTTCTTGCGAGGTCTTAAAAGATAAACATACTATCGAGAACATTTAGGTCATTAAAGGCTATAAAACATCAGGCGGCGACGAATAGCAGCGAAAAAACAGCGGGAAATGTGGAAAAAGGGGGGAAATTGTCCATCTTTGTGTGTTCCGTTGCGCGCGCTGCGAAAACGGTTCAAGGTACACATAACATTAGCAAGAAATAATAATTCTTATTTACATAATTCGAAAAAATGTCTGCCATATTATATGTCTATGTGTTTTTGAAATTAACTCGTAAGAACGACGGCACGCGACCGACGTCGTGAGTGAGACAATTTTTTTTTTTTCAATTTCTTTTGGATGGCTAAAATAACTATTCTTTTTACGCGGACGAAGTCACATCAGCATAGCTAGTTTGAATATATTTCGCGTTGAAAACCGTTAAAATTGTTATATTGTATTATTGTTTCCAGGCGTTGTCTGCAGCTGAGGCGAATATAACAAAATGGCGGACGGCCCACGAAGCGGCCAGGTCACAAGCGGCGGCGAGGGCAGAAAGAATATTGGCTGACTGTGAATGGAAGATGCGAGAGTTGGAAAAGAGAGCGAGAGACGCTGAGAGGGAGAAGAAAGAGGTAATATTAAATACTGTCTATAGTTTACGCGTGTAGTACAAATTTGAATAAAACACTTTAATGGTACAAAACGCGATATATTAGTTAAACTTATTTGGAAATTATTTTTACTTCGGTTTAACTAGCATATCGCGTTTTAAACCGTTAAAGTGGTTTTATTTAAAGATGATTATATTAGTTTAACCCATAATAAGAGATATATCTATAAATGCCCTAGCTAGTAATTTTTTTATGATAATGGATCAGAGACAAGCATCTTGTTTACTTGATGTACAGCCATACAACATCGAGGCAAGTTGTGTTGTCGACCTGGTTTGGCTTTGGATATTCGGAAATCCACAGACTAATACCGAAACGCAAACAAACTCAGATACAAACCTTTAATTTAATCAGTCAAAATATATATCGTGTTTTAATAAGTTTGATATTTCCTTATAATTAAAACGACTCGCACTAAACCTTGAGAGAAATAAGCGGGTTTTTTTAAATAACGACTTCCAGGGTCACAGGATCATTTGTGTCCGTTATGGTCTAATTACCTAAAGGTAGTGTCTTACCCGACCGAAATAATTTACCGTATCCCCGTTATTGAAGCCCTGGACGTCTCGTTCTTGGCAATGATGGATAATGTTTTTATCCATTGAACTACTGAGGCATAAAAAACAAAAAATATCTTTTCAGCTATCAGACACCGTGGAACAGCTAAAAGCATCTCCACCCACTCCAACCCACGTAGCTGAACTGCAGCAGCTCCGCGGCCTGGCGTCGGAACAGCAGCGGTGCGTTCAGTCCCTGACTCTTCAATTGCAGAAGGTCGAAACGAGGGAGGAATCATTGAAGCTGGAAGTTCACAGACTGAAAGACCTTCTCGAGAAGGAGGCGAGGATAAAGCAGGAGAAGGAGGAACTACACTTACAGGTACATGTGTGCGTGTGTGTAATATGGTCTGGAAGAAGCCTTTGGTATTTAAATACTGTCTGTAATGTACGCGAGTAGTACATATACTCGTGTTTAAATAAAACACTTTAACGGTTTAAAACGCTTTGTGTATTAGTTAAACTTATTTGGAAATCATTTTAACTACGGCTCGACGTTTCGGATGCTGGGCAGCAATTGTGGTAGTAGTCTCCCTGCTGCAAAACCATCCACCACCACGGCTGCGGCAAAGCATCCGAAACGTCGGGCCGAAGTTAAAATTCATTTTCAATCAGTTTAACTAATATATCGCGTTTTAAACCGTTAAAGTGTTCTATTTAAATGTGTACTACTCGCGTAAACTATAGACAGTATTTAGAACTGGTTTTGCTGTATATTTAACAACTAGCTGTGTCAGCGACTTCGTCCGCATACAATAATTATTTTGGTTATCCAAGTTTGTTTGCTGTTACTCACGTGACCGGTCGCGTCCTGACATTCTTGCGAGTTCATCTTAAGAGACGTGTCGCGGACATTTTTTTGATACAAGAACCGTTTGCGTAGCTTTCGCTACGAAAATCTACAAGGACGAATAATTTTTCCCCTTTTCTTTACATTTAACGTTCCTTCTTCGCTCTTTTTATAGCCCTATAGCCTTTCTCGATAAACGCTCTAACCAAAAGAAAAGCAATTTTTCAATTCAAACCAGTAATTCCTGAGATTAGCTCGTTCAAACAAACAAACAAACTCTCCAGCTTTATATATTAGTATAGATAATAGTTCGGTACCTCACTAATAAATAAATATATTATCATTTAGGCAATAGACAGATTACACCAGCAGCACTCAGAACACATAGACAGCATCAGAGCTGAACATTCGGAAGCACTTGCGAGCGCAGCCAGTGCGAGGTCGGCGCTGGAGAGAGCTCACGCTGATAAAACGAGGACGGCGCTGGCAAATTTGAGGGCGGAGGCTGAGAAAGATACGAAGAATGCTGAGAGGAAGCTGAGAGAAGTTTCTACACGTGTAAGTTTCTTGTCGAGCTCGCTACAATTATTTGTATTAATATAAAACGATATTTGGCTTCGTAAGCAGTACAAAAAAAGTTCTCATGTATCTACTACTTACTACTAAAAACAAACTGTGTAAATGTAAGACACATTTAATATCTGATTAGATAGTTTTTAGTTTAGTTTAGCTTTATTATTATTTAACAACACAGCCGGGACGTGAATCCAAACCGTGCTGCTGCTCCGACCAATTGAGCTACCGTGTCCTATACGTCATCACCGAATTTGTTCATCATTTGATACTGTTACTCCCTTAGATTATTATTTTTTTAAACAACTGTCACTCACAATAGAAACACTAAGAAAAATGAAATTGCGTTTCCCCTATTGTATTTATGTGTCTGTTTCACTAATCGATTTTTATTTACAAGTAGTAAACACGTATTTAAATAAAACACTTTAACGGTTTAAAACGCGATATATTAGTTAAACCGAAGTAAAAAATAATTTCCAAATAAGTTTAACTAATATATCGCGTTTTAAACCGTTAAAGTGTTTTATTTAAATGTGTACTACTCGCGTAAACTATAGACAGTATTTAAGTAATAAACACTTTTAACGGTTTAAAACGCGAAATTTATAAGTCAACTTATTTGCTTGCTGTATAGCATCCGAAACATCGGGCCGTAGTTAAAGTAAATTGTAAATAATGTTAATATATTAAACCTTTTAAACCTTTAATAATACGCGTTTTAAACCTTTAAAAATACGATTAAACAATCATTCCAGTTCGAGAACCTGAAAGAAGTGTTAGCGTCAAAAGAGGCTCAATTCGAGCACGCGATCGCCGAAGCGCACAGCAAAGCCGACTGGGACATCCTACAGCTGCGCCACCTCTTGGACAAAGCTGACATCACTTACGCGAACAACGTGGAAATGATGAACGAGAGATTTGAGAAGGAGAAGGGTAAGTCTGCAGTGGGATTTTCCTTTACGACCCTGACGGTGACTTAACAAATGCCGTGATTACGCCCTGGAGCATCAGATGCCGTAAATCTTCATCGCGTTTTTTATGTGGCGGTAGTAAGTAAATTATTCTATTAAAAAAAAGTTTCAAAACCCTACGTGATCGTATTCCACTTGTTTTGTAAACGTTCCAGAGCGATTAATAGAAGATTGGTCTACGAAACTCCGCCAAACAGAAGAACAGGCATCCACTGATGCCGAAGAAGCCAGAAGAACGCTGGAAACCACCAGGGCCAAGCTGACAGCCGAGAAAAACGATCTGATTAACAAGCTCAAAGAAAAGCATAGACAAGAAATGGGTTAGTATTTTCTACGGTGTTTTAAACGGTAAAATAAAACCACACAGTTGTAAACCGTTAAATTTATCATACGTTTAATTGACGTGTACTTATAAACAATGTTACTGGATTAAAAAACATGGTCACACGTCGGGCCGTAGTTTAATATAAATTTACTAAATTAATTCGCGTTTTAAACCGTTACTTGTACTGTACTGATGTATTAAATTCCATGGGACCACGCGTTTGCGACTTAAGACAATACTTATTTAAAATTAAGTATTATCTGAAGTTCATGACAATTTCAACGGTTTAAAACGCGTAATATCTTAGATAACTGACTTACAATTTAGACAAAAATGTTTCGGTCGGGCAGGGCACAGAAGTCTGATCAAGTACTTGCCTGTTAAAAGAACGGACCAGTGAAACGGACACAGAAATGTGTTCACCCCATGCCGGACGAGGGCGCAACGAGATTTCACAAACATATATTTCGCGTTTTAAACCGTTGAAATTGTTTTATTTGAACCTTTCCAGTTATATCCTTAGATTGCTGTGACATTTTAGTACATTTCTCACTTTTACTAATATTGCAGAAGACCAATGGGAGTTGTTCATGACAGACAAAGAGAACTGCCTGGAACGAATGAAGTCCGAATGCCGCCAAGAAGGAGATGAAGAGAGAGTAAAACGCGAGAGAGAGTTGTTAGAAGAGATCGCAGGTTAGATTTTGGGTGGACTATCGCAAACAAGTTGTTAGTATTTAGCTAAAAATCTTTAAGGACATCCGTTGAGTGCACTGCGAAAACGGTCCAATAACCGAAAAATACGCATGAAATAATGATTCCTGTTAATATCATCTAAAAAACGTGTCCCCGACGGTATATATCTTTTAACATTAACCAGGACGAACGACCGGACGCGGACGACGTCGTGGGTAACAGCTAGTTTTTCTCGCTATTACCCATGTATTAGCTATTATTATTTTAGAACATTTTTTTGATCAACTTGCAACTTTTCTGATGTCGGACTGCGTGTCTGTACCGTACACAGATGTAACGTTTAAACTCCAATGTCCAAAGCCAAAATAAGTCGATAGCGCATCTGGTCTAAATGTTATTTGGCTAGCGTATTTTACTTCGCTATAAAGTCAACCCCGTGTTTCTCTGTAGTCTTGTAGCACAATTAAGAAGTATTTGAATTTAGAAGTTTCTTTTAGTAGCATAATTAAGAAGTATTTGAATTTAGAACTTTCTTTTAGTAGCATAATTAAGAAGTATTTGAATTTAGAATTCGTCAATTATTTTGTTAAACTTATTTGAAAATGATTTTTAACCTCGGCCCGACGTTTCGGATGCTTTGCAGCAGCCGTGGTCACGGGGAGACTCGAAACGTCGGGCCGAGGTTAAAAATCATTTTCAAATAAGTTTAACTAATATATCGCGTTTTAAACCGTTAAAGTGTTTTATTTAAATGTGTACTACTCGCGTAAACTATAGACAGTATTTAATTATTTTGTATTAAGTGAATTTTAAATGAGAATTAATTTTAACAGACCTAAAATCTCAAGTTCAATCAAAATCAATGGAATTTGACGATTTAGCATTGAAAGCAGCAGCCTGTGGACGGACATTGGCTGTCACAGAGCAGGAGTTAAGGTAACACTAAGTTTATTATCTGTGGAAGATCTATGCATGCGTTGATTCTTATTATCCGTGCTAACTCTATATTTTATTCTGGGAGTTTGATTATACACAGATAAGTTGTACACTTGTAAATTCGATTTTAAAATATACACATATCTAATATATAAAAGTCTATGTTAGTTTTGCGAAAACCTACTCCAAACCGGCTGAACAGATTTTAATAAAATTTAGTAGATTCGTTCGGTTTGAGACTGATTTTTATCTATTATTCTGGTCTCTTTCACTCGTGACCTCACCGTCACCTCCTTATAATGACAATTTAGTTACTTTTTCTCCAGTTAATTTTTTCACCAAAATAATTCAAAATATAGCAAAGCAATGTTTGTCGTATTGTATTCTATAAAAATTATAGAAAAGGTAGTCAACCATAGGTTTTTACTTACAATAAAATGAAAACGCGTAAAACTTAGGGCAGACACTTTTTTGAGTCTGTATCACGTATCAATTTTATTAACATAGATAGGCATCTGTGCTTATATTTTTCACATGACAACACATGTGAAAAATAATAATAACGCAAAAGAAATTTCTTAAATATTTCGTAATCATTCTTCCAGAATTCGTATATAATTAACAAGTGTTTTATTCATAATTACTAATAAATATTGTCTATATATTACTAATACTGTTATATTATATGTATATCTAATTTGACATCCAAATAAAATTGGTAGCGAAATTAGTCCTTAATTAGTTGTCGCACTTCCTAATACTGCCTTTTGGACAAATTTGGCTACCATGGCATGATCTGTGTTCAGTAAATAAGTGCCAACATAATATCATAACATTGTACTCGTTCACCACATTCAAAATTCATTACATCACTCCACAGTCCAAAAGGCAGTATTTTAGGGTTAAGAATAAATTCTTAAAGATTTTTTTTTAATATTAAGAGAATAGAGGTTACAATGCGTGACTGAGTTGTTGTTAACTCAGAAATAAATAAAACACAAACGATATGACACTTCTAGTTTAACAAAAGAGTTCATTAAACTCTTAGCTCCGCCCAATCTGATGGTCCTTCGAGCCGGATGTTTTATGCAGTGTAACCTCTAAGAGGTTAAATTAAAAATCGGTCGTTCTGAACAGTTTCGGCTGGGTCGGTGCTTTGCTGACGGCTTGCTTCACATGCGTTCTCACCGGATCATTCCGTCTCGCTCTAGCAAGCTTCCTCTTGCTATTAGCCTTCTTCTTCTATACAAGGATTAAGAGGAATAAACGTCAAGGCGGATAAAAATTCGCAAAGCGTAATAGGAATTCTTTTGAAACTAAGTATACAATTTTTATATTGTATTTCTTAAGATGAATATATCGAAAAGCCTGGTTTTGTCTATAGATATATTTGATAGTATTGACACTAAAGTCTATACTTTAGAACTAACGAATATATTATAAAATAGAATTTTTACTAAAGTTAAATGTATAATATATACAAGACTTTTACAGATGTATTAAACTTAACGAATGATTTTCTTCATGAATTTAATTATAATTAATTTAATAATAATTCAATGAATATGTGTTATTATGGTCCTTTAAGATATATTTCTTATTATTTTATACACATTTTTATGAGAAAATTCTAACTGCCATTTTGGACTGAGTGAACTGTAAATTTACATATTTAAATATTAATTATCTATATGCATTATTATCATTCTAGTCAGTATTTCTTTGTGTAACAATAGATGGATAGTTTGCGTCAAAGAAGTATCCTTATATGTTTTGTCTTTGTCACCCTATTATGTTTACAATATTTCAATGAGAAAGACAAAACATGAGTTTGGAGTACAGTCTACAAAAGAAAATTGTTGCTAACATTATATTAAACAAGATGTAATTCAAATAAAACACTTTCAACTGATTTAAATGCGAAATATGTTACTTAACTTATTTTTTACTATCTTCGGACTGAATTTAACTAATATATTTCGTGTTTCAAACAGTTTAAAGGTGCTTTATTTATACTACTCGCGAAACTACAGACAATACTTATGATGTATTTATCTGAAGTAAAATTTATATGGTTACACATAGAAATATAATATTTTGTTTACGAATGTTATACATCTAGTCTGTCATAGCTTTATTAAAATTGTGTGCGAGGCAATCAATAATTATCAAAACAATTGTGCTCAATTATCATTGTAATTTCGTTATGTGTTACATATTTTCATATTAAATTAAACCATTATGTCTATAAAGATCGATAGTTTTTCTTATAATCCATGGGTTTTAAGTTACTTTTTATTTTAGTTTAAAATGTGGAAAATATTGCAACTTTATTTCGTATTTTTACCAATAAACATATACCAAAAAGTATTTAATAATTATAAAACTCTAGAGATATCACCACAGATTATACTCAACAGAGCTTTCCCTCCAAAATTTGACATTTCCCAAAAACTAAAAGTATCCAAATCTAACCACCCCTAACTAATAAATAGAGAAGCGCTAGAGAGAGAAAGGGAATTGCGAGAAAAGAGAGGAGACGACGCGACGAAGTTGAAACAAGTTGAAAAGGCATCAAGGGAGCAAATTGAGCATTTGACGAGGAAGTGCGCTTGTCTGAGAAAACTGTGAGTATATTTTTGTCACAGATAGTCGTAAATTTTCATCGACATCGACCATCCAATCACTAGTCGGTTGTATTATCTGTCTGTCATTAAAAAAAAAAGAATCATTAATATTTCTACTGTGCCAAAATGCTTTTATATAATTATACGGATTTATAATATATTTTAAAGATCCATCGAGCTTTATCGAGAAATTGATACATTTTGATTTAATGTGATAAGATGTTTAAAATTACAACACGTAATGGACAACTGGCAACACCATTTTCGTTCGAGTATGTTTGAAGTCGAGTATAAAAAAAATTAACTAAGACAATGCAAAAACAAAAAAAACATTTTTAAGAACAAACTAAAAACGATGCTCGTCGGAACAGTAACATTTAATTATAAATAAAACACTATAAGGGTTTAAAACGTACGTACGTATGACTTTATTTCACGCGTCCCGACGTTTCTGATGTATTCGTGGTCTGGGAGGCTCTCGTGAGTACGAACGTAGATAAATTAAATTGCCAACAAGTTAACTACTAAGTTTCACGTTTTAAGCCGTTAAAGGTGTTTTATTTTAATTGTGTACTAGTTGTGTATTCTACAGATTATACTTAGCTAAGTTACTACATAAATTGAGGCCGCTTGAGGCAGAGTCAGTAAGATTTACAAACAAAACAAAAAACAAGATTTCCAATAAGGGAGAATGCGGATTAACTTAGGCGAAATAATTTCTCCTGTTACTGTGTGCTCTTGTAGATTAACATTTTAAGACTATGAAAATATAAATAAGTCAAGACATAACATTGCGGTTAGGCTACTTTGCCTCTAGCGGCTCAAATTTCGGTTAATATTTAGTATAACTACCCGCAAATGGGGTACATGGAAATAACACTCACCACATTTAGTTTCTGTTATTGAATAATTATTTCTATTCTTCTAAACAGCTTTGACGACATGCGAGCTCGTCTGGCTGCTCGCGAACGAGCAGCGGAACAAGAGACGAGGGCAAAGGACAAAGAACTACACCATTTGAGGGCCGAAGTTGCCAGACTGACCAAGATTCTTGTAGAACAGAGGTGAAGATTATTGAGCTTTTATGATAGAAGACAACAGCACTTGATGAAGTTGAAATACGAGAGCCATATAACATCTAAGCTATTGGATGATATGAAATTAAATAAATAAAACATATGAATTGAGAACCGTATCTTTTCGGCCAATAATAATGTGCCAATAATTGTAACTATAGTTACGACATAACAATGTTTAGAACATGGTAATGCTATACAAAAGAGTATTTATAGCATTGGATCTTCGGAAATCAGACGGAAATCCAACTATCCATTTAATATCCAGATTTCCAAATGAAGTCCTACATGTTTCAGATATATTATAAATTGATTAGGAACATGTTGGACCCGGTGGGGACATGGGGATTGAAAACCACCGGCCACAGGTAGGGAGTGAAATTTAATCGCAAAATATCGACAGAGCTTAGATATATGGCTGGAGTATTTATAGCTTCTATCAAATACTGTCTATAGTTTACGCGAGTAGTACACGTTTTAATAAAACACCTTAAGGGTTTAAAATTCGTGATAATATATTAGTTAAAGTAATTTAAAAATGATACCATTTTTAAATTTTTAATACTTGTCGAAGTAAATAAAAGTTTTATTAAAATGAACCATTTAATTGTAAAACAAATTATATTACTAAATTATTTTTATTTATTTGACTGTGATTCGTATATTTCGTTGAAACGTTAAAAGTGTTTGTTTAAATAAAACCATTTAAATTGGTAAAACTAAATTATATTAGGTAAACTTATTTTTATTTATTTCGACTGTGATTCGTATATTTCGCGTTTGAAACCGTAAAAAGTGTTCTATTAAAATGAAACCTATTTAAATTGGTCAAAACTTGAAATATATATTAGGTAAACTTCATTTTTATTTATTTCGACTGTGATTCGTATATTTCGCGTTTGAAACCGTTAAAAGAGTTCATTTTAAATGTGTACTACTCGCGTAAACTAAAGCATGCTTACTATTGTTTGTCATTTAACAGCAATCCAAAACTCGGTACAAGAACAAGGGCAGATGGTTGCGAGATGTCGCAGAAGGAAGAATTGAGTACTGAAGTGCCGACCGCACAACGGAGAAAGGGTACAGTAGTTCTGTAATAACACAAGATACGAAACGTAGGTTTGTACATTGAACACGTTTGTACATCGTATATTAATACATGTATTCTTAATATGGTTTGTGACAGACATACACGACATTTGCAACATTCATATACATTTGACATGGTGTTCTTGAGACTCTATAAGTCTGGAGTATCTACCCTTCCATGAAGTGAAGACTATTGATCTTTTTATACGCAGAGAGTAGTACACATTGAAATAAAACACTTTAACGGTTTAAAACGCGATATATTAGTTAAACTTATTCGGAAATGATTTTTAACCTCGGCCCGACGTTTCGGATGCTTTGCAGCAGCCGTGGTCGCGGGGAGACATCGCGTTTTAAACCGTTAAAGTGTTTTATTTAAATGTCATATTTTATTATAAAAAGACACCAGAGCGAAAAAGTTGTTCTAGGAGTAGTTGATAGTGGGTTCGTGTCTTGACTGTTTGATATTTTTCAATTTATATAATCTTCACGTTGCCACTTAATCTTCTACACTTATAAATGTGCAAGCTTCCAAATTTTGTGCCCTGACGCGACTTGTAAATGGACAGTTGTATATATTTTCTTTCCATCCATAAAACTACCCGAATTGTGTATTAAAAATACCAACTACCCACATAAACCAAAAAAACGTTACACCGTCTTTAATACAGCTTACAGTAGGTAGATTTTTTTCAGCAACTAAATTTTTGTAACTTCATTTTTATCTCAACTAACTATAGGCTGTACATGTGTGTGAGGCTTCCTAACTACCTTTTAACTAGACTTTTGATTGAATCAAATCTTAAATTATTACAAAACTCATTAGACTTTTAAATAATCAACGAAAAACTATACAGAATAACAATACATAATGCATAAAGAGTTTTGCAAATAAATTATGTTTAAATAAAACACTTTAACGGTTTAAAACGCAACCATTCAGTTGAACTTATTTGAAAATTATTTAACTACAAAGAGATCCCCGTGACCACGGTTGCTGCAAAGAGTCCGAGACGATGGGCCGTAGTTAAAATAATATTCAAATAAGTTTAACTAATATATGTCGCGTTTTAAACCGTTAAAGTGTTTCATAATGTGTACTACTCGCGTAAACTACAGACTATTTAAATAAATAATGATTGATCTCTGTTCAGGTGGAGTTTTAAAGACACCCGAGTTAGCGCGTAAGAGACCGACATTGCCAGAATTAGGACCGCTTCCGCCGGAATTAAAACCAGTATCCGGCGACGAACAAAATGGCCGCCGTCGAGCGAAAAGCGTCGACTTGCCCGCCGTCCAAGTGCCAGTCAGAATAAAGCAGCTCGAAAACCGAAATAAAGAATAACTGCAGTTAATCTATGGATTAACTCTATAACTACTTAAAAGTGAAAGCCCGTTTCCCCCTCGTGGGGCATGGGGCGAATACATTTCTGAGTCCGTTTCATTGATCCGTTCTTATAACGGGCAAGTTTGGCTACAGAGGCGAGCCTATAGCTACTTAAATAAAGTACTTAATACTCTTTGTGATTCAATTTAGTTGAGATATAGCCGAAGAAGTAAGGGTAACCAAGTGCGATACAAACGAATTATAATTTTGACGCGCTGGTCTAATGGTACCGGTGTATAGCTAATACGCTATAATAATATTGATTGTAGGGATATCGAAGTTCCGCCCGGGTCACGAATTTCCGTCCACAGATGACAATGCAGAAAGCTTAATCGCGTTTCGGTGGCAGTCTGTGGGTTTCCGAATATCCAAAGCCAAAATAGGCCGACGGCGCATCTTGTTTAGATGGTATAGGTTGGGGTATATCAGCTTCCATCAAGTGAACCATATGATTAACTGTCCTCTCCTATGATTCTATGGACGATAGTTGTTAGTGTCGGAATTTATTTTCCACATTATTTACCAATAATTTTCATAAAATTGTATTTACACCCAAGGATCTACGTTTTATGTACATAATGGCTTTTTCAATAAAACTTTTAAAACATATTTACAGTGTTATTATTGCACTAACTTCTTATGTATTACAAAGTTAATTTATACCTACGATCGTTTAAAAATAAATTGAAAAAACATTTCGAAAATTTACGAAAATTAATTTGTCCTGTTATTTGTGTAAGAATTATGTTAACAATTTTCGGCCACTGTGCTCTTGTTGATTAACATTTTAAGACTATGAAAATATAAATAAGTCAAGACATAAAATTGCGGTTAGGCTACTTTGCCTCTAGCGGCTCAAATTTCGGTTAATATTTAGTATAACTACCCGCAAATGGGGTACATGGAAATAACACTCACCACCTTTAGTTTCTGTTTTAAATTATTACTTCTATTCTTCTAAACAGCTTTGACGACATGCGAGCTCGTCTGGCTGCTCGCGAACGAGCAGCGGAACAAGAGACGAGGGCAAAGGACAAAGAACTACACCATTTGAGGGCCGAAGTTGCCAGACTGACCAAGATTCTTGTAGAACAGAGGTGAAGATTATTTAGCTTTTATGATAGAAGACAGACAAGCACTTGATGGAAGTTGAAATACGACAGCCATATAACATCTAAGCTATTGGATGATATGAAATTAAATAAATAAAACATATGAATTGAGAACCGTATCTTTTCGACCAATAATAATGTGCCAATAATTGTAACTATAGTTACGACATAACAATGTTTAGAACATGGTAGTGAAGTGAACTAGCTAGCGATAGCTGCTGTCGCCAGCCGCTGTCGCTAGCTGCTGTCGCCAGCCGCTGTCGCTAGCCGCTGTCGCTAGCCGCTGTCGCCAGCCGCTGTCGCTAGCCGCTGTCGCTAGCCGCTGTCGCCAGCCGCTGTCGCCAGCTGCTGTCGCTAACTGCTGTCGCCAGCTGCTGTCGCCAGCTGCTGTCGCCAGCTGCTGTCGCTAGCTGCTGTCGCTAGCTGCTGTCGCCAGCCGCTGTCGCCAGCTGCTGTCGCCAGCTGCTGTCGCCAGCTGCTGTCGCCAGCCGCTGTCGCAAGCCGCTGTCGCCAGCCGCTGTCGCCAGCTGCTGTCGCTAACTGCTGTCGCTAACTGCTGTCGCCAGCTGCTGTCGCTAGCTGCTATCGCCAGCTGCTGTCGCCAGCCGCTGTCGCCAGCCGCTGTCGCTAGCCGCTGTCGCGAGCCGCTGTGGCCAGCCGCTGTCGCTAGCCGCTGTCGCCAGCCGCTGTCGCTAGCCGCTGTCGCCAGCCGCTGTCGCTAGCTGCTATCGCTAGCCGCTGTCGCCAGATGCTGTCGCTAGCTGCTATCGCCAGCCGCTGTCGCCAGCCGCTGTCGCTAGCCGCTGTCGCCAGCCGCTGTCGCCAGCCGCTGTCGCTAGCCGCTGTCGCCAGCCGCTGACGCCAGCTGCTGTCGCTAGCCGCTGTCGCCAGCCGCTGTCGCCAGCCGCTGTCGCCAGCCGCTGTCGCTAGCCGCTGTCGCCAGCCGCTGTCGCTAGCCGCTGTCGCCAGCCGCTGTCGCTAGCTGCTGTCGCCAGCCGCTGTCGCCAGCCGCTGTCGCCAGCCGCTGTCGCTAGCTGCTATCGCTAGCCGCTGTCGCCAGCCGCTGTCGCTAACTGCTATCGCTAACTGCTATCGCTAACTGCTATCGCTAGCTGCTATCGCTAGCCGCTGTCGCCAGCCGCTGTCGCTAGCTGCTATCGCCAGCCGCTGTCGCTAGCTGCTATCGCTAGCTGCTATCGCTAGCCGCTGTCGCCAGCCGCTGTCGCTAGCTGCTATCGCCAGCCGCTGTCGCTAGCCGCTGTCGCCAGCCGCTGTCGCTAGCTGCTGTCGCCAGCCGCTGTCGCCAGCCGCTGTCGCCAGCCGCTGTCGCTAGCTGCTATCGCTAGCCGCTGTCGCCAGCCGCTGTCGCTAACTGCTATCGCTAACTGCTATCGCTAACTGCTATCGCTAGCTGCTATCGCTAGCCGCTGTCGCCAGCCGCTGTCGCTAGCTGCTATCGCCAGCCGCTGTCGCTAGCTGCTGTCGCTAGCCGCTGTCGCCAGCTGGTCGCTAGTTAATAATAGATTCGCTGCCTACGAAAATTGTTGAGGGATTTAAATCAAATTTGATTCGATTTATAATCTTCTTTAACCCTTAATTACTATCCAGAATGCTTTTGTGATGTAACTGACCAGTAGTGTCCAACAGAATCAATTACACCCAAGGAAGTGTGTTGCTGAAAAAAATCTACCTACTGTCAAATTGAAAAAAAAATTCGACTCGGGCAGGACTTGAACCGGCATCGTCAGCGTTCCGTGCTGTTGCTAAAGAAGTAATTGCAGCCTATCCTTAAATTAAAGTAGTCGTTCTTGCAAAAATTTTGTGTTTTGGAAAAGGAAACAAATGAAGTCATAAACCGGAATCTTAGTAAGTACTTTACTGAGGAACGCCCAACTTTTGTGCTTAAACGACAAGTTTTTTCTACAATTGTTAACCACCTGCTTATATTTCAACTAAACCTTTAGCTAAATGTAAAACGGGGTTCGTCCTTAGATAGTTTCTTAATTTGCCGCTAGAGGCGCGCGAGTAATCTTTTATGCGACATAACTGTTATTTATATCATAAATTCTTCTTCTGAATTTTCTTAAGGCTTTCCTATTCTAAATGGATTCTGCCAATGTCTTGTGTCCAATGAGAAATGACAATAAATTATTATTGTTATTTTTGTTTTTTGACCAATGGTATTTTTCTAAGATCACGGTATATATTTAAAAGAATGTATATATTTAATTAGAAATGTTCTCACTCATATTTGGATGGAGCTAAAAAAACATGATACAGGTTATAATATAAAATACTTACTAGACTGAGATCGAAGTTTAATATCATTAGAGTGAACAAAATGCGCTAAAATTATAGCGAATTCAGCAGAAGGGAGTTGTAAAATACATTTCATTATAGTAGGGCGAGGAAGGCAGAACGTTGAGGAGGGAAAAACGAAGATTCTTACAATTGAAGAAAAGATCCATGTCCCAATATCCCAGACCGCACTCATTATAATGGCAATTAGAATTACTTAACGTCAAACGTTATGTTAATGGCATCATCCAGCTGTCAGATCAACATTGACAGCTGACAATTACTATCAACACTATATAGCTTAGTGACACAAAACATAACCTATAAACTCTAATATATTTTTGCTTTTCAACTACAAAAATGTCCAATAAATCATTGTTTATTAAATCAGGATTCGTTAGAGCCCCATTGCAAAATGGCGTAGGGCGTTACGTGTGCCAATTACAGCGGATAGTTCTTAAATTCTGCAAAAGCCATGGTGGCTCCCGTGGTATTAGGTAAGGTTTGTTTATAACACAAAATTATCCGTTTAGTATTTATATCTTGTGTAAACAAGCAGTTCTATACCATTTTTTCCGTTGAATGCCTTTTATAAGAATTACTAATAAACGTTATTACTACATATTCAATAGTAACTATGACCCGACGTTTCGGCCGCTGGGTAGTATATAATTCGTTTAAAACCCAGAATGTATTATTTAATACGTGACCATAAAGTGGCTGAAACTAAATACGCGAATACAACACTATTTTAGGTATAAAGTAAAAAAATATCACTAGAAAAATATAGCAAATAGATTTCATACGTTTTATTTTGTCATGCATTAAAAATATTAATTCTAATAATAATAATAATTGAATAACCAATAATGATTTTTGTAAAAACGAAAAATATGTTGAAATGGTTAACTTATTGTCACTATGACCCAATGTTTCGGCTGCTAGGTAGTATATATATTATGTTTAAAAACCAATCAAATGTTTCAATAAAATTCACAATTTTTTCAGAGATTTCATCGAACAGGATTTGGTGGATTTTGCAAAAAATAGCCCTGGTACAGTTGTGTACTTAAAGCCTCGTAGGCACAGATCACCAGTGATAGTTGCTGAATATTGTAAGTTTGTCGATTTAAAAGAACTTCTTTTAAAAAGAGTTTGATCAGTTTATTTTATAATAGTTATTTATTAAGGACTTATTAACATTAAGTGTTGAGCCAGTAATAAACTTTTCGTACTTTCATTCTGTGTTACAGGTGTCTCACTATAGAGTCACTTTGTAGCTTATATTTATTTTTAATATTTGCTTTGTATCACTGAATGTAAATAATATTATTATATCCGATTGTGGATACTAATCAGTCCATATAACGGCGCTAGAGTAGCCTAACTACATTTTTATGACTTGAGTTATTTATATTTTCATAGTCTAAAATGTAAATCTACAAGAGCAGAGAGACCAAAAAATTGTTAGCTTAGACAAATGATAGTACAAATTCATGTTCACCCAATTTAACTGTGCATTATCTTTTCTTCATATTAAAAATCATGTTTTTTGTTATTAGGCCATTCTGCCTCTAGCAGTCTGATAATATCTACTAACCATTTCACTCATTTGCCGATTCTTCTATGCGTAAATAAACAATCTTAAACTTTCCAGTAAATGGCGACAGAGTCTGGATGAGCGTACATCAGAAGACACACTCTGAAATAACAAAGTGGATAGAAAATCTCCGCACCCAGCAAGGCGATGTGGCTGCAACACGACTCCGTAAATACCAATACACCGACCATCCCTCAATACAAGGACCATGGACACCTTTCACATTTAAGGACCCGGAATTAAACACCGCAGTATTACCAGATCCTAAGTTCGGTGCTAATAACAGATTGCCGGTTTCTGCGACAGAGAAATTGAGGTTGTTATTTGAAAAACAAAAGTTGAGTGATGTACAGACAGCAGAATAAATTAAACAGTAATTTAGAAATATAGATATTGTTGACATTCTTACTTATATCATTGCAGTTTTAAATATTTAATTTTTCTGTAAATTGGGGGGGGGATTTCTTGATTACTAGCTAATAAAAACTTAGACGGACTTATTTGGTGCTACAATAGTTGAATTAATAGAGGATTGCCATTACTTTTTACAGACATAAGAACATGAAGCATATAAAATTTTTTTACCTATATCTACCTACCTTTATACTTGCACTTGTATGCATTACAAGCAAAATAAAATAAATATTCAAAGGGGTCTTAGAAAATTGACATTTTAATCTATTTATTCCTAAATACTGTCTGTAGTTTATGTGAGTAGTACACATTTCAAAACTAACGGTTTAAAACGCGATAAATATTAGTTAAACTTATATGAAAATTATTTCAAATACGACCCGACGTTTCGGATGCTTTGCAGCAGCCGTGATCACGGGGAGACCAAAGATGGAGGGTGTCTCTGACGTAAAAGTAAAAAAAGCAGTAAAAAAGTTACGTCGGGCCGTACTTTAAAAATATTTTGAAATAAGTTTAACTAATAAATATCGCGTTTTAAAACGTTAAAGTGTTTTATACAACTACTTATTCCTGTTCTATATGAATAATTACAACATATACGTATACACTTGAAATTACTTAAACAGCGGTGTATCTAGTACAGAAGCCCTCGTGTCTATTGTCTAATACTTGACCAGCATAATGGTAGATACGGATCCGCTAGAGACAGAGTGGCCTAACTGCAATTTTACGACTTGAGCTATTTATGAGTTTTAAAATGTTAATCTATAAGAGCGCAGTGACCGAAAATTGTTAGCATAATTCTTACACAAAAAATAGTACAAATTCATTTCCGCCTAACTTAATAGCGCATTTTTATTTCCCTTCATATGGAAAATCATGTTTTTTGTTATTAGGCCACTCTGCAAAGCAGATATGGTCGATGTTTGTAATTTTATAAGTAAGAATGTCTGTAATAAATATGTAAAAATAGACAAAACAAAGATACAAATAAGAATTTAGCTGTAGTTTAGTAATAAATTAGTAATTATATTTAGACTTTTATTTCACTGTTTCCTTTATAGCTCAAACGACTGTCTCTGTAGCCAAATAGTTAAACGTGTTGCCTAGCAGTGCGTTGCGCAGTTCCGGGTTCAAATCTGTGACCTGCGGAGAAACAATGAATGGTTTCTTCCCGCAGGTCACAGAAGTGATCAACTACCAACCTGTAAAAGCACCGGACACAGAAATGTGTCCGCCCCATGGGGGTTAAGGGGAATTCACTTTCAAGGCTCAATGACTGAAAACAAGAGTACCTTGGGTTGGGCCGGGACTAGTCCCGGCGTAACGATAAATTATTTCGGTCGAGAAAGACACAAATACTGTTAATAAAACCAACCAGTAAGACGGATGCAGAAATGTATCCGCCCAAGGTGAATCGAGATGTCACTATTATAAAAATACATTTTTTTAACTGACAACATTGCTCAATAGTTCAGTGTAAGAGGGCTCTGAGTTCAATACAAAAAAATATTTTTTTTTTTGATGGACTATTTTGTATTGTGTTCCTATGGAGCCACGAATACTAACCGGGCGTTTTTGCGGCTAAAACGTGTTTGCGGCTAGACCAAGGGTGCCCCGAGGGGGGCAACGGCCTCGGCTTGGACCGCCGCAATGCGGGTGGGAGCTTGAAGAGCTGGACGGAAGCTCACCCGGGTGAGCGGTACGCGTAGCGAATGACCTCGCCTACGCGTACAGAGATTAAAATAGTTTTATCGCGAAGGACAAGACTCATGTCGGTGCAATGCGCCGGCGCGGAAAGAAATAATACTTCCCAGACTTCATACTTGTACCTACTGTTAAAAAAACCTAATGGTTTAACGTGACATATAATATTAGTTAAATTATTTACAAAAATTTAACAACGATCCGACGTTTCCGATGCTTTACACGGCTGCTCCAATTTAAATGATAATGTCACGTTTTAAACCGTTAAAAGTGTTCTATTTAAACTTTTAAGTACTGTTTGTACTTCTCGACTTAACCGATTTCAAATAAAATTGACGAGTGAAATATTCATAAAGACAGATGAAACATAGACACGTTTTTATGTCCCATGCCCCATGCCCCACAATCGGGGTTTTACTCTTATAAGAACGTTATTTCAAATATTACGCAACTAATTCTACTAATATAAGCCACAATATTTAAAAAATATTCCTAAATATTGGAAATGTAGGTAGGTACATTTTTGTTTTATTTGGTAAAAACTACTGTACGCTTTTTAATGTAGGTAATATAACTAATAAAAAACAAATGAAACTATAAAAAAAACGAAAAATAATACGTAAGTGTACAATTTTACCGGTTTAAAACGCGAACTATATTCATTAATTTTAAATCACGAGTCGACGCTTACGTGCTTTACAAGTAACCTAGCCGCTGCATACAATTTAATTAACTTTATTATTTCCGGATTTAAACCGTTTTATTTAACCCGTATATTATTTTGAATCTCCTAATGATAAAAAAAAAATTATTATGAAATGAAACGAATGAAATAAATTGCCGACATAATGTCGTAAAGTTAATGAAGTGATAACAGTGTAATTCTTATGTCAACATGAGATTATATTAAAACAAATTATGATTATTAACATATTATGATTGTAATTACAATAATATATTCATACAGTAAGGTATATAGATCGAAACGTCGGGCCGTAGTTAAAAATAATTTTCAAACAAGTTTAACAAAAATATATCGCGTTTAAACCGTTAAAGAGTGTACTACTCGCGTTAACTACAGACAGTATTTACTATAGTATTGTTAAATTTATGTTTAATATAATTTGGATTTTCAAATTTAAATAAAACACTTTTAACGGGCTCAAACGCGAAATATTAGTTAACTTATCTTTATGTATTTTAACTATGACGTGACGTATGACGGCTATAAATTAAAAATCGATCGACACGGGCAAGAATTGAACCGGCACCTGAGCAGCACGGATCGCTGTGGATACCGCTTCAGGTCGTGCCCATGTCGTATTTAATTTACATTCTATATTCGATTTTAAATTTGCTTGTGTAGGTACCAACTGCTCGCGTAAACTATACACTATATTTGTTGTTTCATAGTTCGTGGTTACTTCTTAACCTCAGTAGATTAGGCTTTAACCCTACTGAGCCTTCTTCACACCTTTGAGGTGTCAAATTAAGCACGTCATTTTGTTTGTTTTTGATATCGTGCATAGTATTTTATTCAATTATTAAAGGTAAGTGGGTATTCATTATATTGAGTTTGAATAAGAATTTGAAATTCAAAATTTATTTATTATTAAATACTGTCTATAGTTTACGCGAGTAGTACACATTTAAATAAAACACTTTAACGGTTTAAAACGCGATATATTAGTTAAACTTATTTGAAAATTATTTATAACGTCTCCCCGTGACCATGGCTGTTGCAAAGCATCCGAAACGTCGGGCCAAAGTTAAAATCATTTTCAAATAAGTTTAACTAATATATCGCGTTTTATTTATTATTTACAAATACAAAATACACATTTTCTTTTTCACAAGACAAAAAACAGAACATGGCACACAATAAAATGCATTTAAAATAAGGACAAACGGCGACTTAATATTTATTTTTTATTTATTTTTATTTATTTAAACTTACAATCAAACGGCCTTACATAGCGCTTAATTAACAATAAAACTTAAAGAATAAACGAGGCTAGGCCTTACAGATTGCTTACATCGCTATAACGGGTTAAATTACAGAAATGAGAAGGAAAAAAAAGGAACTTAAGATAAGATTTTTTTTTTACTTACAATTTGCTTAATACTGCTTTTTTGAAAATGTTTAATCTATTCCAATAAATATCAACGTCACAAAATTTGTTGTTAAAAAGTTCGCAGGACCGCGAAAAAAACCTATGTTTGGCATAATTAGTATGACTGGTGTTAGTGGAAAAAACTAGTTTTTTGCGTGAGGAGATTCGTGGTGTGTGGAAATTAATTTTACTAAGTAATAAGATTGAGTCAATTTTGTTGTGTATAATTTTATAGAGAAAAAGTAGATCGAGGTATGCACGTCTATTTATTAAAGATAGTAAGTGATGTTTGTAAGCGCTAGTTTCATAGTCGTTAAAATAGTTACCCGTAAAGTAATCCAAAGCCTTTAGGAACTTATGCTGAATTTTTTCTATTTTATCTATATGTACAGCATACAATGGATTCCAAACAACACTTCCAAACTCTAAAATATTACGAACGTGAGAATTGTATAATATCTTTAGGGTATCAGCTTTTTTGAATGGCTTAGAGTAGCGAATAATCATTCCCAACCTTTTGAATGCTTTAGTTGTTATGTTGTCAATATGTATATTGAAGTGCATTTTGGATATCTTAATAGCTATCTCTTCCAAGCAAATTCCGCGGTGGAAATGAAAACACAGCAATAAAAGAGGTAAGCGTGGCTGCACAAAAGGCTAATCTTATAAGAAAAAACATACAAAAATGAGCTTAATTCAACATACATTCCTTACCAACTTAACTAAATCGTTTAATCTATACTAATATATAAAGCCGAAGAGTTTGTTTGTTTGTTTCAACGCGCTAATCTCACGAACTACGGAATTACGAATTCTTTTTGTGTCGCTTTGAGCATTTATCGAGGAAGACTATAGGCTATAACTAACAACCTAATAACAGAAGCGATACAACTGGAAATGTGAACGAAACGGGGGTAATTTTTCATCTCCGTGGGTTTCAGATGCGTACGCTGCGAAATCGGATCAAGACACTAAGAAAATGTGTATGTAAGAATGATTTTTCTTTAAATTATGTAAAAAACGTCAGCGACGCCCCATGTCTATCTTTTAAGATTAACTTGCAAGAATGGCGGGAAGGGACGCGACCGACGTCGTGGGTAACAGCTTAAGCTTATAAAGATGAAGGGGTTTGCAAAATCGAATTTGGTTGCCCCAAATAACGATTCTGGCGGACGAAGTCGCTGACACAGCTAGTTAGATATAATTAGTTAGACTTTTTTGCAAGCGAGACTCTGGACATGTAATATAAGAAGGCAAATTATTTCAAAGTTTTTATTTATCGAATTATATTATATCAGATTTTTTATGAAGACAGTCTAAAATTATCGTTTACTTCGTGTCACTTAGCAGAATGCTTCGTTAGCATTATTCCATTCCGATATTGGATTACGCGGGAATAGTGGAAGCTTAGTTTTAAAAACTTTAATATTTTTCACATGTATATAAATTAAAACAACAAGAAAAAAATTACGACCCGGGCAGGACTTGAACCCGTGTCCACAGCGTTCTGTATTGCGTTTTTAATAGTTTTAATCGTATAACACTTAGTATTGATGTTCTGAATTCAAAATAAAAACGAACTTAATTCGATTTGTGTTTAAAAATGGAATATGAATTTGAAAGACTAATGGTCTAATGGTAGTAAAGCATTGCTAATTACCGACGGGTCGTTTACGCGAGTAGTACGCATTTAAATATAACACTCTAACGGTTTTAAACGCGAAATGTATCAGTCATCCTTATTCATAAATTATTTTAACTACGCCCCGACGTTTTAAATGCATTGCAGTAGCCCTTCTTAAGATATTTTGTAAATAAGTTTAACTAATACATTTCGCGTTTTAAACCGTTAAAGTGGTTTTATTTAAACGAAAAATTAATTCAGACTACGGCGGCCTTACCGATCGAAATTGTTTAATGTTCCTACGAGAAATGAACTTAGGACGAATCAATATTGTATCTAAACAAAAATTTAAATTTATTTCAAAAAATGTAACGTAACGTAACTATGCTAGTCAAAGCCTTCTTTATTGATTTTATATACTCGTCGTTAAAATCGTGACTCGCAAAACGATTAAACTTATTAGCTATCGATTAAATTTTATAAATCAGTAAACGCCTCTACAGTGTAACGTTTGACCGTGTTGCTTAGTGTTAAGCGTGTGGGGTTTGAATCACGGTAAAACAATAAATTGTTCCAGTCGCGCAAAAAAGTGTATCTTGTCTGTAGATAATAGATCAGTGAAACGTAAAAATGTGTGTGTGTGTCCGTGTAAAGCAATGTGTGAGTCAACGGGTCGTGGGTTCGGTCCCCACCGAGTCCAACATAATTCTAATCAACTTAAAATTTTTCGGAAACGCGTTGGGACTTCGTCTGGAAATATAGATGGTGGTAGGATTATCAAAATTCCGGGTCCGACCGTCCACAGTGGGAGAAGCTGTGAAGTTTGATGGCCTTTCGGTGGCAGTCTGTGGATTTCCGAATATATAGATGTTATATGGCGGGCGTGTTTAACCTACCAAGCTTGTCTGTCCTCCTCTATTTTTAAAAATCCCACACCCCTAAAGGGAAACGCGATATCACTTACGATTCAGTGAAGTCATCGCAAATCGTAAAGCATTTCAATGCCCCCCCAGAGTGCTATCCAAAGTTATTATCTCGCGAAAACCGCGTCACAGCTCGCCCGCAGTTAACACAAAACATGCGCAAGCGCATACACGTCTTTTTCGCGTTGCTCGCGGTCTGTGAATCGGCGAGAATTTTCGCCATATACCCAGTGCCATGCTTCAGCCACCAGCTCGCGTTCCGTCCTCTAACCATGGACTTAATAAATCGTGGACACCAGGTGACTGTGGTGACACCATTCCCCATTTTCCCAGACGGCGGGGCGCCGGCGAATCTAACAGAAATCAGCATACAAAAGCTCGTCCAAGACATGACGAAAAAAGCGCTGGTGGAAGATATGAAGGACGCTAAAGATCTTCTGACGCAGCAGAAAATCGCCTTCGATGTAGGTAGGGAGATCTTCGACGTGCTGTTCCACGAATTGAGGGATTTCCTTAGCAGCGGACAGAAGTTTGACCTGATCCTGGCAGAAGCTTGCGCGCGCATGGGCGTTCTGTTCTCTCATATCTTCAAAGCACCAGTTGTTCAGATCAGCTCGTTCGGTGGCACCTTCGACGCGTTCAGTATAGTCGGAGCCCCGATACATCCCCTGCTGTATCCGATAGCGAATCGGGAGAGGTTCAAGAATCTGACTTGGTTAGACAAAATTATGGAGACGTACAGACATTACAGATTGATCAAATTGTATTATGATGGGGAGGAATCGGAGAACGAGGTCGCGAGGAAGCATCTGGGCGACGTGCCCACTTTGACGGAGCTGGCTGATAATGTGGAGATTATTTTTTTAAACGTGCATCCGATTTGGGACTCTAACCGGCCAGTGCCGCCCAATCTTATTTACTTGGGTGGGCTACATTTGCAGAAGGAGAAGGCCTTGCCAACGGTGAGTGAATTCTATTATTACAAATACTAGCTATGCCCGCAATTTTGTCTACATGGACAATCTCTTTCTCTTTTTAAAATATAGCTGTTACCCACGACGTTGTCTGAGTCCCGTTTTTGCGAGTTAATATTAAAAGATGACATATACTGTCGCGGACATATTTATAGATGATAGCTGAGCCGGCAAACGTTGTTTTTTTAATTTTACTAAAATGTCTATTAAAAAATAAGGGTTGATCGTAGAAGAGTGAAAATTGAGTAGTTGTATGTTGTATCATAAAAAAATAGAAATTAAAAATGTTGTCTAAAAAATAAAAAATAAAATTTAAGGGTGAACAACCCTTATCACTTAGGCGGATGTAAAATAGATGTTGTCCTATTCTAAAACCTACTGAATACACATATCAAATTTGGTGAAAATCGGTCGAGCCGTTTCGGAGGAGTTCAAGTTCGAACACCGTGACACGAGAATTTTATATATTAGATATAAAGAGCGATCATTATTCATCACATTTAAATAAAATCACTTCAACAGTTTAAAACACGATATATTTTAGTGAAACTTGTTTGAAAATTATTTTTAACTACGGCCCGACGTTTGGATGCCTTCACAATAATTAACGGGGCGTGGCGTCGTGGCTCATTAAATAGGCATGATTTTCCGGGACACAAACCACTGTCAACAGATGAAACAGGCGTGAAGTAATCGAGGTTCGGTTTCAGTGTGAGAATTTGCGAATATCTAAAGCCAAAATAGGTAGACAGCGTACCTTGTTCAGATGTTATATAGTTGGGGTATTCCATCAGTGGACCTAAAAAGGACACACAAACATAGGCTAGTCTGTCCACTATCATTAAACACAATTGGTTAGTGCAGCACCTCTCAACGCCGTGTAGGCTGGTTCACGTCCTGCACGCGTTGTAAAACGTTGGACAAATAAAAAAAAATGCCACAAAAATTCAATCTTTCAATCTTTTCGTTAGAACGAAATAATTCCTTTAGTAGTGTCTATAGTTTACGCGAGTACATTTAAATAAAACACTTTAACGTGACCGTGACCGCGACCACGGCTGCTGCAAGCATCCGAAACGTCGCGCTGAAGTTAAAAATCATTTTCAAATAAGTTTAACTAATATATCGCGTTTTAAACCGTTAAAGTGTCTTATTTAAATGGTTCAGTAGTTCTAACTCTTTGCGCTTAGCAACAAATTCAGTTTCATGCTTACGTTTGACAGCGGCTTACATGAGAGGGAAGAAGAGTGGGAGGGGGGGTCATTGCTTCAATTATGGCATATACATCTCATTATCAACCACTATTACGTTAATTATGCAAAGATCCTTTGTTTAAACTGTTATATTCAATTGTAGTAATTTGCAAAGCATTGTCTGTAGTTTTTTTTAGTTACGCATGTATCGATTATATCGCGAAGTATTCGAGGAGTTCGAATCCCGGAGAAACGATGGTTTGTAACGAACGGGCAGGGAACAGAGTCCCGATCAACTACTTGCCTATAAGAGAATAGATCACTAAACGGACGCAATAATGCGCGCGCGCCGTGCCCTTACATGATTGGGGGGGGGGGGATATGGTGGGTTATTGACTCAGTTGTGGCAATCTCATCATCCACTCTAAATTTTATAAAGATCCTTTGTTTATTCTATTATAATAAATGACAGTAATTTGCAAACTATTGTCTGTAGTTTATGCGTGTATATATCTGAACAAAACGCTTTTATCGTTTTTATCGCGAGATATGACTCTGTAGCTAAATGGTTAAGCGTGTTGGCTAGCATAGCGTACAGCGCTTCCTGGGTTCGAATCCCGGGATAACAATTGCTTGTTTTAATCGGGCAGGGCGCAGAATTCTGATCAAATATTTGTCTGTAAAAGAGGCGATCAGTAAAACGGACACAGATATGTGTTAGCGCCATGCCTCACTGGAGAAAACGGGTTTTTATTTTCTCGCGACATATATTAGTTACATTTTTGGGGCTAATATGTTTGAGGGGATCCGGTTCTCTAGTGAACACTTACATCATGGTATTTCTACTTACAAAATTAAGAAATTACAAGTGTAAATAAAACCACTTTAAACAAACGTTACGCGAAATGTATAAGTTAAAATAAATTGTAAATAAGTTAACTAATATATAAGCGTTTTAAACCGTTGGAGTTTTATTTAAATTCAGCAGTTCTGGGGAAAGTATTTTTGTCAAGCAGGACACAGAATTAATTAACTGTATGTATCAGTGAGACGGACATAGAAATGTGTCTGTGTCCTTCTCCACACAAGGAAAATTAAATTCAGATCATGTTTTTGCGTATCTTAACGATATAACTAAAGACCACTAACTTAAGAGGTCGTTGACCTTTTATACTTGACAACTCCTATTTGCTCTTTACGAGAGTTGAATGCAATATTGACCAATTTTAACAGATTTATACGCAAAATTTAGTTCTTTATATTCCCTTTATTACGAGTCGTGAAAATATCATTAAATAACATCACGTTTTACCCCGTTGTAATTGATTTATTTAAATTGACAGTTTTATTTGAATGCATCATTTATAAGGGCCGTGGGTTCGTTTTCACTTTTTAATGTTTCTGAAACACGTTGAACTTCGCTAGACATCTGGATATTAAATTGGTGGTAGTAATATCGAGATTCCGTCCGGATCACGAACCACCGACCCACGTGAAAATCGTGAGGTTCAGTCCGTGGATTTCGAAATATAAAAAGCTAAAATAGGTCGATAGCGCATTATATTCGGAAAATGGGATGTTTCACCTAACACCAAGTGCCTATGCTTCTCTGCCTCCTCTATCATAAAGGACATACCTAAAAAACGGTTTAATTTATTTTTCAGGATTTAAAAAGCCAACTTGATGCATCAGAGAACGCAATTTACCTAAGTTTTGGAAGTACAATAACGTCACCGGTACTCAGCGAGGAGAAAATCGAAATGTTTTTGCGGGTACTTTCAAAACTACCCTACACAATTTTCTGGAAGTGGGACGCGGACGTACCGACTGTTCCCGACAACGTCATAGTTAGAAAATGGTATCCGCAGGCGGATTTATTAAGTGAGTTTTACTTTTTTGTAGATTATATGTAGCATAGATTATGAGAGTCTTAACTCTTAAGAGGCTAAAGGGTTTTTATTTATTAGGCTTTCACGGCCTAAATTCAGCTCGTCGATTGCTCGACTAATTAAGATCCGTTCGTAATGGCGACGCGTCGAGAACCTCTTCTCGCTTACGTCGGCCGAAAGGCCCGAAAAATGATATATATGTTTTTTTATCATGGAGGTCTGCCTATGGTAGCTAAAATACCCCAACCATATAATAGGCCCTTAACAAGAATGAAAAGAAGTGTTGTCGACCTATTTTCACAGACTAAAACCAAACGCGATTAAACTTTACGGCTGTTTTGTCTGTGGTGGTGCGTGACGCGGGCGGAATTTCGATATTCCTACCTCCCATTTATTATCCTTTTAAATAAAACACTTTAACGGTTTAAAACGCGATATATTAGTTTAACTTATTTGAAAATGATTTTTAACTTCGGCCCGACGTTTCGGATGCTTTGCAACAGCCATGGTCACGGGGAGGCTAAAGACGGAGGATGTCTCTGACGTCAAAGTAAAAAAATTGCTACGCTAGCGCTATCTGTTCCGTGGAAGTTGGTATTTGGCGAAACTGGCCGGGTCCTTACAGAATTGACTAACGGTTAATAGTTAACGGCTATTATAAGGCAGCGATCAATAGAAGCGAAGCTACTCAAATATATGTAGAAAAGGATCTTTTTTAAATAATCTAAAGAAAAATGTCCGCCATAGTATATGCAGTGGCGTAGCTATCGTAGGGCCAGGTGGTGCAGTGCCTCAGGGCCCCGGAACTTAGGGGCCCTCTAACCTTATCTTTGAGAAGATATTTATTATAATATTTTTTTAACGTTCTTGTTGCTATTTATAATTTTGGAGGTCCATTCAAGCTATGCTAAAAGAGGGGATGAGGTCCCGATTCTTTCTTGAGCCTTAGGATTAGGTAGACCGGGGCCCTTGTCCATCTAGCTACGCTACTGAGTATACCTTTTAAAATTAACTCATAAGATTAGATTTTTGGTTATGATTTTGGTCGAAATACGACAAAAGAACGTGTGCCAGGTCATCTTGTAGATTATATAAAGCAAATGATGTAGGATGCGAAGAAAACAAACAAAGACACACTTGTGTTAACAAAAAATGCAAAACATGTTAAATTTTTCATGCGTTGTTTTGAAATTATAAAATAATTGTAATTCATGTATAATTCCTAATTTTACAGTATATATAGTTGCTTATGCCAGTAATATGCATTTAAATGATTTTGTAACGGTTTAAAACGCGAAATATATCGGTTAATTTCTTGGATGGATCTAATGGATATCGCGTTTTGAACCGTTAAAAAGTCGATATAAATTTGCATATTTTAAGTATTCTTTATAGATAACAGCATGGTTTACACTTGATGAAAGATGAAATAACCCAACCATATAACACCCAATTTATTAGGTCACGCGATACACTATGGCTTTTTAGACGACGAAACTTCAATATTCTGGACGCCCTTTTGCAGGTAGAGAAATCCAAAACGAATTGACGAACACGCTGGACGCGCTCGGAATCGAACCAACGAACGTCGTTACCTTTAAACCAACACGCCGTTAGAGAAAAGGCCGTTAACGTTTTACGTTTCGTAAGAATTGCCTCGAAACCAGTTTGTAGTCGTTGCTTGCTTATCTGGAAACAAAATTAAAGATACAACGCTATATTTACGGGTATGTTGATAATTCTTTCAGCATTGAAATAGTTTACATAAAAATTATTGAGTTTGCCTGTTTGTTTGTAATTTAAATTATAGTCCAACGACATGCAAAATATCATCTATATTTAAATGAAACACTTTAACGGTTTAAAACGCGATATATTAGTTAAAAATCATTTTCAAATAAGTTTAACTAATATATCGCGTTTTAAACCGTTAAAATGTTTTATTTAAATGTGTACTACTCGCGTAAACTATAGACAGTATTATTTATATTTATAGTTCTATATCTACACTAATATATAAAGCTGAAGGGTTTGTTTGTTTGTTTGAACGCGCTAATCTCAAGAACTACGGGTTAGGGAAGTTTTTTTGTGTTAGTTAGAGCATTTACGGGCTATAAAACATCGCACTGTGATTAATAAAAGCTAAGATATAGCGGGGAAATGTGAACAAAACGGGGAAAATTTTCATCTCTGTGGGTTTCAGATGCGTACGCTGCAAAAACAGTTCAAGATATCTAAAAAATGCGTATCAAAGAATGATTCCTCTTTAAACGATCTAAAAAAAAGTCCGCGACGCTATATGTCTATATTTTAAGATTAACTTGCAAGAACGACGGGAAGGGACGCGATCGACGTCGTCGCTAACAGCTTAAGTTTATAAAGATACATGATAAACGAATTTGAATGCCAAAAATGACGATTCTCGCAGACGAAGTCGCTGGCACAGCTAGTATTAATATTCAGAGTTTGTATGTTTGAACGCGCTAATCTCAGGAAGTACTGGTTGAAATTTAAAAATCCTTTGAGTTGGTTAGAACATTTATTGAGGGTGGTTATAGGCATTTACATCGCGGTGTCACTGAGGGTTGAGAAAAAGCGGGCGGGGAAAATGGGGTTTTTCGGGGGGGGGGGGGGGGGGGGGGGTTTTTTTCCCCCTTTTTGGAAATTTTTTTTTTGCCCAAGTTTTTTTAACTACAGAACACTTGCCGTGATTTCTCCCTCTCCTCTATCTTTTTTTCATTTATTCTTCCTAATGTTTACCGCTAAGTACTTATATATATCGAATGGTTGTATGTCCTGTTAACAGACAAACGGTAGGGTTTTCTAAAATCAGTGTTGGTATCATAAGAACCGTGCTGCAACTTATGCTGACGTAAGACCCTTTTGAAAAAAATCTTATTTAATCCTGGCGGAATATTTATATTCCCCCTTTTTTATTATTTTTTTTTTTAAAAAAAACATTTTTTTTTTTTCCCCCTAAAAATAAAAAAAAAAAAAAAAAAAAAAAAAAAAAAAAATAATTAAAAAAAAAAAAAATAAACCCCCCCCCCCCCCCTTTTTAAAAAAAACCCAAAAAAAAAAAAAAAACAAAAAATTTAAAAAACTTAATATAATTTATATGATGATTAGGTATTTAATTTATAGGTATGCACAATGTTGCTATGAAATTAGATATAGGATAGCATATTGTCTTCATATTTCATATCATATTCTTATTAATGAATCAATTCTTCGAGCAACCGACGAGCTAACATCTGATGCCGTCCACACGTGTTGGCGAAACGTCGAGAACCTCTTCTCGCTCATGTCGGCTGAACAGCCCGAAAGATATGCTGAACGATAGCCTTGATAACGAAAGCCTTACACAATTCATTCGATATGTTGGAGAATACTATCGTACCGCGTGAAAGCTTCGGCTCGGGGAAGGCGGAAGGGGTTATATATATTTATAAGAACAGCCACTTCAAACTTTCACATATATTTGCACTTTTTCACTGTTAACATTATTTGGTATATGGTATATATATGTACATGACTCCATACAAAGACGCTGACGTGTTTCGTCCGGCGTGTCGAGAAGAGAAGTAATTGTTTTCTATCATAAAACAATATCCTGGAAATTCAAATAAACATAGAATAGAACATTTTAAAAACCTAATTCAAGTGTTGCCAGCCAGTATCAATATAAATAAAAGTAAACTCCAACAAGACATTGTATAAATAAAACAAAACTTTAATACCTAATTTAACAACAACATTATGAAAGGACGAATTCATTTTTTTTTTATTTGACATTTAAATTGATGAAATTGATAGACAACATGTATCTTTTTACTTCGGCCCGACGTTTCGTGACCACGGCTGCTGCAAAGCATCCGAAACGGCGGGCCGAAGTTAAAAATCATTTCCAAATAAGTTTAATTAATATATCGCGTTTTAAACCGTTAAAGTGTCTTATTTAAATGTGTACGACTCGCGTAAACTATAGACAGTATTTAACATGTATCGTATTTTTTTAAATCACTATTTTATCAACGAAAAATATAGGTTTCATAAAGTAACTAATTCATTTGCGAGGAATTGTAATCGTATTCATAATACATTGCCAGTTGAAATTTCAGATTTATCGATAAATAAGTTTTAAAAAGTAAAAAAAATAAATTTTCACAAGGCTTATTGTCTGAACGATTTCTTTAATGACAACACCGCCTGGCAGTGATATGAATTGCTCCTTAGATAAAAAAATGCTCACAATGTGTTAGTTCATAAGACATGTTTAAAAAAGCCGGACTGAGTTTCTTGGGTGTTCTTCTCCGACATGTTCCCTTTGGAACACTCAGTAGATTCAACAATCACGACAGACAGACAAACACTTTTTGTCGAATCTAAATAAATATAAATTTATGAATTTTTAAATAGTATAAGGTATACTTTATTTCTAGTTTGCATAAACTGTATCGTAACGGAGAATTCAGACCGTAATTATTATTGCTATGATTTATGTGCGCAGGGGAAAGAGAACTAAGACTACAATTCAAATATTTTTTTCTTCGCTCCAGAACACCCGAACATAAAGCTGTTCATAACGCAAGGTGGTCTCCAATCTATAGACGAGGCGATCGACGCTGGAGTCCCAATGGTGGGAATCCCGATAATCTGGGACCAATGGTACAACGTGGACAAGATCGTGGAACTGGAGATCGGAGTCATGTGCAACATACGAAGTGTCACGGAGGACGAATTTGCAACCGCCATAGAGACGGTTATCAACGATACGAGGTAAGGAAGTTGACATTTTGTGTTGTAGCTTAATGTAGAAGCGAGAGAGGTAAGTGCAGTCTGTGGTTAGGTTACACGGAATGCTGTGGAAGCCGGTGCATCTAATTTTAAGTCTATAGATATATGTAGTAATATTATAAATAAAGAATTCGTTTTTTGACCGTTATCTCAGGAATACTGTTTGCTAAAAACTAAGTTTTAAGTATCCATCGAGGAGGTATAAATTGGGCAAAGCGGAATTGAAGGGATTTTTTGAGAGTTCCTCTCCTAAAATAATATTTAAAGTGTGTACGAAATAATTATTCCCCTTTAATTGATCTAACAAAATCCGCTACAATACATGCCTATCTTTTAAATAAAACACTTTAACGGTTCAAAACGCGATATATTAGTGAAACTTATTTGAAAATGATTTTTAACTTCGGCCCGACGTTTCGGATGCTTTGCAGCAGCCGTGGTCACGGGGAGACAAATAAGTTTAACTAATATATCGCGTTTTAAACCGTTAAAGTGTTTTATTTAAATGTGTACTACTCGCGTAAACTATAGACAGTATTTACATGCCTATCTTTTAAGAATGGCTTGCAATAACGACGTGGCCACGTTAAATTGACAAAGATGTTTTTTAAATTGAAAAAATATATTTTGATGCGCACAACTATTCTATTTGGACGAAGTCGCTGGCACAGCTAGTCGTTTATGTAATGCCATCGTGTGAAAATATTAATGTTTTTAAACGTCTATAGTTTATGCGAGCACTCATTTATATGCAAAAATGCTTTGCAGCAACCGACGTTTCGCACGTGACCGCGGCTGTTGCAAAGCATCTAATACGTCAGGCCGTAATTAAAATATATTGTAAATAAGTTATAATTTAAGTTATAATACCGATGAAAAGGCTCCTAAAACAAGTAATCCTTTTCAACTGCACACGGTATTTTAATAAAATCCCTCGTGAAATAGAAAATACTAGTGAATACTGTCAATAATAGTACATTATGTTATAAGTGCGGTAAGTTGAAAATTACAGCCGGCATTACTAGCCCGAGCCATCGGCGAGGGCTATAAGAAAGCAGAGGCTGTAATTTTCAAAGCGCACGTATGTCATACGACGTTTTATAACATATTTACGAGGAAATGACGATATTTTCAAATAAAAACAATACAGCGAAAAGAAAAAGCGCCCGGAATTATTCTTACTTGTCCACAAATAAGCGATGCGCGCGCATCAACGTTTTTTTTTTGCAAAGGTACAAAAACAGCCAGTATTACTAATAAAGTAAATTAATATTTTTGTGTTTTTGTTATAGTTAAATGGTTGTAATTTATTGTCAAAATTAATTAAATCAAAGAATTAAATGTTTATTTCTTATATTTTATTTCCTAAAGTTAATTTTATTCATAAAATATTGACCACTATCTTGACATAAAACCTCTTTGCCAAGAAAAAGAACACGTGCCTTTTACATTACATTATCGCACAAGTACGTAATGAGATACATTACGATATTGAAATTGGTGTAATTACATCCACCTTACGAGCAAATATGTTATAAATAAATTTAAATTGTATGTCATAAAAAAATCTACTTGGAAATGGTAATTATAACGTAAATCAATATTTAAATGATAAAAATGTTCGGAGGAATCCGCTCACGGGAAGTGTACACAATAAGTCCGTAAGGATTTTGACAAAAACTTAACAATAAAAGGGGTGGCGGCGAGTTTCCTGCCAATTCTTCACGTTCGTTCTACCCCCTTACCCTTACCCCCTTATCTAGGGAACTGGTAGTAAATGATAATGATATAATTTAACTTTGAGTTTATTTTTATTTCTAACTGTATTGACGTTCATAAATGTACCTACATAAATAAATGATTGATTTGATTTGTTAATGAATAACGCGAATATTTTAGTTAACTTATTTACAATTAGCTGTGTCAGCTACTTCGCCGGCGTAGAATAGTTATTTTCGGCATCCAATAATTTTCCCCGTTTTGTTTTCCACATTTCCCGCAGTGTCTGAGCTCCTATAAGTCACATCATGTTAATAGGCTTAAGCCTTCCTCGGTAATTGCTCCAACGTCAAACCAGTAGTTTCTGAGATTAGCGCATTTAAACAAACAAACAAACTCTTTAACTTTATATCTTAGTATTGATTTATTTTAACTACTGTCCCTGTAACGATGGCTGCTGCAAAGCATCCGAAACGTCACGCCGTGGATCACAAAAAAATGTATTAAGTAAAATATTTCGAGTTTAAATGAATTAAAATGTCTATTTGCTTTCAGATACAGAAGAAATGTTGAAAAACTTCGTGCTTTAATCAACGACCAACCGCAGACTTCGCTAGAGAGAGCGGTATGGTGGATAGAACACGTCATGAGACATAAAGGCGCGAAATATTTGAAGTCTCCCGCGCATAACATGAGCGTCATAGACTATTTCGAAGTTCGTCTAATATTGTCTATGGCCTCTATAAGTTTAGTTTTAATTTTTACTCTAGCAGCTTGTTTAAAAACTTTTTTCAGACGAAGTAAGTTGAAAAGAGAATAAAACCTTTTTTTATATTTTGTTTTGTTGTTTTTTTTAACCAGCCCGTCCGGCATACGTTGTTTTGTTGTTGGCAAGAGTGATTTTATGTTGATACAACTCTCACAAATAGTTGCTAATAATGCATAAAAGCTTTAACGGTTTATAACACAATATTAGTTAAACGTTTTGTTTGGATATGTAGTGTCTAAAAGTTAATAACTACGGCATCATCATCGAATCCACGTTACGCATGCCCGACATCAGTTATTCAGTATTCAATATCTTTATCTTTCACGTAAGTAAATAGTTTTAACATAATAATATGATCTAAATATAAAATTTTTTTTTTTTTTTTTCCTTGTGAGCCGCTGTGGTGGAGAGGTATGGTTTTTTTCGTCTCGAGTCCTTCGAACAAACGCAAAACAATTTGTATCAGTGTCCACTTTTACCACACGGGGAGTCGCGAAAAACTTGATCTAATAATACGACTATTCACAAAACGTATTGCAATACGCTTCAGGGCTGTAAGCTGTACATTTTATACTCGTATTAAAAACTTTGAAAAAAATTTGGAATTATTAATACCCCCAACCCCCCTTTTTCCCCCCCCCCCCCCCCCCTTGTTTTTTTTTTTTTTTTCCCCCCCCCCCCCTTATATCGCGTTTTCAACCGTAACATGTGTTTTACTTACTAGTGTAACTACACATAGTATTTAATAATGCAATAATTTCGACCAAATTTGATTACCATAGAAACGGTTCTTCCAATTTTATATTAAAAGATAGACATGTACCGTCGCGTCATTTTTTTATATCATTTAATGAGGAATCATTAGTTTATACATATTCTTGAACCGTTTTTCGCAGCGCACGGACAGAAGCGCAGCAACGGAAATCCTTAAAGGTGAATATATTTTACTGTTTCTTCACGACTGCTGGTCGCAGCGAGATGTTTTAAAGCGGTCCTCGATAAATTTATCGAGGGCCGATCTAACCAACAAATTATAATTTTCAATTTGAAACAGAGTTCCTTAAACAAACAAACTCTACAGCTTTATAATATTAGTATAAATATAATATATAAGAAATGTAAATAAATCAATATCTCAATGATTTGAACCCTTCAACCTTTCTTAATGATGGCGACAATAAAACAAAAGTTTAGTTTATCTGTACATTAAATAAATAATATACTACTGTCTAAAGTTTACGCGAGTAGTACACATTTAAATAAAACACTTTAACGGTTTAAAACGCGATATATTAGTTAAACTTATTTGAAAATTATTTTCAACTTCGGCCCGCCGTTTCAGATGCTTTGCAGCAGCCGTTATTACGGGGTAACGCCAGGTGGTAATTAAAATAATTTTTTCTCATACATTTCGCATTTCGAACCGTTACAGTGTTTTATTTAAATGTGTACTACTCTCATAAGCAGACAGTATTTACTAATAACATTTTTAATTAAAAAAATACTTTTCAAACTATGTTTTATCCGGACGAAGTCAAAGACGAACGCTAGTCAACATATAACGCCGTCGCTGACCGATTACCTTATCTATAAAAGTTTATTTAAGACAAATCGGAAATTTATAACCACGCTCAAACACAATGGAGCTATAAACTTACAAAGACCTCACCACAAAAAATTGCGTCAAATATTTACAACGGGTTGTGGACACACTCAAGATTATCTTATCTAATGACGACATACAACGCAATAGATTCGTCCAGACGATCTATTTAGTTATAATTAGTACCATGCTGCGGTTAGTCCTGTTCCTCCTACTGGTGGCATCCAGCCGCTGTGCCAGGATCTTAGCTGTCTACCCGGCGCCGTGTTACAGCCACCAACAGGCGTTTCGTCCGTTAACACTGGAATTGGTGAGGCAAGGACACCAGGTCACAGTTATAACTCCCTTCCCAGCATACGACGGTAACCCACCAGCCAACCTCACAGAAATTAATATATACTCCGCCATAGAAACCATCGCGAACAGGATTCTAGATGACGAAATCAAAGACGCTAAAGACATTCTGTCGCAACAGAAGATCAGCTTCAAAGGAGCGAAGGACGTGATGGATCTACTGTTTCTTGAACTAAAAGATTTTATCAATAGTGGAGAGAAATTCGATCTTATACTAACAGAAGCTTGCGTAAGATTGACTATGGTCTTCTCTCACGTGTTCAAAGCACCATTGATACAGATCAGCTCGTTCGGTGGTACCTTCGATACGTTCAGCATAGTTGGGGCTCCCATCCACCCACTTCTATACCCACTAGCGACTCGTGAGCACTTCAAAAATCTGAGCATGGTGGAGAAAGTTATGGAGGCTTATAAGCACTATCAGTTTATCAAATTGTATTATGATCTCGAGAGTGTTGAAGATGAAGTGGCGAGGAGGCATTTCGGAGAAGACTTCCCGTCGATACGAGAGTTGACTAAGAATGTGGAGATGATCTTTTTGAACGTGCATCCGATATGGGACTCCAATAGGCCGGTGCCTCCGAATCTTATTTATTTGGGAGGGCTGCATTTGCAGAAGGAGAAGCAGCTGGCGAAGGTAAATTTGGTGCATCGTTAGTATTAGACAAAGTTACCTAGTCCAAAGATTTACAAAGAAGTAATTGAAAAACGATTTTAGATTGAATAAATTTAACGACACGAGCAGGATTTGAACTGGCATCCACAGCGTTTTGTGCTGTTGCTCCAATCAATTGGGCTTCCGTTACTTACAGTTCATCGTGGAATTTCAAGGTTTTTTTTTAAACAAATTGAGCTGGGTAAAATATTATTGTTTTCAAAAAAGTAATTTTAAAAGACAGACAACATTAGGGTTTTCATAATGCCAGCTCAGACTTTTACTTTGGTCATTCAGAAATCCACAGACGAAAAGAGAAACGCGATTAGATATTACAGCTTTATAATCAGTAGATCATGGCTCATGATTCTGAATTTTTATATTCTTTATTTAATATCCAGATTTGCATACAGTGCAACATGTATCAGAAGATTTTCAAATAAAGGTCAAATTTTCTTCAAGGTTAAAATTATATAATGAGTCAGAATTTTTAGTCTTAGATTATAAAATGATTCGTTAAGTTTTTTATCCTTCTGGAAATAAATTTGTTAGAGATCTATAAAAATTTATATGATACACAACAGTGAAGGACATCTAACGTTTGTACTAAAATGCTGAAGTAGACACTTATGTTAAATGTATTTATAATATCTTTCTTACATTGGGCAGAGATATTTCTCAGTCCGTCTCGAAATATTTGAAAACTTAAATATTTTATTGCACTTTATGGCTTTATATAAATTTAAAATCCTTTTTAGATGCTTCATGACAGTTCAATTGGTTACAGCAGCACCACGGAACGATGTCGGTTCAAGTCTTGCCCGTGTCGTAATTTTTTTCAATCCTAAATCAATATTTTACTCTAAAATTATGTTCAGTATTAAGAAGTGAGCGAAAGCCCGTATCCCCCTCGTGGGGCATAGGGCGAACACATTTCTGAGTCCGTTTCACTGATCCGTTCTCTTAACGGGCAAGTAGTTGATCAGACTTTTGTGCCCTGCCCGACCGAAACCTATTTTTTTATTTCCCGGGTATTCGAACCCACGACCTCTCGCGCTTAACGCAGTGCTAGGCAATACGTTTAACCATTTGGCTACAGAGGCGGTTCAAGATTGAAACTCGGGTCATTTCGTGGTTAACGTGAGACAGCGGAGCACAAAGGACGCTGTGGTTGTGAGTTCGAATCGCGCCTGTGTCATCAGAGTTTTCCAAATTAAGACAGACTATAAAACCATTATATATTAAGCGTTGTAAGTAGGATTACGTGAGTACATAATTAAATAAAACATTCTTAACGATTTTAAACTCGAAATATTTAACTTTTATTTTTAATTAGTTAACTTATTTTAACTGCGGCCCGACATTTCCCCCGTTACCACGGCTGCTACAAATCATCGGAAACGTGTCATAATTAAAATATTTTAAAAATAATTAATTTAAATAAAGTACTTTAACGGTTTAAAACGCATATATATTATATAATTCAGATGAAAATTATTCTATTATTATTATATTTTTGCCCGACGTTTCGGATGCTTTGTAACACCCGTGGTCACCCTCTATTGACACAGTTTTCAAGCCGCACAGAAATATTCATTTCTAAAACCTACCAAATGTTCTATCCCTCTACTAGATGCAGGCTTTTAAAGACGCGTTTTAAACTGTTAAAGTGTTTTATTTTAATGTGTACTACTCGCGTAAACTACAAACAGTATTTAATAATTTAACTAATATATTTATCTTTTTAACCCGGTTTTAAATGTTTTATTACAATTATTTACGTATTGTTACAAGGAATTGAAGTCCCTCCTCGACATATCCAATGGTACTATATACATGAGCTTTGGAAGTACTGTCCGGTCCGTTGTTCTCAGCGAGGAGAAAATTAACACATTTCTGAGGGTACTTTCGAAATTGCCGTACACCGTGCTGTGGAAATGGGACGGACACGTGGACAATGTCCCCAATAACGTCATAGTGAGAAAATGGTTTCCGCAAGCTGATTTATTGAGTGAGTTAAAAAAAAAAGTTAAAAGCAGTCATTTAACAATGTCTGTAGTTTACGCGAGTACATTGAAATGAAACACTTTAACGGTTTGAAACGCGATATATATAAGTTAAACTTATTTGAAAATTATTTTAATATACTTCGCTAAGTACCAGATGGCGCTAGCGTAGCAGTTTTTTACTTTGACATTCGAAACATCAGCCGTAGTTTAAATAATTTTGAAACAGGTTTAATTCATATACATCGCGTTTTAAACCGTTAAAATGTTTTAGTTAAGTGTGTGCTACTCGCTTAAACTACAGACAGTATTCAGACTATAGCCTTCCTCGATAAATGCTCTAAATTTATTTTATAATATTAGTAAAGAAATATGTATCTAAATGGTATAATCTCGTGGTGTGTTGCTTCTAAATTCTTCCTTTTCAACATCTATCTATCGTCGAATACACGTCATCGTCGATTTCTTTCAACCTGTTGATGTATCAACGATGACGTGTGGGACACGGTAGCTCAAATGGTTAGAGCAACAGCACGGAACGCTGTAGATGCCGGTTCAAGTCCTGCCGAGGCTTTAATTTTCTTCAATTAATAATACAATTTTAATTTATATTATAGTGTCATGTGAAAAATATTACATTTCAATCTATCGTCATTCAAAATATTGTTTCTAGGACATACGAAGCTAAAGCTGTTCATAACGCAAGGTGGTCTCCAATCTATAGACGAAGCGATCGATGCTGGAGTCCCAATGGTGGGAATCCCCATAGTCTGGGACCAATGGTATAACGTGGATAAGATCGTGGAACTGGAGATCGGAGTCATGTGCAACATACGAAGTGTCACGGAGGACGAATTTGAAACTGCCATAGAGACGGTTATCAGCGATACGAGGTAAGGAAGTTGACATTTGGTCTTGTAGCTTAACGTAGAAGCGAGAGAGGTAAATATAGTCTCTGGTTAGTAACATGGAACACTGTGGATGCCGGTTCAACACCCGCCGTGTGGTAATTTGTGTGGTAGTTTATTTTAACACTTTGACGGTTTAAAACGCGGCATATAATAGTTAAACTTGTTAGAAAATTATTTTAACTACGGCCCGACGTTTCGGATGCTTTGCAGCAGCCGTTATCTCGGGGAGACCCCGCGGTTGCTGCAAAGCATCCGAAACGTTGGTGTTTTATTCCGTTACGTTACGTACGTACAGCGTAAACGCGGGGTCGTTCTTCGAAAACAGATGTAGTAAATATTGTAAACTAGTTGTTAGCAAGATTAACATTATTATGTTCATACAACTCTAACGAATAAATGGTAATAAGGCATTAATTTCGACCAAATTTGATTGCCATGTTCGAGCGAGTTAATCTTAAAAGATATAATACACTATCGTGGCCACTATTTTTGACCATTTAAAGAAAATCACTCTTTCGTACATATTTTTTGGTTTCTTAAACCGTTTTCACAGCGCACGCTACAAAATCCCTTAAAGATGAATAGTCCCTGTGTTCTCTACATTTTCCATTGTTCCTTCACTCTATTAGTTGCGGCGTGATTTTATATAACCTAAGCCTTAAAGCTTTCCACGATAAATGGTCTAAAAATCATTTTATTTCGAACCACAAGTTACGAGATTAGTGCGTTCAAACTAACACACAGACTCTTTAACTTTATAATATTAGTTAAGAATAGATGAGCTCAACAAACACTAACCGCACTCATAGCTCAATGGTTAAACATTGGCATTGAATTCACTCGAGAGATCTCAGGTTCGAATATAAAAGCAAACGAAATATCGTGCAACTTTAAAAAAATAAAGTAATCGTTGAACACTATCCAAACTATTTGTTTGTTTTTTTAGTATCCATATTTATTTAAAACATGTTTTTTTGCCGCAGGTTTCGCGAAAACATAAGAAGAATCCGCGCTGTAATCAACGACCAACCACAGACTTCACTAGACCGAGCCGTGTGGTGGGTAGAACACGTGATAAGACATAAAGGCGCGAAATATTTGAAGTCTCCCGCCTTCGACATGAGTTCCACAGATTATTTCGAAGTTTATTTGCTTTTGTCTGTGGTTCTTATAGTTTTAATTCTTGTATCTATGTTTGTTGCTTATGTCAAATATTGTCTTTCAAGCAGTGGGAAATATAAATTAGAATAATTATATTATTAAATTGCATTTTTGTTATCTTGAGTTTTGACATTTGGGGCATTCCATGCCAAGCGGACAGGTGAAAAATGTTGATGCTTCAGATTATAGTAATATTTTAGTATGTTATACCTATATAGGTCCTCAACCAGACAATGAATGCTCAAACAAAAAATGCTCATATCTTACACCTCTTATACACTGCTCTCTTTAATCCTAATACTCCTTCCTACCTAAAAAATGAATTCAAATTTCTGTGCCCCCTCATCTATAGCCTACGCTCTTCCGACAGACTTATTTTAGAAGTTCCTTGCAACCCTTTTGGTAATTCGAGGATTTCACATTGGAATTCGCTCCCTGTCTCCATTCCTTACCTGTCTCTTCATCTCCTCTAAAGCATTATCTGTAATAGGTTCCATTCACATTACTTTTTCAATTTGTGTGTATATAATCATTTTTGTGTTTTAAGCTTCGCATGACCTGACGTCATAATTTTACTGAAGAGACGCTCGGGCCATTACTCCAACTTGTAAAAAATTTATCTAAACTTTATTATTAAGGATATTTTTTAAGGAAAATTTTGTTACTTTGCGTGTTGCGATAAAGAATTAAACAAATAAATAAATAAAAATGTCAAAAGAAAGCTCAATAACTAAATTAAAATTCATATATTTTTTATTTTACATTGTAATTTTTTTTTTAATACAAATAGCGCATTCCTGCTGTAGAGTGAAAACTTCATTGGCCTCTAAATCGAAACTATATATCACAGAGTAAAAATATTGATGTCTAGGTTGAGGACCTACTACAAAACAAAATTTTTTACCGTCGGCATGGAATGCCCCATATAATTTTACAAATATCAATCTGTGTATTTCCAAATATCCACAGCCAAAATACGTTGACAACACATCTTGTTTAGATGTTATATGGCTGGAGTATTTCATCTACCTCATGCTCGTCTGTTGTATTGTAAATTAATTTCCTTTTACTAATTAACTACTTTAGTAAACTTATTAATGGATTTATATACATATTCAAATTTATCTTTATATTTTGTTATAACCAAAAATTATTAAAAATAACAAGTCTTGTTCCATTCATGAACAACGCAATACATAGTACTAATAAGATAACCTACTTTTTTATTTGTCTACAGATTAAAAATAAACACTATTGCACAGTTGCCAGTGTAAATAACATTTTAAATTGTATAATAAATGTGCAGTGGTGTCATGAAGCATGTATAAATAACGAAACGTCGGGTCATTTAACCTTTTCCGTTCCTTAAGATAATTTTAGTATCTGTTCTAATCGCATCGGGCCCGATGAGTTATAAAATTGATAGTCTCTGTCTGGAAATTCTAAACATTTAAATAAAACACTTTAACGGTTTAAAACGCGATATATTAGTTAAACTGAATTAAAAATGATTTTTAACCGTGAACACAGCATCCGAAGTTAAAAATCATTTTCAAATCAGTTTAACTAATATATCGCGTTTTAAACCGTTAAAGTGTTTTGTTTAAACTATAGACAGTATTTAATTCTAAACATGGTCGTAAGGTCATAAGTCGACAGTGCAACTTGTTTATGTTATTCCATAAGTTTAAATCTTATGTTAAACAACTGCTTGGAAAGGGTTATTATAACGTAAATGAATATTTTAATGACAAAATGCTTGAGGTATGGAGGAACCCGCTCTAACATGTAAGAAGATGCATTAAGTGCTTAAGGAATTTTAGAAAATTGTAATAAAAAACTTGGCAATTGTAATAAAAAAATGGCAAAATGGCGGCGAGTTTCTTGCCAGTTCTTCTCGTTCGTTCTACGCCCTTAACTTAGGACGCCCGTAACTGTTAATTTAGAGTTTTAATTTTTTTACATTTTGACGTTCATAAGTGTAAGCTACCTACACGAATGAATAATTTTTGATTTGACTACAAAAAATAGCGTTGCTTATAAACGGTCAATTGTCAGTACATCACTTTCTGTTCAGTAAATAAAACTAAAGCATTTCATATGAGACTTTTATTTTATTCACAAAATATCAAAGCTCTAACCTAAACGTTAAAAACAATTAATTACCGTAATTTATAATTTTATTAAATCTGTACTACTTTTAAAATTCATTTGAGAGGAACAGTAAAAAAGAAAGTTTAAACACACGAATAAAAGTCAATTTTATAAGATCACAGTTTCTAAATTAAAATAGAAAAATACATGTATAACTTAATAAATATGAATATATGCAAAATTCTATTTAATAAAACAAACGTATAGTAGTACATTTTTTTAACAATATTTCCAATTATATATTGCTTTAACATGCACCAACATTTCCTAAAAATAACGAGTTCATTATGTCAACAACTATTATTGCCATGTTCAAATTTTATTTTATACAATAAAACAGTATGGTACGGTTTGAAAATTCATTATGTATAGTGTATTTTTTCTAACTTGACAATTTTTGTAAACAAGCACAAATAATAAAGGTTTTTCACTGGATTATATATTAATCTAATGAAACGACCTCAAATTCACTTAGTTAATCCTAAAATGAAATTGACCGATTAAAATTTCGTTGGTTTGACATTTATGGGATGGGATGTTAGCAAAGTCAAATAAAAGAAGGTAGAAGTCTTACTCATGAACGAACAATCTAAAAAAAGCGTAAGAAACGTGAAAAAAAACAATATAAAAATATGACGACATAAAAGTTATTTTGAATATTGAGGTCGTTTGGTCGATATATAATCCCTGTTACTTTATCCCTGTGTCATCTGTGAAAACGACTTCCCTCTATAAAAGGTCATCACTAGTTCTCCCTGATTTAAAGTCGGCCATATTTGATCTTTTGCCACGTTAGAAAAAATACACTACACTACTATGTCTAATTAAGAAATTGATTTTTATCTACAATTGAGCGTTAGAGGTGCTTTTTTAATATTCAAATTTCTCTACGCATAGTCTACTAGTGTCGTTTTTCAGTGTTTTCATTAAATCTGTTGGCGAAGATATAAAGTTATTGAGTAGTAATGATTGACTTGGACGAAAATCATAGGCGGATTGTTTACATGGTTTCAAATTCGAGATATACAGTAAAAGCTCTTTATTCGCGGGGTATATATGAATCTATTCTAATATATCAAGCTGAAGAGTTTGTTCGATCGCGCTAATCTCAGGAACTACTGGCTCGAATTGAAGAATTATTTTTATTTCAGTTAGAGCATTTATCGAGGATGGTTATATATAACATCGCGCTGTTACTTATAGAAGAAGAAGAAAGGAAGTGCGGGAATAACCCTACGCAGCGAAAACGGTGAACCGTTGCCCAAAAGATATTTATGAATGAATTATTCCTCTTTAAAAAATCTAAAATACAAAAACCGTGAAAACAAAACGGTGAGAAGAAATAAATAAACAAACGGATAAAAAACCAATTTAACTAAAGTATTTGAATATTTTGATAATGCATCTTAAGGTCTTAAAATGTGTAATTTTCTCGTTTCGGACGCGAAATTCCATCCGTTCGCCAAATACCAACTTCGACGGAACAGATGGCGCTAGCGTAGCCGTTTTTACTTTGACGTCAGAGACAACCTCCATCTTCAGTCACCCCGTGACCACGGCTGCTGCAAAGCATCCGAAACGACGGGCCGTAGTTAAAAATTATTATCAAACAAGTTTAACTAAAATATACCGCATTTTAAACCGGTTAACTGTTTTATTTAAATATTGTTGGAAAGCTATGGAAATCCTTTTATCAATGTGTATGTCCTTATTAGCTCCGCGAATAAGAAGCTTCTACTGTAACGATTGCTTGTTAGAATGGTAACCCTAAAATTATTAGTGCTATAACGCCTCCTCAAATTTCGCCACAAAACATCGTCATAAAGTGACATCTTTAGATAACGCCAACACGAAGTCAAGTCCTGCCCACTTCTAATAATAATGAAACCAGCAAGTTATCTGAAAGTTAGATAATAAATTAAACATTGTTTTGAGATGTAAAAAAAAATTACGCGAGAGCACGAAGGTCCGTGCTGTTGCTCTAGCCAATTGAGGTACCGTCATCGGTACATGCATGTAATTTTAATAATTAACTATTTAAAACGCGAAATATATTTAACTTATTTACATATTATTTTAACTACATGTCGATGTTTGCTTTGCATCTGCCGCGGCCAAGGAATAGTTAAAATAATTAAAAACAAGTTAACTGATTGATTTCGCGTTTAATACCGTTAAAAACTTCCCATTTCACTACCAAGATGAAAGAGACAAACACTATAGTTTTTATCAATTCACCAATGCGCTAACCAATTGCGGGTAGTCAGATAATAAGTTTTTTTTACATATTTCACATACCCACAAAGTAAACTCCGTTGAGTTATTATGAGAAAAATATACGAGTTAAGACACGAATCTATTCATAGAAACAATAGGATTTGGCAAATCAACTTATTTTAACATATACATATTTTTAACATTTAAGCAGATGACGCTAGCGTAGCAGATTTGACATAATATCCCCCGCGACCAATTAAAATTGTTATCTAATAGATTACCTTGATCTAAACTTGTTTGCGGCAATTGGGGCATGTCTGCTGCTCCTGCAGCCAGGGGAGGATACACGCTGAATGGAACCTGTGTGTACAGGGGAGTGACATCTCTTCCTGGTTCACGAGGATCACGTCGAAACATATTGAACACTCCTCAAGGGTCATAGCACGCGAACGGCTGTAAAGGAAAACGATAATAAGAACCAACACTGCTTTTATTTGTTCACTAGCTGTGTCAGCGACTTCGTCCGCGTAGATTAGTTATTTTGGGCATCAAAATTTTCTGTTATTGCAAACCCCTTGATTTATATAAACTTAAGCTGTCCGCGACGTCGGTCGCGTCCCTTCCCGTCGTTCGTGTAAGTTAATTTAAAAGCGTCGCGGACTTTTTTAGATCATTCCTTCGTACATATTTTTTACATATCTTGCGAAAACCCATAGCGATGAATTTTCCCCGCTTCTTACACATTTCCCGGTGTTTCTTCGTTGCTATTAACCACAGCCCTATATTTTAGCCTGTAGCCTTCTCGATAAATGCTCTAACAAACACGAAAATATTTTTTTTCAATTCGAACCAGTAGTTCTTGAGATTAACGCGTTCAAACATACAAACACTTTAGCTTTATATATCAGTATAGAGGGTGGCGGCAAGTTACTTGCCAATTCTTCTCGTTCGTTCTACGCACTTGATTTGAGAACTGGTAGTAAATTCGGATCGCGTTTGAAACACGTTTTGACGGTTTCAAACGCGAAATGTATTAGCTATAATTTATTTTAACTGCGGTGAGTCGGACATTTTACAGCAGACGTGGCAACGCCGAAGAAATTTATATACATTTCGCGTTTTGGACCGTTAAAAGTGTTGTATTTAAATGTATACTACTCGCGAAAGTTACAGATAACGCAGTAAATAATTACTTTCCTTATATTATGTATGAGATAAAAACATAAATGTCTGAAAAGTTTGATGGAACGGGATTCGAATCCACGACCAACGTACTACATCTGGTTGTCTTAGCGACAGTGTCTTGTTATAAACACAGACACACAAAATTTTGTTAGTATTATAAACAGACATGCGAGAAATACTGTTTTTTTGCATTGCAAGGGTTCGCACCCCCTAACGAGCGTAGCCACGGCATTAACTGATGTGGAATTGTTTTTTTTTTCGGGATTCCAACCAGTATCTCTCGCAATAAATACATTTCCAAAGAATCTTAATTAATTTCTAAAAATTACAACAAACACACCATTATTACTTATAATTTTTTTTTAAATATTTATATATATATATTTCAACATAAAGTACAGTAGTGATACAAATATAAATAAAAATGTCATGCAAACACAAAAATCCCAAACACCATATCTTCCACTTTCCACTTCCACCATGTCTCACCACTTCAATACTTGTCAAAACACTACAAATTATGACTATGCAAAATCGCATATCAAACGATTGCTCTGTTTTACTGGTTTAGGACGTTAAAAATAGACAATTTATTATATTAGTATGTCGTACCTCGTCGTTATTTTTATATAAAGAAAGTCCCGAATAATTCTACATAAACAGGCATCAGTTATGTATGAAACACGATAGACAATTCAACTTTTAAAAACTACCCTTGTTGCCCCCATTCCAAAAATAGCAAAGTCTGTAGCTTACGAGTATTAAAACGTAGTACAAATTTAAATAAATCACTTGCAACAGTTTTAATCGTGAATTATATTACTTAATTTATTAAATAGATTAGGGACACCTCCCATCTTCAGTGACCCCCGTCTGCAAAACATCCGAAAGATAAGGGCATAGTCGAGATAAATTGTAAACAAGTTAACTTACACATTTTACGTATTAAACCGTTAACAGTGTTTTATTCAAATATGTAAGACTCGCCTAAGCTACAGACAATACTGAGTAAATGTAAGTTTTGTTTTCAAACTTGAGCTATTTTTGGAATGGCGAAGAAGGGTAGTTTTAAAAGTTCAACTGTCTATGTTTCATGATAACTGGATACAGACAGACAGACGAATCTATTTCCTCTAATATACTTTCCTCGGTATATGTGAGACAGCCTGTATCCAAAAAAATCAGTAAAAACTACAATACGTGTTAGTAGAGAAAAAACAAAACACAACAAGTCAAATAAACCCTTACTAAGTATTGGAATTTCGCCGTTTGTCGATTTGACTTGATCTGCTGAAAAAAAAGTATATAAATTAAAAATAAAACTAAAAAAGCCGTAAAGTAAAAAAAGAAACAATCATTTTGTATACATTATATCCTAAACACATTATACGACCGAACAAATATATATCTAGATCAGAAAATCTATAAAAATCTAAAGTAGTGCCCATTTTTTTATAAAAACCTTTTCCGGTTTTAAACCCCCTTTTTAAAAATTTCCCCTTTTTTTTTTTTTTTTTTTTCCCCCCCCCCCCCGTGGGGGGGGTTTGGCCCCCCCCGGGGGGGGGGGGGGGAGAAGGGGGGGGGGTCCCCCCCCCCCCCCCCCCCCCCCCCCCCCCCCCTTTTTTTTTTTTTTTTTTTTTTTTTTTCCCCCCCCCCTTTTTTTTTTTTTTTTTTTTTTCCCTTTTTTTTTTTTTTTTTGGCCCCGGGGGGGCCCCCCCCCCCCCCCCCCCCCCCCCCCCCCCCCTTTTTTTTTTTTTTTTTTTTTTTTTTTTTTTTTTTTTTTTTTTTTTTTTTTTTTTCTCCCCCCCCCCCCTTTTTCCCCTTTTTTTTTTTTTTCCCCCCCTTTTTTTTTTTTTTTTTTTTTTTTTTTTTTTTTTTTTTTTTTTTTTTTTTTTTTTTTTTTTTTTTTTTTTTTTTTTCCCCCCCCCCCCCCCCCCCCCCCCCCCCTTTTTTTTATTATTTTTTATATTCAGGAATCGAACCCGTTAAAATTTTAAATAAATCACCTGTATCTTATATTAAGGCACGATAAAAATAACTTTACATAAAAATCAATTACAAAATAATATAACCTTAAATTGCATACTTAAAAGATAATATCTAGGTGATGTTTAAATAAAACACTTACAACGGGTTATAACGCGAAATCTATTACTACTCATTTACAATGTATTCTAACTACGGTCCGATGTTTCAGATGCTTTGCAGCAGCTGTAGTCACGCGCTGCTAAATTTTGCGATTTAAATATATTTCGCGTTGAAATCTGTTGAAAAGTGTTTTATTTAAAAGTGTACTAAGTACTCGCGTAAATTACAAACTATACTTATATAGTCATGTATTTTAAACAGTATACATACTTATATAAATAAAACACATTTAACGGTTTAAAACGCGATATATTAGTAAACCTTATTTGAAAATGATTTTTAACTTCGGCCCGTCGTTTCGGATGCTTTGCAGCAGCCGTGGTCACAGGGGGTCACGTCGGGCCGAAATTTACTAATATATCACGTTGTAAACTGTTAAGGGGCCGTTCAAGTATTACTAAGCAGATTTTTACAATTATTTACCCCCCATCCCCCTGTCACAAAAGTAAGCAAAGCTTTTACCCCCTCCCCCTCTTATGTAAACATTTTTCAATTAAAATGTATTTTTTATACTATAATTTTACAAATAAGAAAGTTGATTCATAAAGTAAATAAATTCGATACGTAACATCATCTGGACTCCCCTACCCCCATGTCATCAAAAATAAGCAAAACAAAGACCCCCCCCCCTGTGCTTACGTAATACTTGAACGGTCCCTAAAGTGTTTTATTTAAATGTGTACTACTCGCGTAAACTATAGACAGCAGTATACCTATTTTCTAGACAAAATTCATCCTATACAAAGGGCATGCATATGAATTGAAGTTCCAGAGCTAAATGGGTCGACAGTGCATCTGCTTGTCTGTCTTCCTCTGTTATAAAAAATATACATACATACAGTTGAGTGCAGAATGCTTATTTTAATAAAAAAAAAATATTCACAATCTCAAATCCTGTACAATATGTTTGAACTAGCGTTCGGGCATATTATAACGATTTGTGCAATGATATAGAAGAATATTAACACTTTTGCACTCGACTGTACATAGCTTGACTTACTTATAAAATGTTGGAAATCTACAGAAATATGAATATCGTCGGCAATTCATCCCTTGAGTTGGCACTCCACTAGCACTGTCTACAACAACCACATCTGACAGACTACTGTCCGACTCACTATCGGCCACACTGTATTCATCACTTGGTGCTTCACTAGTTAAATCATCATCATCATCTGACATATATTCAAAGGGATCTAAATAAGGGACATCGTCAGCATAGTCATCATCAGAAAAGACGCTATCAGATCCAGTGTCATTAATGCTTGTGTCAGTGGTTGTAGCGAATTCCGAGTCACTATCGTCTGTGTGATTCATGATGCTGTATGGGAGCAAGCAAACGAGAAGCAGATGAGTCATGCAAATGGAAAATGGCAAGAAGCTACAACGTAAATGTGAGCTTTTAAAATCAGTGCAAGATGTATTTGGTACTATTTATTGAAAAAAGCCGGACCAATTCAGATAAGTGAGACAATAAATGGTAGAATGTTTTAGTAGACAAAAGCAACATCATACATAACTCAAGAAATAACAGTTTTTTATTTATTAATTTGGAACCTTAACTAAATTGGTCGAACTATTTATAATTAGTTACAAGAAATATTTGACATTTGATTTGATTGAGCCGTTACTGTAAAATTGTTAATATAATTACAAGGAACAAAAATAAGGAAGAGATTGTACTAAAGTCTCCAGTTTAAGGACACTATCAATTAAAAAAAACAAGTTGGCATTTGTTCAAAATATGTTTTAAAAGACTACAATGCAATAAAATTATTATTAAAATCATATGTAAATGTATTTAGCATTTAAGAAACTTATGTGTAATCTTGAAATAGTTATTTAAGTAGTAAGTAGTTATTAAATGATACAAATAATCTACAACATTATTATCTTGGGTATCATCTACCTACATTTTAAAAACTATGATACACTGAATGTTTGTTGTCAGTTTAAATTAAAATACAAAGAATGAAAATTAAAAAGCGATTAGAAATTGGAAAAATCCTACGACACGGGCAGGACTTATTAGTCAATCTAATTTTATAATCGGTTATTAATTTGTCTTGCCATCATGTGCAATGTACAAAACATTAAAGTTTATAAGAAATGTGTTTATATAAATGTCAGTATTGTGTTATGCAGCGAAAAATGTTTATTAGTACTTACAACGGAGTTTCCTGCCAATCGCTCGAGGATCCTTGGGAATCAGGGTTTTCACGCTTGCTGAAGAAGTAGTACAAGGCAGCCCCAACGCCGACTCCTATCGCCGCAGCCGCCAGACCAAGACCACGGCCTGTGCTACCGGTATTTGGGGAAGAATGTTCTTCTTCCCTCTCTTCACGCAAACTCATTGTAACAGCTTTTAAAATAACAACGAACTACTCTTATTATTGGCGAACAGCTGGTTGCGCAGTTTATTACGTCATTGCAGTCTGTGGTCTATAGATGAATGCTGTGGTCGACGCACAGATGTTGTTTTACAGAGTGTAAAATGTCAATTTGATTTATCATATAATTTACGTGATAGTATTTTAAAGTTACTAATATATTATGTGATATCAGATATAAAATGTATATATAAAATAAATAAGTTTATCCACAAAACGATGGATATTTTCTATATTTACTCAAGTAGGATGGCTTTTGACAGATAGGCCATAATTCGGATGGAATTTTATCAGAATTTGAAGACGTAACTTTTTAACAAATAAGTTATTGCAATCACAAAAAAAAGACAAAATATGTATTTCTAATTATGCTGTTGTGGCTAAAGTAATTCAATGGTGACTGATTACATTTGTCGCTCTATGGTAAATAAATTGTTTTTATTCTTGAACAGCGAAAATTCTATTTGTTCTCTATGGTTTAGCAAAATTCTCATGAGTGGTTATTCCCCAAAGCATAAAGAATCGAAGGTGATAGAAAGTTCTTTGTTAGTTTTTTTATAGCTTCGGTTGACTTACTTCGGTCTCCCATTTAAAACGGATATCTAAAGCAGGTAAGATTTATCCATTTCGTTCGTTAAATGTGGTCAAATGACGGTCAATTAGCGAAGATAACTACGGTTTATCTTAAGATTCTTTTCTTTTAAATACACTATTACAGATATACAGACAACACAAGGACCCTCTTTTATTGCGACTCAAATACATATTCAATCGCATAAAGACGAATTTAAGTTTCTTTTATATCTAACCTATACCGTAGACCGTAGATCAATGCATTGTGACAATCTAAGCATTTAAATAAAACGCTTTTAACGGTTTAAAACGCGAAACATTACTTAGTTAAATATTGTCTGTAGTTTACGCGTATAGTATACATTTAAATAAAACTCTTTGACGGTTTTAAACGTGATATATATTAGTTAAACTTATTTAAACTCCGGCCCGACGTTTCGGAAGCTTTGCAGCAGCCGTGCTCACGGGGAGGCAAGTAAGCTATATATGTATATGACGTTTTAAACTGTTAAGAGTGTTTATTTTTATTTTATTTTATTATATTATATGTTATTACATTTCGTCTACGCACGTTTGTCTTTGACATTAAGGATATTCTTCATCTTCTGTGCCACCGTGACCATGACTACTGTAAAATTAATAGAAAGTTAGAAACACGAATAAGACAGGACTTTTATTATTAACAAGCCTACATGTAAGTATTACATCGCCTGTTACTTATACGACAACAGAAGTGAACAAAAAATGTAAAATAATACATCTTATTTTACTTACGGCCCGATGTTTTGAATGCTTTGCAGCAGCCCTGGTCACGGGGGAGGTAGTAAAATTAACTAAAAGTAAGTTCGCGTTTTAGGCAGTTTTTTAATGTGTAATACTGGGCTTTACTGTAAAGAGAAAAGTGAATCCCCGTTTCCCCCATGGGACATACTTTTTGGGCGAACATAGTTTTATGTCCGCTTCGCTAATCGGTTTAATTTACATGCAAGTCTACAGACCGCTGTACTCCGACCGAAAATTCATTATTTCCCCGGTATTCGAACCCAGGACCTCTTCTGTTAATACAATTTTAACTAACCATTTAGCTAAACCACAGATAATAAATAATTTATGGTTTTTGACTGTAACTACGAAATATCATTGAAATCTTTTCAAACTTTTCAGAGATTAGCTCACGAGAGTTCGATACTACATTTTATATTTAACTAGCTGTGCCACCGACTTCGTTCCCGTATAATAGTTATTTTAGGCGTCAAACAGTATTTGCAAACCTCCTCATCTTGATGAATTCGTGACGTGACTTCCACGTCCCTTTGCTCTCGCAAGTGAATCTTGAAAGATAGACATATATTGTCGCGGACGTTTATTTATAAAAGGAATCATTCTTTCATACATATTTTTGGGTATCTTGAACCGTTTTCATAGCGCACACAACGGTAACTTATAGATGAATAATTTCCGTTCTTCCACATTTCTCACTGTAGGCTCCTATTGGTATTAGGGCATAATGTTTTATAGCCTTACTTGATAAATGCTCTAACCAATACAAAGATAATATTTCAATCCGCGCCAGTATTTCCTGAGATAAGTGTGTTCAAACTATTCAACTTAAGGCAGACTAGCCGATAACAAAAAACATGATTTTCAATAATTAGGAAAATTAAAAACTGTCTATAGTTTACGCGAGTAGTACATTAAATAAAACACTTTAACGGTTAAAAGGGAATGATTTTTAACTTGTGCCGTGACCATGGCTGCTGCAAAGCATCCGAAACGTAGGGCCGAAGTTAAAAAAATAATTTCCAAATAAGTTTAACCTAATATATCGCGTTTTAAACCGTTAAAGTTTTTTATTTAAAGGAAATTTTAATTTAACAATTATTTGTGTAAAAATGATGTTAACAATTATCGGTCACTGTGCTCTTGTAGATAAACCTTTTTAGTCTATAAAAATATAAATAACTTAAGTCATAACATTGTAGTGTAGCCTCTGCCTCTAGTGTTTCATAATTTCTCATTTCAGGATTATGTCACTAGCTTCTCTATTGAAAGCAATGTCAGTTGGGGTAGCTGCAGTAGCTGCCATTCTTGCGGTGAATCTCTACCGAAACCGGGGGGTTCCCCGAGCTTACAATGCCTATGGGGAACGAGCGAGGAGACTCTAAGAAACATTCCAATGGTAGAAAACTTTAATATTTTTCCACGTATTATTGCACATGATGGCACTATATAAAAAAATTGCTAAGACTTGGGCATTCTCACCCGTTCAATTCCGTTCAAACAACATTCTTCTTTAGCTTTCTTGCTACACAAGCTGTGCACGCGACTTCCGTACAAGCGTGAATAGTGACTTGGGGTATGGAATTTCTACCACCATCCCGCCTGTTTTAATCACGTAACTGCGCATTTTCTCCCAATCTAATTCAAAGTAAGCATATGATACTTTCATAAGGTCTAGCCCATCTGCAAGTTAGCAAGAACTCTCATAAATACCTTTAAATAGTTTTGGCGTAAAACAAAAACTGCTTGAAAAGGGTTATTATCATGTTAATCAATATTTAAATGATAATAATTTAGGTAAGGATTAGAAGACATTATAGTGTACAAAAAGTAAATCAAGAACATAAAATAGAAACTTGACCATAAAAGTGACGGCGAGATTTATAACAAAAGCTCTTATCGTTCGTTCTACGCCGTTGAAAGTGGAGAGCTGTATAACGTTACATTTGTTGGATACTTAGTCCCTCATTTATAAAATTTATTAAAAACACACCCATCTTCAGCCCCTTGAAAGAAGGGTGGTCATTTTGCTATTTTTTATAAAACATTCTTCAAGGCAATATGCTTTAGTAGAGCAGGTTCAAGTTAGTATTCATGTTATTGTATTTGACGTTTTTATTTACAGATCAACACTTACGCTGGGTATCAAAAATGTATACAGAAATCGAATTACAGTGTTTGTATTAACTTAACAAAATGTCTTTTATTTCTTTATTATCAAACCGTGAAAAGCTGTTTACAGTAGTAAACGTTTATTAAGCCAGTTGTCAGTTCGATTACTATCGAATAAAATGAATTTTTTAAATAAAACACTTTAACGGTTTAAAACGCGATATATTAGTTAAACTTGTTTGAATATGATATTTAACGTCGGCCCGACGTTTCGGATGCTTTGCAGCAGCCGCGGTCACGGGGAGACTGTTAAAAATAATCTTCAAATAAGTTTAACTAATATATCGCGTTTTAAACCGTTAAACAGTTTTATTGAAATCAGCTAAGGAAACCAGAATTCCTCGACCGAGTGAGGTATTAAATAAAGAGAAGTATACATAAATGCATTTAATGGAAAGAAAAAAACAGCAACTTATGTTTGGGCAGTGTAAAACAAACATTTTATTATATTTTGTATACACCTAAACACTAATATTGCTTTTAGAGAAAATGTCCTCTTGCACGAGCCATTGACGCCATACTTTGATAGACAGCACATATAGACATATTTTTGTGTCTATTTCCCTCTAACACAGACATAATCACAAACTAATACAGACAAGGTATAACTTAATTTCCTTTTCTCAAATTAAAAAAAAAAAAAAACAGATTTTAGAGTTTTAGTTCGCCTAAGTGTTGACATAAATTTTCAGCTATCAATTTATGACGCTATTGGCTATAATTGTACTGTACAGTAACTTGGGTTTCAGCTGAGATAGTATTAAGTGTTTCTAGACGTTTCTTCAGATGTTAAACCCAAGCATTACAAAATGGCCGCGAAAATCTTATTTCGTATGTCCACAGATTTGAACAAAATTTTAAGATGTCAAAAAACGTGATTTTGTAAGAAAACATTTGAATTTCACTCCCATAGAGTATAAATGTATGAAAGTAAACACAGTTTCTAGATCTAATCGAAAACTTAATTTATTTTTATATAATGTAGAAAAAATGTGCCCACTGACTCGGAAACACAAAAAACGTTAGGTGTTGCCAGGTGGGAATCCCCTTTACATCAAACAAAATGGCCGCCGATACAGCCACAGACTCAACACACATTTCCCGCCAACACGACACAGGACGTCAGTACATCAAACTTAGTTTATTTCATTAAATGTATGTTAGCGCCGCCTATATAAAACCAAGATGTGAATCGAGAACACTAACGGTTTAAAACGGGAAATATATTAATTGAACTTGTTAAAAAAATATTTTAACTACTCTAAATATCATCTACGATGAAACAGATGGCGCTGGCGTATCAGTTGTTGCTTTGACATAAGAGACTCCCTCCATCTTTACCCCATGACCACGGTTCTGAAAGCACCTGAAACGTCGGGACGTATTTAAAATATTTTCTAAATAACTTGAACTAATATATTTTGCGTTTAAAACTGTTGTTGTGTGTTTTATTCAAATCTGTACTACTCGCGTACACAACAATTCAGTTGCCGGAAACACCTGAAAAGTACTAAATCTCTGCTAAAACAGTATTTTTTATTGTAGATGATCATTTGACAACGTCTGAAAGATGTTAACAAAATTTTACGTTAAAGGGGAAGGATGGGTAGTTCTAAAAACGTTAATTGTCGTTGTTTTTGTTGACTCGTCCATTTTAATCATAGACAATAACTTATTAGAGGATTAACCCCTAGGACATCTTCATTGGCATGATATTTTTACTGTCATATACGTCATATCAAGAACTTAAATATTCGCAGTCTAAAGTTATTCTGACATTAAAACAAACAATATGTCATAAGATATATATGCAATTTGAACAGTTCCAAAAACATCGCATTACAAGCATTAGCATTAAATAAACCACTTTAAACCGATTCAAACGTGTACTGGACCCGACGAAAAGGTTTAAATGTACTCGATCCTAATGTCAAGTCAATTCTGCTAAACCCTCGCCATCTGGCATATTAGGCTTATCAATTGTCATTCTTTTGAATAAAACACTTTAACGGTTTAAAACGCGTATATATATTAGTTAAACTTGTTTGAAAATTATTTTAATTACGGTCCGACGTTCCAGATGCTTTGCAGCAGCCGTGTTCTAGTCTCCCAGTGACCATGGCTGCAAAGCATCCTAAACGTCGGGCCGTAGTTAAAATAACTATCAAACAAGTTTACCTAATATCTATCGCGTTTTAAACAGTTAAATTGTTTTATTTAAATAAGTACTACTCGCGTGCAGACAGTATTCAATTGTCACTCTATTAGAAGCGTGGGCCGTGGACATATTGCAGTACGCGATTAAATCCGTTCAAAGTCGTTCTATTCGACGCGCACACTAGAGATACAGCGTTAGAATTTTAAAACCTATAACTTTGTACTAATTCTAAGACACTAACCAAGTAATCTTATTCAGTCCACTTAGCATTCTTTATAAGAATCACTTGCATTGGCTGTTCGCATTGGTGAAGACGTTCTCATACTTTAGGTAGAAACCGTTATAAGTGGGAGGTTCTTTCGCTGTCTCTTTCATTCCTATTCCATATGACAGTGACAAAACATGAATAAAAGTGGTAGGAGGTTCTTTGTCTTTTTCACTCATATTATATATGACAGGGACAAAACATGTTTGTCTAATTGTATTATGTCTGAAAACTTTAATATTTTTCACGTGTTATTGCGCACAATACTGGATCGTACAACTATAAATACCTCTCAAATACACTTTTAACGGTTTAAAACAGGAAACATATTAGCTAATTTACTCGTAATTTATTTTAACTACGGACAGACGTTTCGGATGGTTTGCACATGCCGTGGCCACGGCGGAACATAGTTAAAATAAATTGTAAATAAGTTAACTAATATATTTCACGTTTTGAACCGTTAATTTTTTTTAATGTGTACAAATTGCATAAACTACTGACAATATTAAATTCAAACATTTCCAAATTCACATGAAGTAATGAAAGTTAATCTATCCCTTTGTAATGAGTTGCAGTTGATACGAAAATGAAAGAGACAAATATAGATCACTGTAGTTTTCATCAATTCACCTATGCGAGAACCAAATGCGGGTAGTCAGACATTAAGTTTTTTTTACATATTTCACATACCCATATACAAAGTAAACTCCGCTGAGTTATTATGACACAAATATACGAGTTAAGACACGAATCTATTCATAGAAACAATAGGAGTTTGCAAATAAACTTACTTTAATATAAAATACAGTCCTATGGTGTATATGATACTTAAGCAACTATAAAGAAAATGTCAATATGAAGATGAAATATTACAAAATTTGGTGCACCTCCCCCCCTCTCGCCCCCCAATAAACATTTGCCCTTAAAAAAAAAAAGTCCATTAAAATCCCCCCCCCCCTTTTCCAGCTGGATTGACATATATATTCTGCGATTGTAATTAAATTAATAAAAAAGGTTCTACCCTCTATTTTTAATTATTTTTTTTACGTGTGTTATTTTTAATGTTATTATTTTTCTATTTGATTTAATATTAGATTTGAAAATCTCCGTTATGCCAATGATTTGGTTTAATTTTTTATAGCCTTATAATAGACTGAAGACGTATAAACATGCAAATAATATAAACCTAAGATAATATACACCATAGCGCCTGTGCGTGTACGCGGGCGGCCTTTACTCGCGTAGTTTGAGCACGTGGTCCTTGATGGCGCCACCGTCGCCCTCAGACACGAAGCGTTTGCGACCCCTGTAATAAAATTATCACTTTTTTTTTAAAATCTAAAAATAGTGAAGAAACATAACTACCATTGGAAATTGAACCTTAACCTTAAAAAGTCCATTACATAACATTTTTTTAACCGTTAAATATGCTTTGGGCATGTACTTGGCGATAAAAGGAGTGGCGGCGAGATTCTTGTCATTCGTTCTACTCTCTCTAGTAAATTTAAGTTCAGAGCCTTTTGTTTTTATATGATGAGACGTTCATACCGAATCACCTATGTGCATACATGATTTTTGACTTTACCACTATCTGCTGTGCGGGTTTTTACAACTACCGTCACAATTGACGATTCTAATAAAAAACGCTTCTTCAAAACGCTAAAAAAAGGTTTAGAACCGCTGCTACCTATGGTCAGAGATATTATGATCGATCGTGTTTAAAAATTATATATAAAAAGCCTCGATTGACCTCTTCTAGTATAGATCTTTATTTATATTAAAAGCGCAAGAGTTAGTCTAGAAGAGGAAGCAGAGATTGAGCGAGCATAGTTTTGGTAGAAATAGGAAGGCAATTACTTAGCTTACGCCTCAAAACACAAGACAAGGAGGTGTAAAAGGGGTCAGTCCTCTTTTGTGTGATTTTACATACTAACTGTGTCAGCGACTTCGTCCGCGTGGAATAATTATTTTGGGTATCCAAATTTGCCTTTGCCAATCTCCATAGCTTTATTTTAACTTAAGTTGTTACCCACGACGTCGGTCGCGTCCCGTCGTTCTTGCAAGTAAATCTTAAACGAAAGATAGCGTCGCGAACTTTTTTTAGATCATTTAAAGAGGAATCATTCTTTCATACAAATTGTTTGGGAATCTTGAACCGTTTTTGCAGCGTACCGCTCGGAAACCCATAATGATGAATAATTTTTCCAATTTGCATATTATTGTCTTTCGGGCTGTTCGGCCGATGTGAGCGAGAAGAGGTTCTCGACGTTTCGCCATCACGTGTGGATGGCATCTTCAGGAGATGTTGACTCCTCGATTCTTGAGCAATCGAGGAGTCAACATCTCCTGAAGATCCTCAGTGATGGCGAAACGTCGAGAACCTCTTCTCGCTCACATCGGCCGAACAGCCCGAAAGACAATAATATGCTGATCGATGGCCGTGAAAGCCTTACTCAATTTAATTTTTCCAATTTGTTTAATTTTCCCGCTGTATCTTCGCTTGTATTAGTCACAGGGCGATGTTTTCTACCTTATAACCTTCCTCGATAAATGCTCTAACCAACATAAATATAATAATTTTTAAATTTGAACCCGTAGTTCCTGAGATTAGCGCGTTCAAACAATCTCAATCTTTATATATAAGTATAGATATAGATTTACTGTCTTACCTAGTGGGCATGCGTTTGAGCACCGCCTCGCCAAGCCGGAACTTCTGCTGGCACCTCTCGACGAACCTGTCCAGCATTATGTAGGCGAGGGGCACGTCCAGCACTATGTCCGACATGTCCTCCAACACCCGGAGGAAGCCCTGCGAAGGACAGATCCATATTTTATACGATGTCGCTAGAGGCAGAGTAGCTCTATCTGCGACTTATTTTACGACTGGACTTATAATGTTAATCTACAAGAACACAGTGATCTAAAACAACCTAAAGTAAAGTAATTCTTGCCTAAGGTAATTAGGTATTATTGTTTTCCTCTTTATTGGAAATCATGTTATTTTGTTATTAGGCCAGTTTGCCTGTAGCGGCATCATATATAATAGAAAAGAAGGATTTTCGGAAACCCACAAACTGCAACCGAAACTCGATTAAACGTTACAACTTTTACATTTGTAGACGGTGATTCGTGAAAACCGTCAGTCAATATTCATTTAATATCTAGATTTTCAGACAAGATTAAAAATTTTCAGAAAAATTATAAATTGATATATCACCGACGGGACGTAAAAAAATGTTTTTTACTAACTATTATCTATTTGGGATAATTGTAGATGGAAATTAGTATTAGATGAGATCTAGAAACACCCGCATCTAAACAAGATGCGCGCGCTCCGAACTATTTTGACTTTGGAAATTCGAAAATCCACAACTGATACCGAAACGCGATTAAACTTGACGGCTTTGACATCTGCGGACAATACCTACCTCAGATATAACATAATTTAGTCCAAAATCTTTCAGAGGAATTTTAAAAGCTTTGTTCCTATCTGATTATTTACTATGGATAATTGTGATAGTTTTTTTTTATATAGACAAAGGGTGGACAAGCATATCACATCTTAATAACATGTGCTGTCGTTCTATTGGAGATTCGAATCTCTAAAGCCAAAACAAAAGATGTTATATGGCTGGGGCTGCGGTCAATATAGAACGCCTCACCCGGTCCATCTGGTCCGGTGTGACGATCACGCATCGTCGCAACTCGGCTAGGAATGTGCAAAGTTGCTCCTCAACGCTGGCGTTGATCGCTTCTACGGCTAATAACACAGTCTGAAAACAATACAATAAACAAATTAATCCATAAAAAAATAATCGTTAGAATAATCTAGAGCAGCTCCGGCCAATCACCCCCCCCTCATTCTGTTGAGATTCCATACAGCTCTTCAAGTTTCAAACCAAGACCTGGTCGATGCCCCTGGGGCAACACTCACGCGGTACATCCAATCAACCGATGTAATAATATGATATAAATGGTAATTTGAAGTGTGGTGATTTAGAGTTCATGTCAACAAGTAATATTAATAAGTTAGTGTCGATTCAGTTCGAAATGAATTGGTCACCTCATAAACGAGCTCGTGGTGGAAGTGGGGCACCTCGAGCTCCCTCACGCAGCGCATGGCCTCCGCGAGGTCCGACGACGTCAGGTACTCCTTCAGCAGCAGCTGGATCTGCCGGATCAGCGACTTCACCGGCCTGGGATAGACACTTGGATTAGTTTCTGCTGTACCAGAGGCTATACCGTGTGATTGACCACCAATTCAAAAGACTCAAAGTACAAATATTTATCTTTTTTTAATTTAATATATTTAAACAAAACAAAATTACTTTATTTTCAACACAATTTAACAAAAAAAAAACAAAATGTAGCGAGAAAACATACAAATTCGTATAAAAAATTCCAAATGTAAAAGTTTGAGCGCTTTACATTGTACTCAAATAAATAACAACACACAACAACAGATAGTTCATAAATGTACCGAGTAGTAACGGTACAATTCGGTATCAGTATACAATCGGTACTCAAACCGAAGGTCGCCGAAGGCACCCGATGTTTGACGAATAAGGTGATTAAACATTTCGCTCGAGCAAAATGTCGTCACATTGATTTAATGTATATTTTGTATCATTTTGTTGTTGCATTTCCTAACTTTAACATTTGGTAAGTGCAAGTCACCACCAGTTCGATAACCCACCAGCCACTACTCCCAGACCATTGCCTACAGAAAAGTACTGTGTCTAGGTATTGACTGTAGTTTACGCGAGTATTACACATTTATATAAAAAACTGTAACCCCCGCCCCCCCGGGCGCCCCCCCCCCGCGGGGGGGGGTTTTTTTTTATCTATTTAGTGTGTACCACTCGCGTAAACAGACATACAAAACCGCATAATATACATTGGATCTCACCTGATGCCGCCCCCAACACCCCAAATGTTATCCAAACGCACTAGTCCATGCTTCATGGAGAGGAGGGTCTCCGCCCTGTGGATTGATTGTCTAAAAGAAAATAGAATGAATATTAATAAACTGTAAGAGGAGTTTGCGAGGAATAGAGAAAGGTTAATCCGAGGTTAAGCTGATTAAGGGTTACATAACAAATTAATTACAGCTCCCCCATCCCCCCCCCCGCAGCATAGTCTGCCTCTCTTTCAGAACCCCCTTTACTGTGTGCTATGGTAATATCAGGGTCCAACATCATTCAAATTTCGACAATGTTGAACTTCGTCTGGATATTAAATGGATGGTAGGAATAACGAAATCCCTTCAGGGTCACGAACCACTCTCCACAGGTAAAAATTATCCATTCAGATATCAGTTTGTAGTTTCCGTACATCCAAAGTCAAAATAGGTCTACACTGCATCTTGTTTAGATGCTAAGGCTAGGGTAATTTCACCTACCATCAAGTGAATCCCTTGCTCGTCTGCCCTCTCCTCAATCATAAACTGAGTACTACATCCTTTCTCTTGCATACCTGGCTGGTGGATTCAACTGGAGACTCGACATGTTGGAGACGAATCTCGGTGGGAGGCAATCATCGGCAACGCAGCGTGCTATGAAGTTCGAGAGGAGGACGGCAGCGTCCGGAGTGTCCAGGATTAGGTCCGGCAGCTTCTCCAATAACCTCTCGAACGCTGTACGAAGAAAAATATTAGTGAAAAGTCGAAAATCATTTATACATGTAGTTACACTTACGAACGTCACAAAACTAAAGAATCTAACTTCACATTTACCACCAGTTCTCAAATGAAGGGCGTAGAACGAACGAGAAGAACTGGCAATAAACTCGCCGTCACTCCTTTTATCGCCAAGTTGCATTTTACAGTTTTCTTTATGTACTTTTAGTGCGCTACATATTTTTCCTTGTTAGAGCGAGTTCCTCCAAACCCCAGGTATTTTTATCATTTAAATATTGATTAACGTCTTAATAACCCTTTCCAAGCAGTTTCTGTTTTACATACTTTTACGGAGACTTCTAGTTTTTATTAGAAAGAAGAAAAAAGATCGAAGAACCTGTTTTTTTCCGTTTTTTTTCCCCCCCGTTTATAAAGACACAAAGCAAAGTCAGAAAAGACAGCAAACCTATAACTCTGGGGGGGGGTTGATGGGGAAAGGGGAAATGTCAGGGCAATGAGGGGATATTGGGGAAAACGGTGACCTCCAAAGGAAAACTAAGAAAACCCACCATAACTAATATCCTTAACAGAGAAGACCCTTCCATAGAGGTCTGATATGAGGACGGAGGCCATTTCGCAGTGTGACGGCTTGTGGTCCAGCGCGATCTCTATTATTGTTTCGCATACCTGGAATCAGATAACTACAATAAAACAAGAGGAATTGTTTGTCTGTACATTTAATAAAACTTATTCTGAGTACAGCTAATGTGGAACGAGATTTATGGGGACTCAATGGGTAATAAAGTCAAATTCTTATATAGTGTATTTTTTTAACTAAGCTAAATGGGGATTAGAAACAATGAGTGTTGATCTTTACTTTTTTTTAAATTTGTTTGTATCATTATTTAAGATTGACGTTTGTGACGCTTCTCAGCGATCGTGCACGAGTGGGACTTCTACCATTCATTGTCGTTGACTTTGTTTACATCGCATCCTTAGGTGAATGTCAAAATAAAGAAATTTTAAACTGTCCATTTACGTAAATTCATTTTTTGGGTTTTATATTAATTTTTTTACAAAGTGAATCTAATGTTGTTTAATTTGTACAACTTTACTGTGAAAAATCACGATTTCACGTAAACTGCGTGTATGTTTTACTAAAAATGTCAAGTTAGAAAAAATACAGTATTATTTTTTACATTAATACGCAAGTGTTAAGGTTGAAATGACATTGAGAGGTGCATGTCTCCAATAAGTTGATAATTGAATACGCATGCCTCCGAAAACACAGAATGACCGATAGATTGAGCTGATCTTTGGGTCACATATATGAAGACTTATTCATTGAAAATCGTATGCCCGAAGTTACAAAACAAAGAATTAATAAAGTCGTGAAGCTTAATCGGGTTTTGCTTTCAGTCTGTGGATTTCCGAATATCCGAAGCCAAAAAAGGGCCGATAGCGCATCTTGTTTAGATGTTGCATGGGGGTATTTCAGCTCACATCGAGTGAACCACGTGCTTGTTGCTGACGTCCTCTGTCTTAACAAAATACATACCAAGTGACTTCTCTTCGCCGTGACAAACTCGAGGAAGTCCTCAGCAGCCGCGTTGGTGTCTCCATGCTCGAAGTACTCCAATATGACCGGTTCGGACTTGCGCTGAAACATTTACAACATTCAAACTGTTACTTTGTCCCGGGATCGAGACGGTAGCAATAAATTGGATTTAACATAAAACACTTTTAACGGTTTAAACCGCGAAATGTATTGGTTAAACTGATTTGCAAAAAACATTAATATGTTATAAACCGTTAATTGCTTTTTTTAAATGTGTACTACTCTGATTGTAAGATAAAAAAGTAAGTTCTTTCCAATATTTATTAAGGTAGTATAGGTTTTTCGATGGGGTCGTTGGTCTAATGATAGCAATGTATGGCTACGGGCCGTGGGTTCGTTCCCAGACGTTTCAAAAATTTTTTTTTCTGAAACAACTGGGTGATATGAACTAAGAAATTCCGTCCGGGCCACGAACCACCGTCCACAGATAGAAAAAAACCGTAAAGTTTATTCGCGTTTCGGTTTCAATCTGCGAATATCCGAACATCCAAAGCCAAAACTGGTCGACAGCACACCTTGCTTAAACTAGTCCATAGTTCTTTAAGACGTATTGTTTATAATAGTTTGTGTACTTTATATAAATCTTTATATAAATATTATAAATATGTATATTTATTTTTATATAAAATCAGTGAAACAGATGTGTGTCTGCCCTATACCACACGTAGAGGAAACGGGATTTAACAAACACTTAGAAAATGTTTCGGAGTAGTGCAGTGTGCGAACTAAACGCAGTGGCAGACAAGAACAAAACAATTATTATTGCACGGACGTAGTCAATGACCTGCGCTTGCGCCGGTCTCATGCAAATCGTACAATGATAATCTTTGTGCAATGCATTTATTTTGCCCAACGGCGGAAAGGAAGGGTAGTGGTTTTGGCAGCATAGGTATGCGAGATGTCCCGATTTTATAGATTTTTTTCCGGAGACAGTGCATGTATACATACCCTTTTGTAATAAATACTAACTGACCTGGCAAAGGTTCTTTTGCCGTAGAAGTGTTAACGACTAAAAAACGATTCTTGTGGGTTAATCTTAAGCGATAGACATATACTACAGACAGTGTTGTAAATCATTTAAACGGGAATCTTTCTTTCTTTCTTTTTCCACATTCGGTCGCAGCGTGATGATACATAGGCTTCCTCGATAAATGGTATATAGAACATTTTTTATCACATCGAACCAGTAGTTCTGAGATTAGCTTCATAATATAAGTATTTTACTTTTTTAGATTTTTAACAATAATCGTGAGAAGCGAGACTAGAGACCCACCATGACCACCAGACACCACTATTTCCTGCAATTTTGTTAGCTGTTCTGTTGTGTAGTTATAAACAACAATATAATTATTTAGGGCTAACATTATATATTTTCTAAACAATATCTTCAGCTTTATAATATAAAAATAGTGTGTATATTATAGTAATAGTACGCCTACAAAGACACACAACTATGTCTTTCCCCACACACGCACGCGCAAGTAAGCCGTACGCATCTTACGTGCAAAACAAAAGACGCGCGCCAAATGTAAATAAACAGAGCGAATGTATGTCAAGAGATATAGGCGTCTCGCTCTTCTAAGCTACGTTGGGATCTGTCAAACGTGTTGTTGCGACATCGATTACATCAAACCTACGCACGCTTCTATTTGGTGGGTCAAGCGATAGACTGACAGCGGGGACAAAATCTCTTCTCTTTCATCCATAGTTTCCTACGACCCTCAACATAACCACAGTGGCACTTCCAGGAGGACAAGACCTAGTTGGTCTTACAGAAGAAATTCATGTTGAACCCCAACCAACATGTTTCTAATCACGCGATTTTGTTGCGCGAGAAGTGCATGTAGCCAGTAGCTCAATTGGTTACAGGAAAAAGCACGGAGCACTGAGGGATGCCGGTTCAACTCCTGTCCGAGTCGTAATTTTTTTTGAATGAATATGTTTCTATTTAATTTATAATTCAGAAACACGTTGAACTTCGTCTAGAAACCTCGATATTAAATAGATGGTAGGGTAAGGTAATGTTTCATCTAGGTCAAGAACCACCGTCCACAGATGAAAAACATTAATTGCATTTCGGCTTCAGTCTGTGGTATTCCGAATATCCAAAGCCAAAATTGGTCGACAACACTTCTTGTTCAGATGTTTAATGGCTTGGGTTTTTCGTCTACCAAGTGAGCCTTCTACTTGTCTGTCCTCATGTATCATCAAGGAAGTCTGTGGATTACCGAATATCCAAAGCCCAAATCTCGAACGCATCATGTTTACATGTTATATGGTTTCAGTATTTCACCGTTACAAGTTTATCTGTCCTCTTCTACCATATAAAATGGCATCTACATATAAACCGCTACCGCTCGTGACTAGCGCCACACGTGACCGCTATTCGCCATGTCAACGACCGAAGGCGCGGCCAACAGCTATCCGTGCCGCGCCAAAACTTCAACGCAACGTAAATATACAACTGATAACGTTTGTATACAAATATCTAAGAAATCTAACGATGAGAAAAACTTTACGTGGATACAGTAAATTACATTACGAACTCTAGTGGGTCCAACGAAAATGTTGTTTTGTTGTTTGCAAGATTAATATTATTACGTCGATACAACGATTGCTGTGGCTCTTGCGAGTCAATCTTAAACGACAGACGAGTGTTGCAGACATTTAAAAAAGAATTAAATTAAAGAGGAATCACTCTTTCTGACATTTTAGTTTCTTGAGCTATGGAAGCCCTCAAAAATGAATAATTATTCCCGCTTTGTCCCAAATTCCACTATAACTCTTCAGCCTTATAATATTAGTATAGATCTGAAATCCAGTTACACACTGTGGGGCATGGGACGAAGACATTTCTGTGTCCGTTTCAATTATCGGTTTTATTTACAAGTAATTATGTGCTCTAAAACAATCTATTGTTTCTCCGAGATTAAAAACCTCTAGCGTTTAACTTAGGGCAGAATAAGGAACTACTTTTAGCACTACACTTTCATTTGAACCCGAGACATTTCACATAAAGGGAATAGCAACATTTTGTTATAAATTCGATGTTGATGAATCCGTAGTTTGCGCGAATGGCAATTAAATATCAAACGGTTTAAAACGGTTTAGGTCTCTACAGTGCAATGCGATCTTATAACGCGAAATAAACTAGATCGCGTTTTAAACCGTCAAGTATTATAGTGGTATATTTAGTTTCCTTAAATACTGTCTATAGTTTACGCGAGTAGTACACATTTAAATAAAACACTTGACGGTTTAGAATGTAATGACAGACGGTAGTTAACATACGTTAAATAATATATTCCGCGTTTTAAACCGTTAAATTGTTTCATTTTAAGACCCTTAAAATACCTTAGTATATTTCGGGTTTTAAACGGTTATACTTGTTTTGTTTCAATGCATACATGCGGCCACTAGAGGCAGAGTAGCCTAACTGCAATTTTTATGCCTTGAGTAATGAGTTATTAATATTTTTATAGTTTAAAAATGTTAATCTACAAGAGCACAGTGATCGACAATTATTAACATAATTCTTACACAAATAATAGTACAAACTAATTTTCGCCTAACTCGATTGCGCATTTTTATTTCCCCCTTATTGAAAATCATGTTTTTCGTTATTACGCCACTCTGCCTCTAGCAGCCTCAAATGTGTTTGGATTACTTACGACAATCTCCTCGGGCTCCGCTTCCACAATAACCTGTTTGAACTCCACGTCGCCGTTGGTGATCGCCTCGGAGTCGTAGTTGGGGTCGTTCTCGTCTTCCGCGTACTCCTCCAGCATCTCTGAGCCTGGTAGACCCCATACCCCCTTGCCCCCAGCGCCACCTGAAAGGTAAAGTACCGTAAGTGAATGGGGTAGACATATTTAGACGTTGTTGTAATGGTAGCAATGTATCAACGGGTCGTGGATTCGATCCCCAGCGGTACTTACATTTATCCAATCTATTTACAATTTTTCTGAAACATGTTGGAAATCTGAATATTAAATTGGGTGATTGGAATATCTAAGTTGTGCCCGGGTCACGAACTAACGTCCACAAAGGGGTTGTCCATTAATCACGTGAGGCTTGAAAGGGGGGGGAGGGGTTTAATAAAAATCACGAAAATAACACAAGGGGGGGAGGGGGGGGTATAGGTAAGATATCTCGTGTATTAATTTTTTCGTCGAACGCGCGATTTTTAAACAAATGGTGTAGACATTTTTACTATGGTCCTTAATTTCAGAATAAAATAAGATTATAGTTTATACCTGTATTTATATTAAGATAATATTCAGAAAATTTTAAGATTCTTTGTAGGTACTAAAAATACACGTGATGTTGCGAAGCGGGGGGGGGGTTTTAAAAATTCTAAAAAAAGGTCACGTGATTAATGGAGAACCCCAAATGAAAAGAAAGTTTCATCGCGTTTCGGTATCAGCCTTTGGATTTCCGAACATCCATAGCTAAAATAGGTCCCCGGCGCATCTTGTCACGATATTATATGGGCTAATTAACCCTTTATCAAGTTATTCCTTATATTTGCCTGTCCTCCTGTATTAAAAAAAAACAATTCTAGTCACTATATACTTGACGGCAAGGAGATAAAAACAGTTTTGAGATACTAATATAACTATACTTCATATATCTAACATCTGAACAAGATGCGCTCTCGACTTATTTTTGGCTTTGGATATTCGGAAATTCACAGACTGTTCCTACGACGCATTTAATATACAGATTCTCAGACGAAGTACAGTACAAATTTGTAAATTTATCAGACCCGATGGAGATCGCCCACGACCCGCTGATTATAATCAATATAATTAATGTCTAGTTAAATACTGTCTATAGTTTACGCGAGTAGTACACATTTAAATAAAACACTTTAACGGTTTAAAACGCGATATATTAGTTAAACTTATTTGAAAATGATTTTTAACTTCGGCCCGACGTTTCGGATGCTTTGCAGCAGCCGTGGTCACGGCTATATCGTATAATATATCGCGTTTCAAACCGTTAAAGTGTTTTATTTAAATGTCTAGTTAATATGGCAAGCTGTTAACAAACATGGTTCGCTTCAAGATTTAATAGTCGAAGTCAAACCTTTTTCACAAAAATTGTGGTGGGAATCGAATACACGACCACTTATTTATAATAAACTAACAGTGTTGCCGCACCAATATCTACTTTCTACATATCTACCGTCATAAGCCTTAAATCATCTATAGCAGTGTACCTGTTCTACTTATACTGAACCACTTCTTGCCGTTAGCAACAGACGAACATGGCCAGACTTTGTTTACTGAATTACAAAAAACAGTGTTTAATTTCTTGATAACGATAAATAACATTAATAATAAGATAAGACATAATGTCCTACAACTTTAGCGATCGTGTTTGTAACAATTAAATAATAATTATTATTAATAGCGCTTAGTTAATCGGCGAAGGCCTAAATCGACCAGCGCGGTGGGGTTCTTTAGTGCACATATATGTTTAAAATAAAACAATTGTAACTGTATAAAACGCGAAATGTACTACATTTATTTACAATTTATATTTCGGACCAGCTGTGGTAAGCTAGCAAAAACGTCCGAAACGTCGGTCGTAAATATATCCTACTTAATATATTTCGCGTTTTAAACCGTTAAAGTGTTTCATTTAAATGTTTGGTGAAGCCATCGTAGGGTCAGGTGGTGACCGGTGGCCTCCAATCGTCACGAGACCACCGCTGCTGATAAGTATCTGTAACGACGGGCTCTAGTTAAAAGTAATTTATCAACAAGTTTAACTAATACACTACACGTTTTAAACCGTTAATGTTATTTCAATGTGTACTACTCGCGTAAACTACAGACAGTAGTTATTTCCTAGCAAATTTCCCCCCAATACAAAATAATGAGTAATATTGTATGTGTAAAGGACCAAGTCAAACTACCTACATGTTAAAAATATATCGGCAATGGGGACAACAACACAACAGCCTATTCAAAACACTGAGTTTTGCGATAAATTCAGTGTCGATAACGAACTGCGCAGTTGGATTAGTCACGAAAACAGCCTAGGGTGACCATGACTTCGACTGTATTTTGTGGACTTTTAAAAAAAATAGGACAATAACAGTAAGTATAAAGTGATGAGGAATCGTAGATTACAGCAGCGGCCGGCAAGAGTTTTTGTTTAAGCGCGCTAATCTTAGAAACTGCTGGTTCGTATTTAAATATTTCTGTGTTGGATAGACCATTTATTGAGAAAGGCTTCAGGCTGTATAACATAACGCTGTAATCAATAGGAGCAAGGAAACAGAAAATGAGGAAAAAACGAGAAAAAAATATTATCCATTGATTGCTACAGTTGCGAGCGCTGCGAAATTAATGTATTATTACCAATTCTTCGTTTGAGTTGTATCAACATAATAATATTAATCCCGCAAATAATAGACCGACGTTTCATCAGCTAGTAAAAAATACTGAAATGAAACGGTTAGATATTGTGGTTTAAAACCGTGGTCGTCCCGAAATTATTTAACACGATACGAACGTACAAGAACAGGGCTGCCTGGCAGTGATATGAATTGCTCCTCAAGTCGTTGAATTCACAAAAATGTATTAGTTTGTAAGACATGGTGAAAAAAGCCCGAGTTCCTTGGATGTTCTCCTCGGTTATGTTCCTCTTTTGGACACTCTGTAGAATCACGACGAACGGAGAGACAAACATATTATTTTTTTTTTTTTTTACGAATCTAAATATTTCATAATTTTACACACAATAAAGTATTGTTTTTTTCATGGTCACCCCACGGCTGCTATAAAAACAAAATGTTATTTCACCTTGGAAACGGTGTAACATGACATAATATTGGTTTCTTCATGTCGTTAGCTTTTACTAAAATATTACGTTTCTTGTTGCTTGGAGATTACGAACATAATTTGTGAATTAACAAATATCATAGTTCTAATTAATTACTAATTATTAAGACTATACGTAGATACTTGCTGTGTCAGCGACTTCGTCCGCGAAGAATATTTTGGCAATGGAGATAAACACCGTTTAGTAACAACACAACAAACAAATATACAGAACGGTTAAAAACACGAATTTTATTACCACATTTAAACGATAACGCGACGTTTCGTTATAAATAGTATACAAATTGAAGTAAAAATCTATTATAAATTAAAAAATATATATGACACGCATAGCATTTGAACCGGCATCCAAAGCGCTCCGTTTTTGGTTTTTTTTTTTATGGATCTTACGTATTGAGCCCCGACGGGGCCTCAAATACTAACCGGGCGTTTGGTGTAACACGGGTTTGCGGCTAGCCAAGGGTGCCCCGAGGGGACAGCGCTCCGTGCTGTTGCTCTAAAGTCTAACCAATGGCGCCGTGTCTTACACGTCAACGGCGCATCGTGACTTTTTTCTCAATTTACAATCGATTTTTAATTTATACCCATAGTGCTATTATGTGCAAAATATTCATAATATATCAAATAATGAAAATATACATGTGAAAAATATTAAAGTATGCAAATGACTTCGCGTTTTATACCGTTTAAACAGTTTCATTTAAACAATTATTGCCAGCTGTGCACGATGGAGCATAACAAACGTGACCTTGACGTCAGATGTTTTAAAAAGCTGTATGTTATTGTTAAATTTAAAAACTGCAAATGCTTCGCGATTATCTATGTCTATACATGTATTTGAAGAATACATATTTATGGAATTAATAAAGTTTACCTCACAAGCATTAACTTGCTATATACAATACTAGATGTGCTCGCGAGTACGTCCGCGTGGAGTAGGTAATTATTTTAGGCGTCATATCGTTCGTTTTTGCAAATAACCAAAAAATGAATTCAAGTTAGTACCATAGACAGTTAAACTTCGTTTTGTAATAAGGATTTCAAAAAAAACAGGGTTTAAACCATGTTTGAGACTTAGTCTTTGTTTTATTGTAAGAGTCATAGTGTCGCGGACATTTTTAGATAATTAAATGGGAATCATTCTTTCGTACATACATGGTATTAACCATTTCCCAGCGTACTTACCGGAAGCCCTCGAAGATAATTTCCCCCCTTTTTCTCAGGTCGATGTTTTAAAGCCCTAAGCCGTCCTCGATAAATGCTCTAACCAACATGAAAATATTTTTTAATTCGAACCAGTAGTTCCTGAGGTAAGCGCGTTCAAACAAACAAACTCTTCAGCATTATATATTAGTATAGATAGATATAAAATCTATTTTTTATAAATTGTTTTTAATAGACAGAGGGGGGTAGTTTATTTCTTATTATGGTTGTATAGTGTAGCCTCCTCTATCATAAAAAAAAAATTTATTATTAGAATACTTAGGGATAATATTACTACTTCTTAGTAGTAATATTATCTCTAACAATTTCGCTTGTTAAACATAATTGGAGTATAGTGGGAGCGGTATTTTGTAATAGGAATCCAAATGGAAATACTGCGATCAGCATTTTGGATACAAATAACAGTCTGTAGTTTACGAGAACCAATACACGATAGATAAAATTATTTAACGTTTTAAAACGCGTAATTTAATTAAGCCTGAGTTTATAACGGGTCATATTACTACAGCACAGCATCAGAAGCGATTTCGTGTTTGAAACTGTTTAAAATAAATACTGTCTGTAGTTTACGCGAGTAGTACACATTGAAATAAAACACTTCAACGGCTGCTGCAAAGCACCCGACGTGTCTGATGCAGCCCTGGTCACGGGGAAGCATGCGTCGGGCCGTAGTTTGAAAAACTTGTTTAACTTGTTTGAAAATTATAAACAAGTTTAACTAAAATAAATCGTGTTTTAAACCGTTAAAGTGTGTTATTTAAACTGTTTAAAATAGTTTTAATAATAACATCCTAGGCATACATAACTATCTGAAAATTAATTTACTTGATACTTTTTATGTAACTGTATATATATATATATATATATATATATATATATATATATGTTAATATATGTACAGTTAAAAGTAGTATAGGTATAATACATTTTATCGACACTATTAGTTAACATGTTAATTGAATGTCTGTAATTTACGAGAATAGCATACATTTAAAGAAAACACTTTTGACGGTTTAAAACATGAAATATTTAGTTAGTAGTGAAATCTCGTTTTCCCTCGCATAGGACGAACACATTTTTGTGTTTAACTGATCGGTTTTATTTACTGGCAAGTAGGTGATCAGACTTCTGTGCCCTGCCCGACCGAAACATATTTTTTTTTGTTTCCCTGGGTTCCAACCCAGAACCTCTCGCGCGTATCGCTATGCTAGGCAATACGTTTAACCATTTAGCTACAGAAGCGATCGAGTTAACTAATATATTTCTAGCCAAAATAATATATTAGTTAACTTATTTTATTGTCACGGCTGCTCCAGAGCATTCGAAATTTCGAACCGTAGTTAAAAATATAGAAAAAATAATTAACTAATATATTCGCGTTTTAAACCGTTAAGTGTTTTATTTAAATGTGACAGACATGTGTAAGGCATATTTGTGGGATTTTTTTACAGATAGATTTTATACAGACAAGCAGGTAGTTGATCATAATATTATCAACTTTAAATTATGCTTGCCTGGGAGTTGAATTGTTACTAGCATACCTTGTTTAATGCAATGTTTTAAACCGTTAAACCAGGGAGAGGTAATAATTACATGGATACATTCAAAAGAATATTGTTATAGTTGTTTTGATATTGTATTTATTTATTCAACTGACCTGTCGAATTAAATTTACTCCTTCTTCAGTTAGTTAAGGGTAGAAATAACAATTTCACTCCTGAAGAACTAAATAGTAGGTACTTATCTAGTCATCTGAATTTAGTGGTACAGTACTATTTTTTATGTCATACAATGCACATAATATATCAAAGTTGTGGGTATCCTATATTTAATATTTACAAAACATGATCTGCTGTAGGCTTATTTTAAACATTCCTCTATTCTCCTATATAAGGAGACTGGTTATGGATAAAAGCCTTCCCCCCCAAAAAACTGTTTCGTAATATATTAGTTAATTTGTTAAATTTGTTTCAACAATTACTTGACCGTTAGGATGATTTGCAGCCATGTATATTATTATTTGTTTAAGTTAGTCAGAGAGATTACATAGCTTTTGTATTTGAGCACATGTTGTTGATACTAAGCCATATGTTAATCTTATTTAATTGTTCGTAAAATTTATAACTGTGTTCAGCTGCTGTAGAAGACTTAAGCCGAGAACCTAGATATAAGTTCGCAAAAGTGTCTTTCTAGTAAAACCACTCGGGCAATATTTTCTTGACAGTATGGCCTTGATCTTATAGGCTAATATTTTCAGTTAGTTATCGATCTTAGATCGATTAGTTTGTTAGAACATTACATTGTTTCTTTGTGTAAACAATTTTTGTTGTGTTAATATTTATTTATGTTAAAATGTATTGCTTTCTCCTATATTTGTTACTATTTTCTGTATACTAAGATCGTTTGGAGGAAATTACTATAGACGATAGGACCACCTTTGCACTAACTTTAAATGTGAATAAGTTCCCAATAATTTCTTATCTATATTTATATGTTTGTGCAATAAATTGTTTTATTATTAAATCTTAGAAATAAAGTAAATGTACTGCTACACATTGAAGGTATAACTTATTTCATAAAATCCAATAACAATTGTCAAGACTAGCTTACACGTCAGTGGCGAGTAACGAAAGTTTAGAATTGTATAAGACAACGTACATGACCTACGCCAATGTGTTTTTAAGGGGCGGGTCTATAAATATGCACCCTATGTACAGTAACTGCGCACAATTTATATGACCTTGAAAATGCCGTCCCACTTGCACCCGATCACAACAAACATCGCGGCTCTACGATCCGGCTTCTAGAAGCTTCTATTGTTTATCCAGCTCTGTGTAGGAATCCACTCACCTTTTTTGGGCAGACCCCTGCCGTGTCCGTTTCGTGGCCGGCGGCTATTTTTCCAGCTTCGATATTTTGGGAGTGGTGCGGCTACGTTTCCCTCCTTGCTGTTGGTGCGGGCTAATTTTTTGCTTCTCCGGCGTGCGCGGCCAGAATTGGAAGCGACCGCGTCGCCTGCGCCCTGCTCAGTCGCGGACTTGTCATTTTCTTCCATAGCCACGTTTTCATTGTCGGACACAACGCGATCGACTTCCATTACGACGCCAACCGGCTTCGGTCGAGAAAACGGAGAAAGCGCTGTCGAATCTACGGAATCCACTTAGATTCTGCTAGGAACTCGATTTTTTTATTCCTAATTGAAGAATATTGTAGTAACAATTAGATTTGTTAAAGATACAAGCACGCCTATACGAGACCGAAATACACGATGTAGGTATGTTATATGCGTATTTGTTTTGAGCACATTGATCTGAAGTCAGCAGAATAACATGAGAAATGCTACAGCAGTGCTGCCAACATGGCGATGTAATAGTCGCCGGAAGTACAGTATTCTTGTAGTTTATTTTATGTATTGTTTATTAATGCAAAATGTACGTAAATATCTCAGTAAATCTGTGTAAATAAAATTCACACTTTTTATTTACATTTTACGTTGTCCCTATACAATTAATATATTGCTTATAATATATTTTTTTCAAGGACCCTTAATGCATTAGGTCTTGATATACGTATCTTGTGCAGCTATATTTTTACAGCATTAATTTAATTAATAGAAAATTTTAATATATATATTTGTTTTAGTTCTAAAATACTAATTCATACGCTCTAATTTACAGTCAACAAATAGTCCAATAACCTGCTTTAATTCAGAGCAAGCTACCAACATTAGGAAATAGTCCGGAAGCTTAAACGTCGATATGTTTACCAACTGCACGTATCAGCTGTCGTTTGACAATTGACTACATTGCAATTTGCATCATAACACAAGTTTATATTTTGGTTATGTTTTGATTTAAAAATAAAATGAAAAACCACATGAATCAAAATTTTCGTGCAAGATTTAGTTCATTAAATACGCAACCAAACTCCGAAGACTTTATACTGTCGTGCAGTAGTAGCGAGAACGAATGTGAGAATGTCATTCCACGAAAACATCTTTATACCAAGAGAAAGAGGACCCCTAGCAAGAAATTAAACAATGTATCCAATTTAGATATCACGATAACAGATGTGTCGCAGGATCAGTTAAAAGTCAAGAAATCACCTATACTACTGCCTAAAATGTTAAAAGAAAATCGTATGCCAGATTGTAAGAATGGAGAAGTTACATCACCGATATTAGTACCAAAAAGTATGCCATCCAGATCTAAAAGCCCAATATTACCCGTGAAATCTAAGCAAAGTAGCCCTAGTGTTTGTAAAAAGTTATTTCAACCTGCAGCTGTTAGTAAGAAAAGATGTCTTTCACCCATATTAAATACAAATAAGAGAAAATCCTTCATCGAGATAAAAAGTGAACAATTAGACACATCAGATGAAAACCAGAACTTAATACAAATAAATATGGAACCTCAGACCAACAATACAAAATTAGTAGAAAAAGTAAAGTCATATTTTGAAGGTAATTTTAGTTCGGAGTCACCCTCACAAAACTCAATTAGCGAATACGATAGTCCCAAAAGCAATTCAAGAACAAGTGAAGAAATCGACATCGTAGACGCCTCCCAAGGTCTACCGCCACCTATGAAACAAGAACAATTTTCTACCACAGATGATATCACAGCAACATCAAAGAAGGTTAAGTACAAAAAGGATGGTTTAGCATTCCGTCTGAATATATTGTTAAGGAAACAAAAAGCTAACTTATCATTGTGGCAACATGAACGGTTTTTAGCTGATAATTCAAGCTTCGTAATGCCGAAAGAGGTTTACACAGCGTATCGTATTAAAAAGGTTGATTTAAAATTTGGCTGCGTTTTGTTACTGGCAGTTGATAGTAAAGATGATTTATTTTTAATTTTGATTAACAGTATGTATGTACATCGTAAGATAGAATCAAATGTGATATTAAGACTATATGAGCCTTATAAAATAATAAATCTAAGTAACGGCAAACTGATTTTAAATGTTTGTAAATTTGTATGTTGTCCGTTAGCCCAATCAATGTAATAAAGTTATATGTAATTATTATCTAGTCTTTTGACTTAATTAAAGTCCTTTCACTCCTGTAGGACTAAAACAATCAACTTCCTGGATCTCTTGAGCTTAAGCTACATGTTTAGTCATTTAGTTCTTTATCTCAAGGTGTTTTTTTTTCTTAATCTATTAATATTAAAGCTTAGTTCATTATATACAATAAAGATATTAAATATTTGACTCTATAGTTAAAAGTCGTATGTTACACTGGTGGCCTATTTTTCGTTAGCATTGAAATATAGGTTGGTTTTTTTTTATTTTTTTTTTTAATATTTATATATGATTAATTACTATTCATTTAAAAATTTATTCCATTGTATAATTTACATTAATAAATTTAAATTTTTTTTTATTTATATTAAATTATAATAACCAACTTAGTTTATTCCGTTTAAATTCCTTAAAAATTTTTACTTAACATAAAATTTCATTTCCCTCACTAAGAAAAATACTTATTTAACATAATCTACACTGTATGTCATCCACTATAAAACCCCATTTATTTCATTATTTATAATTTCCAAAGCTATAAACATTTTCTTCCAAATAAACCATATAAAATGTAAAAAAAAACTATGCAAAAACATTCCACTATTTTTAAAATAAGTAAAGATTACTCCCTCTACCAAATTATACAACTTCTAGAACACACTCCAATTAAGTTTAAATATAATCAATATACATTCCTAATTAAAATCTATTCATAAAAACCAAAATTTGGTACTTCCTAATTAGTACTTATGGGGTTGAAGAATAATAATAATTTTCATTTTTTCCAAGAAAGTTATAAAGTAAATGGAAGACAGCTTTAAAGATTAAAGTGAGTTTCTTTCAATAAAGAGATAATTTGTAATGTTTCAGATTCTAAAAGAATAAATTTTTCCTAATATATTATAGGTATTATGTATAGACCAAAAAATATTTCTAAAATAAGTTCTATTAGAGTACTAAATGTACTAAAACATCGAATATTGATCAATTATTGTCTCGGCCAATAAAATATCTTAGATCTTATATTTGTTTAATCAATAGAATTTTTCGTGCCGTAAATTGCCAAAACTGTCCGAGTGTCGTTCTTAGGAAGCTTGACAATTTCGGCACTTGAGGCGCTAGTGAGAATCTACCTCTGCAATACTAGTTAACTAATGGAAAGAACTAAAAAAAACAACTATAAAACAACACTCCCATTATTACTTATAGTAATTACAGACGGTATAATCAATGTAATAAAAACTACCAAATACGACGAAATTTCTACCATTTTTCAGGAGCAGAGCTTTTGAATGCGGCAACAATTTTCAGTCGAGTTTTCAGTAGCAAAAGCTTGGTCGATAATTTTCCCAACAAACACATCAAAGGGTGTTTCATTGTCTTATAATGGTGTTTTCATAAAACAATAGTGTAATATTAGTGTTTATATCGACATTTAGGTCAACATATTGACTTGTTACCTTTTGTAATTGCACGGGTAAGTTTTTTGTAAGATTCCTTGCTTCTATTTTATACTTTCTGCGTCATTGTTGATATTACTTGGGAATATATGTCATATTTTAAGGATTTAATTTAGATAATAACACCAAGCTGTATTGCATCTATAAAGTATTAAATAATAAATATTTTAAACAAACAAAGTACATATTAAGATCACGACGAAGATGTTAAAAATCACGACACGGGCGAGACTTCAACCGGCATCCATCCCGTTCCGTGCCGTTCTAACCAATTGTCTCCCCGTGACCACAGCTGCTGCAAAACATCCGAAACGTCGGGCCGAAGTTAAAAATCGCGTTTTAAACCGTTAAAGTGTTTTATTTAAATGATCGACCGTGTCAAATTTTTCTTCGATTTAAATAGATTTTTAATTTGACGATGTAGTTTTTTAATTAATGTCAAATTCTAAAACTGCTAATGACAATTTGTCGTGCCGTGGCCACGAGACCACTACACGAATTTTTATTATTCTTATTTAAACAAAGTAATTTATTTGTTTTTTAAACTTTAAATGCGTAGATTGTTTTGGTGTGATGGCTATTACCTGCCGGTTCGATTTCACCTAGGCCCAACGTGTGTCTAAAATTAAATAAATCAATAATATGATGGGTGGTAGGAATATAGAAATTCCATCCGGGTCACGAACCCCCGAACACATAAAAGCCGTGAAGTTTAGTCGCGTTTCGGTTTCAAACTCAAATTTCAGAATTACTAAAGCTAAAATAGGCCGACAACGCGTGTTGTGACGAGTCGTACGTAGGGCTTTTTAAATATAATTATAGGATACTAAGAATAAAACAAACGTTTTTCCTATTAGATAAAAAAGAAATATCGCTATCCCCCGTGGGGCGAACGGTTATATGTCCGGTTCACTAATCTCTTAAGGGCAAATATTTGATCAGACTTCTAAAGATACTAAAACTGTTTCGTTGTTGTTTGGTAATTTATGTCTTCAGCCATATTTTAATTCCATTTTTTATTAATCTCAATTTCTTACATAAGCCGTGATATAAATCTCTTATGACGTTCATTAACTTGCGCGCGAAAAAATAAACAAGATGGCGTCTTGACAATTTAAAGTACGTATCCCACTAAAAGCGATGAGAAATAGTGTATTTTTTCTAACTTGGCATTTTTTGTAAACAAACACGCAATTTACTAGAAATCATGTTTTCTCACAACGTTCACATTGATTTACACTTAAAAAATACTTTGAGACACCGGATTATTCATTAAACTATACTGTATTTTTACAAAAATAACTTTTTTAGTAAAAATTAAATTATAATTTTCTCACAAGGTTTACACTAAAAACACTTTGAGACACTGGGTGATATGTTAAACTAATGTAACTATCTACAATTCATTTGGTAAAAACAACAATTTCATGTCTAAATTATATATAATATATTGTCGAAATAAACGACTACTGCTACTACAGTCTTTTTTATGATAGAGGAGCACAGATAAGTCAGTGAGGGAAGTTATTTTATACTTAAAGATGGTATCGATATGCTGTGACCTATTTTGGGTAGGGATATTCAGAAATCCACAGACTGACACCGAAACGCGATTTAACCTTCACGTCTTTTTCATCTGTGGTCCAGCGGGTTGGAGGCCCGGGCCAAATAGATATTCCTACCACCCATTTCAGCTCCACACTTCCAAAGCTTTATGAGTCAAAAAATTCCCGTGGGGCTCGAACCCACGGACGTTGATTATTAGCTATATATTGCAACCATTACACCAATGGGCCCGTCAAAAATCGTGTAAAGTAATTTATAGTCTTTAACTAAATATATATTTACTAGCACTATCATTATGTGCACTGTGTGATCGACTTTGTAAAATTAAGATTTGTAACAAATACGTATTTCAAGACTGCGCATGATTCTATAAACAATTTTAGACAGACAAATTAGTTTCTAATGTGAGTTACTCGTTTATCTTGTAAACATTAGCACGAATAACTATTTCAAGAACTATATTTCGAATTTTTAAACCTTTACACAATCGTTCTGTAGCAACAAGTTCAGGCGAGTGAGACACATTTAAAAATCCTCTTTAAACTGTTTCAAAACGCAATTATTTTAACTTACTAGCCGTAACGTTATTTTGTTTGTTTGTAAAATAAATATAATCTGTACTAATATATAAACAAATATAATATATGAATTACGGGTTCGAATTTTATTTGGTTAGAACATATCGAAAAATGATGCTATGAAACATCGCGCTGTCACTGTGCGAAGAACCAGCCTAAATGTGAAAAAATAATTAATCATTATGGGTTTCCGAGGCCTACGCTGCAAACTCAACATACCAAATGATTAAGGAGAAGTATAAGAAATTTATTTAAGATTAACTTTTAATATCAACGAGTAGGTACGCGACCGACGTCGTGCTTAGCAGCAGCCGTGGCCGCGGGGCCCCCCCGCGCCCCCGGCCGCCCCCCCCCCACCCGGCGGCCCGCCCCAAATAAACAACTTCTGAGATTAGTGTATTAATATACGCGTTTTTAAACCTTAAAGTGTTTTATTTAAATACTAATAATGTCTCAATTTCGAACAAACAAATTTGATTAGCGTAAAAATTATTTTTGTAAGTTAATCCTAAAAGATATATATTATCGCGGACATTTTAGATTATTTAAAGAGGAATCATTATTTCATGATGCTACACGGCCTAAAGCAAACTCAAAAATGCTTCGTATAAGAAATAGATCTTTTAATATCAACGAGTAGTTTCCGAAACCAGTGTATTAAGCAAACAAACAGCTTGATTTATTTGACATAATGTTTGTTTCAGAAATATGGATGTTGTAAGTCATCATTGGAAAGCGTTGACAATCGTCTTGATTTCACTCTCTTCTGTGGGTGAGTGTAATTGAACAAATTAAATTACAAATAAGACGTACATTAATATCTATATAAGGATAACAAATAATATGACACGGGCGGGACTAGAACTAGTGACCATAAAGTAATACGTAGTATCTATAGTTCACGCGAGACGTACACATTTATAGAGAGCAAGCGTGTAGCTTCCCTCGTGTATCGAGTTCGACAAAGCATCAACGGCATTCTGGGGGTATTGTGTGAAAAGTATACGGTGCTGGTAAAACGATGGAGTGACGTCCATGCTCCCCCTTAGGGCCTAGCACCTACTGTGTATATTTCATTCTGTCTGCTTAATTTTAGTGACTAACACATTCTAATATACATTTTAAATTAAAATTTGTTACAAACCCAACTAAGTCACATTAGAATTAATTAATTTTAAGAAATGGATTTCTGGTCTGAAAAACTAATTATTATTATTATTATAAGACATTATTACAGCGCGAAATATATACCTACGTTAACAGACGGTGGTTCGTGACTGAACCACCACCGCCACTGAATTTCGATGTTTCTACCACACATTTGACCCCCCCCCCCTGTAGCCAATTGGTTAAACGTATTGCCTAGTATTGTGTTAAGCGCGAGAGGTCCTGGGTTCGAATCCCAGGGAAACAAAAATAATGTTTCGGTCGGGCAGGGCACAGAAGTCTGATCAACTACTTGCCTGTTAAAGAATCAGTGCAACGGGCACAGAAATGTGTTCGCCCCATGCCCCACGAGGGGGAAACGGGATTTCACACACACCACTCTTTTAATATCCAAATATCCGGACAAAGTCCAACATGTTCCAGAAAAATTATAAGTCGAATAAAATGTTGGATCCGATGGGGATCGCACCCACGTCCCGTTGATTAGTTTAGTTAGTAATAAAATCTTGTGTATTATGTAAGCTACTTATTATGTAAATTACATGTTTTAAGCCCTTGTAAGCCCAAATAAATAAAAGGTTTCTTAAAGAATTAAAATCAATAATACAGAGTGTTTTTTTTTGTTTCAGCACTTGCTATAGACTGCTTCAAATGTGTGTCAATGAATGGCCGATTTCCCGCCTGTGACGATCCCTTCCACAACAACCATTCCCTTCAGATGCTAGAGTCCCCGTGCATGGGGGGCAGGAAGGGCAGAGATGGCCTGTTCCCGGCAACATCCTGTATTAAGATCGCTGGAGTTTTTGGTCAGTTATAAGCCACATGAGGGTAGTTGTGAGGTCAAATTGGAAATTCAACTAACTATAAGTCCTAATAATGTAACCAGTGATTTTTTAGTTAATAGGACGCTTCGACACATCTTAGTCCTGGTAAGGCAGATTTACTAAAAGTGATAAGGCATTCTTATATGACAAAGTACCGTCAAGATTATCTGCTTTAGGATAGTCTATAAATTTCTAGAATCTGACTTTGTCAAAGTCAAATTCGGGACTACTTTCCATTCTCGTCTGTAGTTTACCGTAGACTTATGCGAAGCATTCAATACAGGTACAGGCAGAGTTTTTAAATCAGAAATTAAGGTTGACTATTATACAGTCGAATTTTAAACCGTAAAAAGTTTTTAATTTATGTTTAAAGTTGTTAACATAGTTTTTTTTGTAAAAAAAGAACAAGATACATGTAATATGTAGACTAATTTGTATGGAGTTCTTAACCGTTCATTTTTTTTATTTACACGAGTACTACTCGCTTATATTATAGACATTCTGAACCTTTTATGCGTTCCAGATGATACGGGCGAGTCCATAACGGTACGAGGGTGTGGACTTGACTCCGGGACTGCGACAACGGACACAGAAATAATCAGAATGTCACACTGTGGCCGTTTTTATTATAACGACAGGTAATCATTTCTCGACGGTCTCCTTGATCTAAAGCTGTAGAGTTTGTTTATTTGTTTGTTTGAACGCGCCAATCTCGGGAACTACTTGTTCGAATTGAAAAATTATTTTTGTGTTGGTTGGGCTATACGTAGAAAGACTTAGGCTATACATCATGCTGATACGGACGACGTCGTAGGTAACGGTAAAATTCAAAATCAAGTCTGTACTTTCATGGATTTTTTAGATTATTTAAAGAAAAATAATTATTTTATACATATTTTTTTGGGTACGTTGAACTGTTCTTGCACGGGCGCCGAAAACCTTCAAAGATACACATTCACACTTTTAAACATATTGGTGTAGTTAAATTAAATAAAAAAATAAGTGTAGTATAATAATATCATCTGTGGTTGTTATTGTTCTTCTTTCCTTTCAGGTACGTCCACGGCTGTCTCCAAAGCTGCAATGATGCAGACGCCTGCAACTCCTCAACTAAAGAACTATCTTCAGTAATTCTTATAATGACGTTACTCTTCGCCGTCTTTAAGAGCTAACAAAAATAAATAGATAATAAAACACTCCAATTGACTGTAAGAATATTTGCATATTGTTAAGAAATCTGAAAAAGCCGCGTTACGTAACGCGTTGCGGTGAGTTGGGCTATACTTTTTATGATAGAGAAGGAAAGACAAGCTTCTCTTGTAAAAGGTATCAGTATCGCTTTCCCAAGAAGGATCCTTACCCATCTCGTGGTGTTCAGCCCCAAATCCCATATGTGGGGCATGGGCCGGACATTTTTATGTCAGTTTTACTAATGTATTTTGTTTATTTGCAAGTTTTGTAAAATAGAGAAAGTACAGGGTTCTCTTGATGGAAACGGTGAAGTACCCCGGGGAAGTAATCAAATAACATGTAAACAACATGCGCTGACGCACTATTTTGGCTTTGGATTTTCAGTATTATGCATTTTTCCTCCTGGATTAGCATTTCGGTCAGACGTTTCCGACTTATGTAAGTTATAACTACTGTCGTGTTATTTAAATAAAACACTTTAACGGTTTAAAACGCGATATATTAGTTAAACTTATTTGAAAATGATTTTTAACTTCGGCCCACGTTTCGGATGCTTTGCAGCAGCCGTGGTCACGGGGAGACTAAAGATGGAGGATGTCTCTGACGTCAAAGTAAAAAATTGCTACGCTAGCGCCATCTGTTCCCTCGAAGTTGGTATTTGGCGAAACTGGCCGGGTCCTTACAGAAATGACTAACGGTGTCTTCGCGTTTGCTGGTATGCTGTTTATTGGGATCCAGAGTTTTTAATATGGGATCCCAGGTGTTTAATAGTTTGAGGCCGTCCTCCCTATTGAAATTTCGGTGTTTTTTGATTTCAATTGCTTCGCGTACCAATCTTGGAAAAAATCGACTCTCCTTTGCGAGGATTTTTGGTGAAACGTCGGGCCGAAGATAAAAATCATTTTCAAATAAGTTTAACTAATATATCGCGTTTTAAACCGTTAAATTGTTTTATTTAAATGTGTACTACTCGCGTAAACTATAGACAGTATTTACTGTCGTGTTATTTTTTTTATATTGTTACGTCATAGTTATATACGTGTTATAATTATATTGAATTTTTATATGCAACTTTAACGAAATTTTTTTTTTTTCTGTAATAACTTTGTGCTATAAACGGATTATTTATTTATCGATGTTCATAACTTGATCAAACTCTCGTGTTGCGCGAGCGTCCCACTTTTGTAATCCCTAGAATGATAAGCAGAATCATAAGCTGAAATTAATGAATGAAATATTAAAATACTCGCCTAATAAAAGAGCACTAATTTTATATATGCTACAGTCAATTGGAGTCGAAGAGTCCATTATGCTAGTTAAATTATAAATAGCGTTAATATCCACCATTTAGATATATCTTCGGTGCTTTTTTAAATATTTTAATTTAAACATAAGTTATTTGCAATAAGCACATCTTCATTGTTCAGTTACATGCAAACTCCTTGTACCTACGTAGATCATATTTGTATTGTCTATGGTTTTAGTCTGTGGTAATGTTAAAGCAATAAATTGTTTAAATTTATTTTTTATTTTCAAAGGTTGTAATTTATTTAGAAAAAGATAACATAGACACTATTATTTAGAAGCTATGCAATTATTATAAGTATTCATGTAAAAAAACGTTGAGCATACTTTTTGGCGCCAAAAAGAATTATTAGTCGGACATTTTGTTTCCGCCTGCGCGGCAATACATCTATTCTCGTTTAAGGTCGCCGGCTGGAATAACAAATGTTTTTCACCTTCGCATATTTTCGATTTACCTTTAATTTACTTGCATAATTAAAACGTCAAATTATATAATATCACTAGCTGTGCCAGCCAGACTTCGTCCGCATAGAATAGTGATTTTGGGCAAACTTCCTCAAATTTCCTCCACACTTTACAAATTAAAGCTGTCACCGACGACATTGGTCGCGTCCCGTCGTTCTTGTAAATTAATCTTAAAAAATACACATGTAGTGTCAACATTTATTTTAAACAATATAAAGAGGAATCATTATTTTAAACACGCTATATTGGTTTCTTGAACCATTTTATCAGAGTACACTTCAAAAACATACAAATAAACATTTCCCGCTGTTTCTTCGCGTTAAATGGCTCTAACCAACACGAAATTTTTCAATTCGAACCAGTAGTTCCCGAGATTAGCGCGTTCAAACAGACAACATTTAGCTTTATATATTAGTATCGATAATTAACCATTTTTTTCAATCAAATTGCAATGCAATTATTGTGTTATTATACTCATTTAATATAAATTGACTCCTTTGTTAAATCGAATGCATTCATGAACGAACGAAATCGTAAGGACGAACGAGATCCAAAATTTCTATTGTCAAGAGCACGGAACGATGTAGACGTAGGTTTGATTCCCGCTCGCGTCTTCGTCTTTTTTATCATCTATCGAGATTACTCGGAGTTTATATCGGGCATGTTAATGTTAACACGAGTAAATTTTATCTACACTCGCGACATGTCCTAGAGCGCATTCTAGCCCGCCTAAGTAGTTTACGCACTTAGGAATTAAAATTAAAAAAATAGTATGTATTAGATAATTTATTCAATATTTGTACACGTTCTATATAAAATGTATATAGTTGTAAAATATACACGGAAATAATTTTCTTGTTTTATTTTTGACCTACATTGCGTTGAACACGAAAGCTTTTGGGTTCGAATCCCGGAAAAGGAAAATATTTTAATTGGGGTTTATTTATCTGTAAAACATCGTCGTTTTTGAGTTCGTGGGTTCGACTCGTGGTTTGAAAATTTATTGAAGAACAAATCTAAAACTAGTTAAACATTAGTAAGAAATATTTTTAAGAAAGAAGAATGCCCATTTTAGGCTACAAAAAAATAGCACTAAAAGAACATAATTCAGCAGATTTTCAACAACAACGATCTTATTAAAAAAAACGATTCAATACGCGTAATATATTCTCGTTTCCGATACTTAACAGCAGCAATGATGTCAGATTTCAAACCGTTAAAAGTGTTATATTTAGGACATCGTATTAAATAATTTGTTGTTTATTTTTGGCCTGGAAACCCTTAAACAGTGAACATCACTTAGCATAACATCGTTTTATTGGTTATCTTCTAGATCCACATCTTCGGTTCCTTCATTTGGGTCCACCGTCGTTTCAGTGTAGTCATAGTCCGTTAGTGGACTTCCTGAAAAACAATTTGACATGAGTCCGCTGGGGGCAGAGTAGCCTAACTGCAATTTAATTACTTGACTTATTTATATCATAGTAAATGTTTACAGGCACAGTGACCGGATATGGTCAACAAAATTTTTAAGGATGTATGCCTAGTTGTGTGTTCGTAAGATCCCAGGTTCGATCCCCGGCCAAGCACAAAAATTACCGCCTACACCGTAACTATTAACCATAGAAGTACTAAGTTTGAATCCAAGAGAAATATCTAGTCTAGCTGAATCTGAAGTCTGACCAACCACCTACCAGTAAATAAAATCGATTAGTGAAACAGACATAGAAAAACAACAGAATTGATAGTCGATTTAACGGTTTAAAACGCGAAATATATTAATTAAATTACATAGTTTAACTAGCCCGACATTACTTACATTCATTATGCGCATTCACTAGCGCGCTACCCATGTAAATCGCAAAGCATTTGAATCGACGGGTCGTTATATATTTTGCGTTACAAACCGTTAAGCTAATTTTTGAATGTTAAAACGTACTTATAGTGCTCGGTGACGGTTCGGTGTCGCATTTGCACTTTCTCATCTCCTCCAAAACCCTCAACTCGGAGGGTAGGAGCTTCGATGCTTCATCAGGGTCATGGACGTCCGCTGAAGAATAAATTATTTACTTTTATTGGTCTTAAAAAAACCGCTCGCAGCGGCTCCTGAACCAGCGTGATAGGCCACGGTCGTTAACAGAGAGGACGCGCAATACAATTTTTTTTCTAATTTAGTGATTCATGGCCGTTTTTGCGGTGCGAAGCCGGGACAGGGCTGCTAGTCTATACGTGTATAGGAAAACCACTGTCCTGTAGTAATAGTGGAGTAGATTTCCATCAGTTTAAATTTGCCGCGTTAGCCAGTAGAATATTTATACAAAAAAGTAGATAAAAAATATCTGACAACGCAATGTCAATAGATGACATCTGACATCTAATGATAAATAACATTTTTGTTGGTGGCAACACTTGTGTTAGTTTGTGAGAGATAAAAATACAGTATATAAACAATCTTGTTTTTTCTGAGAAACACAATTACGTCTTTTCTTTAATAAGACCCATTAAAGTCATTCTATACATACCAAATCGTATAGACGTCGGTGGCGGAGACGGTTCTTCGCATTTGCAGTAAGGGTCCACCATCGCTGCTGCCTCGTCAGCCTTCCGACGGATCTCCGAAGGTAATTCCTTCGGACCTAGAACATTATCGACTAGCTTTTACCCACGTCATTGCGTCATTCTTGCGAGCTATTTTCGCAGCGCACGGCAACGGCAGCCCATAAAGAAGTGTGATTATTCCCGTTTGAATTGTTATATTAGTTCCTGAGGTGAGCGCGTTCTAACAAACAAACTTTTCAGCTTTATAACATTAGTATAGATGTCGTGATGTTCTTGTGAATCATTGAGGATGAAAGAAAGAACAGCTGCTGAGCTGTACACGGACAGGCAAATAAGAGTAGACCAATAGGAGCGAAGGAATAGTGGCAAATGTGAATAAAACGGGGAAAATATATTCATTTTAGTGGTCTTCCTTTGCGTGCTTAAAAGAATGATTCCTCTTTAAATGATCTAAAAATACGTACGCGACAGTATATGGTTATCTTTCAAGATTACCTCGCAAGAACCGACTTTATGGGAATCAAATTCGGTCAAAATATTAATTTTGACCTAAATAATTGCATTGCAATGCCATTCAAAATGTTTATTATAATCCTTTGCATAATTACCATTAAAATAAAATATATATATATATATATACATCTTTAACGGTATTAGTTAAACGCGGCATATATTAGTTAAACTTATTTTCAACTTCGGCCTGACGTTTCGGACGCTTTGCAGCAGCCGTGGTCACGGGGAGACTCGGAGCATTCGAAACGCCGGCCGAAGTTAAAAACAATTTTCAAAAATGTTTAAGTTATTTAAATCGAGTTTTAAACCGTTAAAGTGTTTTATTTAAATGTGTACTACTCGCGTAAAAAATAGATAGTATTTGCATTAATACCAATTATTCGTTAGGGACATAATAATACTAATCATGTAACAGCGAAACAACGTTTAGCCGGTTACCTAGTATGTAAATAAAACACGTTTAACGGTTTAAAAGGCGACATGTACTAGTTTAGTTATTCACAATTGATTTTTACTGTAGCTGGGGTCACTACGGGAGACGTACTTAATATAAATGTAAGTAACTAATACATTTCACGTTTTAAACCGTTAAAAGTGTTTAATTAAAATCTGTACTACTCGTGTAAACTACACACAATTACAACATATGTCATCCGGTAACACGCATTTGTGGCGTGGTGGATTAAGACCCAGCTGTGGGCGGCTGATGACTTACACAAAGCCTTGGGCTTGAATGGTTCGCTCCTCTCCAACGCATCGCCGATTATCTTTCTCATGAAGTGTCTGTAATCCGTCACTTTCGCTGGACGTTGCGTCTCACCGGTCGCCAAAGAAATGCCTAGACGATACGAAATATATAATATCTACTAAAGTGAAGTATCGCCCCCTTCCCCCCATGCCGCAAGGGGGTGAGCTGGGGCATGGGGCGAACATATTTCTGTGTTCGTTTCACTAATCGGTTTTAAAAGTCGTTTAACACGACTTTTACTTCTGCAGATGGCGGACGGAATATCGATTAAATTCCTAGATTCCTACCACTAACTTATATCCAGATTTTCAGACGGAGTTTAACATGAAAGAACCCACGAACCGTTCGCCATATATGCTACCATTGCATCGTCATAACATATAAAACTAAGCTAAATGTTAATATAGAAAATGTCTGTCTTGTTGTAAGGTAGACGGCACGTACATTCGTCAATAGCCTCCCTCGCTTCCAGATCAAGTTCCACCTTCTCCCTCAAGAGCTGATTGAGACTCCGGTTCAGCTCCGCCGATTCCTCGCGATGTTCCCGGGACTTCACAGTTACTAAGTGATAGAAGATATAATTATTGCATTATGAATTAAAAATGTACTTTTGACTGAGAAAATATCTAGCAAGACTCGTACCCACGACTAAAAATTGGGCAAAACATGAGTTTACCACTGTATACATGAGTTTAATTGTATAATAGATATATAACTAGCTGTGGCCGCGACTTCGTTCGGATAGAATGGTTATTTTGGACATCAAAGTTTGATTTTGCAAACTTTCCCCCCCCCCATTTTAAACTTTAGCTGTTACCCACGATGCGTCCCGTTGTTTTTGTTAGTTGTAATCTGAACATTTTTTTTTAATCGTTCCCACTTTTTCTTCGCCCCAACTAGTCGCAGCGTGACGTTTTATAACTAAAGGAATGTATTATACCGACCATCAGCAATTAACTCGTTCAGCCAGCAGCGAAAATCGTGCGCAGGAGTGTAGCGTTCGTCGCGAGTTTTTCCGGCGTATTCTCGTGCTATACAAAGAAAGTAAGTTTATGTCGCCTCTGTGCGTGGTTAACGTGTGCCTGCGTTGCGTTTAAGCGCGAGAGGTTTTGGGGTGGGAACCCGGGGAAACCCCCCCCTAAAAAAGCGCCGGGGGGGAAGGACCTTCCTCGGGGGGGGTTTTAAACCGTTAAAGTGTTTTATTTAAGTGATACTAGTTAACTTATTCACAATTTATTTTGACTACGACCCGAAGTTTCGAGTGCTTTGCAATGATGGAGAATGTCCCGAATGTCGAAGTAAAAACTGCTACGCGTCGGAGGCAAGCTCATTTGGGTCGCTGCGCCAGCGGAGTAAGAATAACTCCATCTGTTTCCTCGTAGTTGGTATTTTGAGAAATTTGTTGGGTAGTCCTTACCTGACTCGCGGTAATTAAGGGACGAATGTTAAACCGTTAAAAGTGTTTTATTTAAAATATTCACATTCTGTAAAATATTATTCGTTCGTCACAGATTTGTGAACTTCGGATCTATGTTAATTATAGAGAAAAAATCGATCCACAACAATATTTAGTAAAAATAAATTGTAAATAGCGTTTTATTCAAATATCTAACGAAAACTAATCAAAAACCAAAACTAACATTGTCTGTGACTCACGAGTGTTACATATTGAAATAAAACACTTTGAACGGTTGAAAACGTGAAATATTAACTCATTTTAAATGTATCTATTTCGTTTAATTTAAATAACAGCTAAATAGACAATGTTGGACCCGGAAATCGGGTCCAGGATCCATTGGTTCAGCCGTATATCTTTAGAACAACTTACTTCTGGTATACCTCCACCTCTGGTCCTTCCTGGCGCTCGTCTCAACCGGCTCATGGTCTTGTATGGGACAAACTCTGCATCGACAGAGGTCACCCAGGGGCTCTCCACACTGTGTACATATCTCTGTAACCATAGCAACGACTATCTAAAAATGTCAACTTCCATACTGTCTGTCGTTTACGCGAGTAGTACAAATTTAAATAAAACTCAAACGGTTCAAAACGCGATATATATTAGTTCAAGTTATTTAGAAATTATCGAAAAGACCGAAACGTCGGGGCGTAGTTATATCTAAATAAGTTCCAATGTATACCGCGTTTTAAACCGTTAAAATTGCTTCATTTAAGTGAAACTCTATTGGCAATCGATTTTGGATTGAAATTAAAAATTACGACACGGCATATTGAACGCATCCACACTTTCGTTCTAAAAGATTATGTTCTAACGTTTCGTCAATATTTTCAAACTATTTACGCGCCTCTATTTTGAAATTCTTTCTCTATTACCCGTAGGTGAAATGATAGCACTGAATCCAACTGTTTCAAATTTCTCTCAATTATGTTGGACTTCTGGAAATCTGTATTATGAAATCGAAATTCCGTGCGGGTCACTAAACTCACAGATGAAAAAGCGATGAGCCTAATGCATTCGGTTTCACCTAGCTGTTTTTTTTAAATATAGCAAAAACGGTTGACAACGCAGCATTCAAGATGCTTAAATATCTGCGACATTTAAATAAAACAACTTTAACGGTTTAAAACGCGATATATTAGTATAACTTATTTGAAAATGATTGTCGGGAGAAGGGTCTCCCCCGTGAGCAGGGCTGCTGCAAAGCATCCGAAACGTTGTAAAAATCATTTTCAAATAAGTTAACTAATATATCGCGTTTTAAACCGTTAAAGTGTTTTATTTAAATGTGTACTACTCGCGTAAACTATATACCATCAAGAGAACCGTCCATATCAGTCCTCTTCTATTATAAAGGGGGGTATCAGTTCATGGGGTAGACCATTTCGGTATCTTTATTAGATTTAGTTAGTATAAAAGAAATTACCTCTTCTATCTTCAGCCGTGTCCAGAGTACCGAATATGCTGCCCCTTGCTGCTTCCATCCTGGCCTCTTGCAGTGCGGAAATTCGGATACGGCAAGCGGACTTGTGGACTTCTGGCAGCAGGAATTGCTGCACAAGGTCCGCGACTAGCTCGTTCTGTTCGGCTGTAGACCTGGACGTGCATTAGGTTCAATAAGACTTTTTAAATTCAAATTGAACTGTACTATTATGAACGATGATAAGGTTGAAAGGTGAAGCATGGAAGGTGTAGCCCAGCCATATAACATTCAGGCAAAATGCGCTGAAGGGCTATTTTGGCTTAGAATGCATACCTACTGCACGGCTTCTACAGCTGTCGACCTGGACATAATTTCGATACTCCTACCCTCATTTAGTGTTCAGATTTTGCACAAAGAGTGTAACATGTTGCAGAAAAATAAATATAAATGTTTGAGAAACATATTCGGACCATATTGAAATCGAACCCACGACCCGTGGATTGTAGTTATATATTGCTACCATTTGACCAACAACCGATAATTGTAATTTTAATATTTAATATTTACCCGCTAAATACCCTAAGAGAGCTTATTTATTAAAATGTTATATAAAGTAAAAAAAACATGAACCACAAAAATTATATCGTGTTTTGAACGGTTAAAATATCCAGGTGTAAACTATTGATAACAGGCGTAGATAAGTTGCTTCTGGTTTTTTCCAATTTTTACTGCTGCGTTTGAGACATCTTATAGAATACCTTTGAAAGAAGCTAAATGACATGGTAGTTCAATTGGTAAAAGCAACAGCACGGAACGCTGTGGATGCCGGTTCAAGTCCTGGCCTTGTCGAATTTTTTTTAAATTCATATTCGATTTTTAATTTATACAGTATCACCATGTGCAATAATATGTGAAAAATATTAAAGTTAAATACTGCCTGTAGTTTACGAGTAGTACACATTTAAATACATCACTCTAACGGTTTAAAACGCGATATATTACTTAGATAGTTTTTATAAATCATTTTTAACTACCGCCCTGACTTTTCGGATGCTTTGCTTTGCAGCAGCCGTGGTCGTGGAGAGACAAGTTGTTAACTAATATATATCGCGTTTTAAACCGTCAAAGTGTGTTATTTAAAACTATACATACAGGGGAAGTTGCTAGTGGGTACTTCCAATGTTTTTAGCTGTATACAATTTTTGGGACATCTATAAAACAGTTAACTGTTTTAAGCCAAATGATCCAGCTTACATTGAGCTGTGCTCCTGAAGACTTAGATCCACTTTATCTGCGTCAGCTCTCGCCTTATTGACCGCGTCCTCTTCGGCAGCCAGCTCCACGCCCTGCTGCAGGATCTCTTGCAGGTAAACGTCAACTGTTTCTTGAGTAACGCCCAAGATCTATAACAAATAACAGTGTTACTTGAAGAACGTATGAATCCTTGTTTCGCCCAATAGAGGGGATAGAGTGATAGATCATATAGCATCTAGTTACGATGCGCTGTCGGCCTAATTTTGGCTTAGGACATTTAAAATCTTTCTAAAGTGGTAATGTGATTAGACTTGACGGTTTTTTATCTATTTAAAACCGTATTGTTATCAAATTTTGTCGAAATTAACGCAATTAATAATTATTTGAGTTGTATCAACATAATAAGATTAATCTTGCAAACAACAAAATAACCACTGTCGGGTCAATTAAATCTTAATATAAGAGCAAGATTTGAATAGTTGAATTAACTTAGTTGACAAAAAATAATACTCGTACGGGGCTCGAATCCACGACCGACACGATAGCTCAACATTCTTTTTATATTGACTAATTTTTTTATTATCTCTTTCTCCTTTCACTTGCCTGTTTAAACATTTCGTCGTGTTCTTTTCTTCTTTGTTCTTCTTTTTGCCTTCTACCCGCTTCTGCGGCTTCGCGCATTGTTTTCTCACGTACTGAAAAGGAAGAAAATAATTTTATTAAATTATAACGTCACGTTTTAAACGGTTAAAAGTGTAGGTAACTACCCAATCCTAAGGCTCAAGAAAGAATCAAGCCATCATCACCTCTTTCAGCATAGCTTGAATTTTATAAAGCACCAAAATTGTAAATAGAAACAAAAACAGCTTATTTGAAAACGTTAAAAATTAATTTCAAAGATGCGGTTATAGGGCCCCCAAGTCCTGGAGCCGTGGTGCATTGCACCACCTGACCCTACGATAGCTGCGCCACTGATAGCAATGTACGTATGGCTCAACTCAACGGTCGTTGGTTCAAACTCCACTAGGGCCAACTTCCTTCTTGATTTTTTGAAACATTTGTGCTGCTTTAACCAATTGAGCTATCGTGTCCTACACGTCATCGTATTTTTAAATTTCAAAGCATTCTTTTTCAAAACTCACGCGCAATAAGTATGAACGCGTGATGTCTCCTCTCTTCTCTAAGTCTTCTCAACTCCTTCTCCAAGAAGTCGAGCGCAGCAGAGACCGCGCCGCCGCACAATTCTTCCACCAGCGCTGATATGGCGTCATCCTATATTCGATTATTCTCGATAAATTATGTCTGTTGTTTTCGGAGTACACATCTAAACGGTAGCAACGTATGGCCAGTAATCACCGGGTTGTGGGTTGGACACCCATCGGGATCAGCGTGTTTCTAATTATATTGTAATTTTTCTAAAACATGTTGGACTTTGCTTGGATATTAAGTGGGTAGGAATATCTAAATTCCGTCCGCGTCACAAACGCCATTTTATTCTACTTTTGGATGATAGGGGAGGGTAGACCAGCATCACCAGGAGTTCACTTGACGGGAAACACCACGGTCCCTTACATCGCGACAAGACGCGATGTCGACCTGAATTTTGGCTTAGGATATTCGGAAAGCCACAAATAAACGCGATTAAACTCCACAGCTTTCCATCTGTTGACGTTTGGATATTTCCACCACCCATTTAACCAGTTTTTACATGTATCAGAAGACATATAAAATGATTTAAATAAAACACTTAAACGGTTTAAAACGCGATATATTAGTTGAACTTATTTGAAAATGATTTTTAACTTCGGCCCGACGTTTCGGATGCTTTGCAGCAGCCTCGGTCACGGGGAGGCACGTCGAAACGTCGGGCCGAAGTTAAAAATCATTTTCAAATAAGTTCAACTAATATATCGCGTTTTAAACCGTTAAAGTGTTTTATTTAAATGTGTACTACTCGCGTAAACTATAGACAGTATATAAATTGATTTCGATTGACTGATGAAACCTGTTGGCTTGCTTATATTATACCAACAACTCCCCCAAACTCACAGAACAGTAAGTGTTAGTAGTTTTCACAAAAAATCTATTGTTTGAGTGGCCATCAAATCGTCGATACAAACGGGACTCGAACCCGTGATCACAGCGTTCGTGCTGCTGCAACCATCAAGTCCAAAGTCATCTACTAACCTTCTGTTCAGCTTCTGTCCTCAACGCGTTGTGGTCCCTCGCCTTGGCTTCCTCCCTCGCTATACGAGCTCGATCTTCCTTTTGGAGACCGTGAGTCGTTTTCAACTCCTCTGTCAGTTCTGCTGCCCTGGTACGACCTTCGTACATCTGGTGGATCGAGAGCAGACATATTTATATATCCGTTTTAAAGATGAACCGACTACGAAACTAAAAATAAGTGTAAATGAAATCAAAAAATCATTTATTCATGTAGGTGGCTTAGTACAGTTATGTACGTCAAGTTAAAAATTTAAAACTCCAAATTAACAGTTACTACCAGTTCCCAAGTTAAGGGCATAGAACGAATTCTTTTAATTGCCAAGTTTTTATCACAATTTCCTAAAACTCCTTACGCACTTAATGTGTATATATTCTTCCTTGTTAGAAACGGTCCCTCCATACCCCGAGCATTTTTGCTTTTTAAATATTCATTTACGTTATAATAACCCTTTCCAAGCACTTTTTGTTTACCACACGATTTAAATACATTTATTGATAGTGTTTGGTTAGTCTTTGTCTGGACATCTGCGTATTAAACAAATGGTAAGACTAACGAAATTCCGTCAGGGTTCACCAGCGTCTACAGACGTCAATGCTGTCAAGTTTAAAGGCGTTACGGTTACTGTGGATTTGGAAATATCCACAACCCAAAATAGGTACGACGGCATCTTCTTTACATGTTATATGGTAAGTCACCTGCCATCTAGTGAAACACATGCTTATCTAACCTCCTCTAACATAATTAAAAGTATTAAACATAAGGGAAAATCGGGCAATATTATCTCTTCTTTAAAAAGATATTTTGCATCTCGTGTCTGCAGCCTTATTATTATTTCTTTGTATGAAGCATTTTAAACCAAGTCAGTAAATTAAAGCGTAGTTCTGTAGACCTTTAAAAAAAATATCTACATTTGAAATCTCTAATATTCTGTACATGCACATGATGGCACTGTAGATGAAAATAATACGCAATATTTAATAATTGCCTTAATACGCAAGTGCTAAGGTTGAAAATACATTGCGCGAGAGGTGCATAAGTTGAAAAAATTCGACGATGAGAAGTAGGACTCGGTAGCTCAATTTGTTTGAACAACAGCACGGAACGCTGACAATGCTCGTTTAAGTCCTACCCAAGTCGAATATTTTCAATCTATTTTAGATTTTTTATAAATCTCTACATCTTAACTACCAAGTTCTGTACAGCTCGTCCGCGAATTATCTTCTGCAGCGTGAGTGCGGCCTGGTGAGAAGCTTCATCCTCCTCTGGCACAGCTTCCACCACTGGAGTCGAAGGTCGAGGAGTCACCGCCAAGCACCGCGGCTTGAGCACACGAAGCGGACCAGCACTGAAGGCCGCCGCACCAAGGCGAGCCTCTGCAGAGTACCAGAATAGATGAGAACCGGAACCGAAGTTTTATTCGGTTAAAGGTTAAAAGTTCAGAAAAATAATTTTAATTCTTTGCATTATTGACTAGCTGTGACCGCGACTACTTTTTTTAATGATAGAGAAGGACAGACATTATTTTATACACATTATTTGAGTATCTTGTACCGTTTTCGCAGCGCAATGGAATCCAACAAAGTTAAAAATTAGTCACAGCGCAACACAAGATTATCAAGTCGAACCAGTAGTTCCTCGGATTAGCAAGTTAAAACAAACTCTTCTGCTTTATATATCAGTATAAATAAAAAGACCTTCTCCATCTTTATCCACACGTCTTCCACGTGAACAGGACCAGACACTTGTGACCTTGAAGATGTCTCCAAGAGAAATATTACTTACTCTTAAGATCATTGTGCAAGTTCTCCAAGAACTGTTCGCTCCACTTCGTCTCCCGTTCGCAGAGCTGCGTCGTGTCCCTTGGCAGGTGGTGGCCGGAACACGACCTGTTGAGGTTCTGCCCACACTGATCCAGCCAGGTGGGCGGCTGCGCTACCACCATGTGGTCTTCCAGCACTGTGGGACGAGTTAAAGTAAAAATCATTTATTCATGTAGGTAACTAGATACACTGATGAACGTCGCAAAACTAAAGAATCTAACTTCACATTTACTACCAGTTCTCAAATCAAGGGCGTAGAACGAACGAGAGGAACTGGCAATAAACTCGCCGTCACTCCTTTTGTCGCCAAGTTTCATTTCTTCGAGTACTTTTAGTAGACTACATATTTTTACCTTGTTAGAGCGGGTTCCTCCACACCCCAAGCATTTTTATCATTTAAATATTGATTAACGTGATAATAACCCTTTCCAACCAGTTTTGGTTTTAAAAACGATCAAGTGTTCAACAAATGGAATGTTTGAAAACTTTAATATTTCTCACATGTTATTGCACACGGTGGCATTATATAAATTAAATGATCAATTATTGAAATAAATACGACACGGGCAGCTCTTGAACTCTCATCCACAGCGTTCTGTGCTGTTGCTCTAACCAACTGAGCTACCGAGTCAAATGTTTCAAACATTGTACTTACTATATTATATAGAACGAATGTTATGTGGTCGGTGTACCTATTTCACGTTTGCAGTTTAAGAAGTAATTTCGATTTGATCAATATATTTTTAAACACTGCTTGTAGTTTATGCGAGTAATACACATTTAAATAAAACACATTAACGGTTTAAAACGCGCTATATTTTAGTGAAACTTGTTTGAAAATTATTTTTAACTGCAAAACCTGCAAAGCATCGAAAACGTCGGACTGCTTATTACGTTAAATATATTAGTATATATTTCGCGTTTTGAACAGTTAAAGTTCTATTTCAAAGTTTTTAAAACTTAAATTGAATTATTTATTTTAATTTGTTAAAGGTTTCATTTAAGTCAAAAATATATATTCTATAGTAAAGCATACATAACAATGATGGATCGTAAACGATCTCCGCGTGCTTTCTTCTCGCCTGGTACCCGTGTCTAGCCCTTGGGGCGTGGAGGTCAGACGTGGGGTCCGTAGCTGCAGCAGTCGGGGCTCCGGCCCCCCGGGCAGCGCGTTGGGCCTCCACCAGACCAACGCGACCTCCCATGTTGTGCAGGGCTTTTAGTTTGCGCATTTCTGAAAGAATATTACTTATAAGAATAAGACCTTTTATGATCGAAGAGAACAGAGATGGAGTGGGAAGCAAAGTGAAATAACATCTCAAGACAATGCGCTCTCGATCTATTTTGGAAATTTGGAAACCCGATATCGTAATCCGATGACACTTTAAGGCTTTTTCGTCATTGTTCGTGACCCGGACGGAATTCCGATATACCTACCACCAACTTAAGATCCAGAATATCCAGAAAAAGCCCAACATGTTTGAGAAAATTATGAGTTTATTAGAAATATTTTAACCCCGGGGATCGAATCTAGGACCAGTTGATTAGCAATAACGAGCTTCTCAAATGTGTTTTAATTACGTCTACTAAACTACAGACAAGACAATATTTTATGTATGTAATTAAATTTGTACTTTAATAAAGCAGAAGAAATTGCTTATTAATAGTAAGACATAAACGTTAGTCTGTCTGTCCGTATGATGGTCTCGTTGGTCTGACCCCACGGGGTCCAACTTTTTTCTCCCTCCCCTCTCCCTTTTTCCTGTCTCCCCGTGACCACGGCTGCTGCAAAGCATCCGAAACGTCGGGCCGAAGTTAAAAATCACTTTCAAATAAGTTTAACTAATATTAGTTTAACGGTTTAAATCGCGATATATTAGTTAAACTTATTTGACCCTGTGACCCTCCCCGTGACAACGGCTGCTGCAAAGCATCCAAAACGTCGGGCCGAATTTAAAAATCATTTTCAAATAAGTTTAACCAATATATCGCGTTTTAAACCGTTAAAGTGTTTTATTTAAATGTGTACTACTCGCGTAAACTATCCACATTATTTAACTTAATAAGCTCTTTGCAGTGGAACAATGTATTTAGACATGTGTCTTATTAAATTTACAAAATAAATAAATAAACAGCCTAGATAATTGCAAAATTCTACCCAAAATACTATTCCACGTGGACGAAGTCGCGGGCACAGCTAGCAAGAAATAAGATGATAATTTACCTCTATCCCGAGTCCGTCGAATAGTGTCGATCTTCCTCTCCATGTCCGCCTTCTTGCAGGCCCAGAGCTTCGCCAGCTTCTTCCCGGTTCTGGATATCTGTTTCTGTCTCTTCTCACTCTGCTGTTTGTGTAGAAGAGTCAAGCGGATGTCTTGGAGCTCATCGATCTCCTGAAAAGACATAATTTAAACTTAAGAAATAAGGATAAGCTGGCTAACCCAAATATAGGCTTCATAAAATAACTTATTCATTTGCGGGGAATTATAATCGTATTTATAATACATTGCCAGTTGAGGTTTCAAATTTATCGATAAATAAAAGTCATAAAATTTTAAATTTTCACAAGGCGTATTATTGTCTGAACGATTTCTTGAATGACAAGACCGCCCGCGCCGCCTGTAATATGAATTGCTCCTTAGGTTAATAAATTCACAATGTATTAGTTTATAATGTTAAAAAAAGCCGGACTGAGTTTCTTGGGTGTTCTTCTCGGTCATGTTACTCAACACAAACAAAAAAATTTTGACGAATATAATAATTTAACATTTAAATAAAACACTTTAACGGTTTAAAGCGCGATATATTAGTTAAACTTATTTGAAAATGATTTTTAACTTCGGCCCGACGTTTCGGATGCTTTGCAGCAGCCGTGGTCACGAGGAGACGTCGGGCCGAAGTTTAAAATCATAATTGTCCAATAAGTTTAACTAATATATCGCGTTTTAAACCATTAAAGTGTTTTATTTGAATGTGTACTACTCGCGTAAACTATAGATAGTATATAATTTAACATTTTAAAGAGAATAAAGTACATTTTATTTTATTTTACAAACTTAAGCGGTTACCCACGACTCCGCGTCTTGGTTCTAAAAGATGACGGGGTTTGCAAAGACGAATTTGAATGCCCAAAATAACAATTCTCGCGGAACAAGTCGCTGACACAGCTAGTTATCAATATTTAATAACAAATGCAAAAGCTATATGGGGTACCGGGCTGACACAAATCTGTGTCCGTTTTAAATCATCTATGTGCTGATAAAAAATGTAATACCCAATGTTGGTCCCAGACGAACAATAGACACAAAAGGAAATAAGGCGCAGTTTGGTAATGGTAGCAAAGTATGGCTAGGCTAATCAACATTACAAAATGGGTTCGTTGGTTCGATCCCCACCGGCTCTAAGATGTTTCTAATCAATTTTTTTTGGAACATGTTACACTTCGTCTGTGGATTTACCAGTATCTAAAGCTAAAATATATCGACATCGTATCTTGTTCAGTTGTTATATGGCCATCCGGTGATCCATGCTTCTTCGTCTTCATTTTAAAGTAGTAAACAGTAATGAAGAAGTTCGTAAATAAATATTTTCAAAATGTAG